TGCTTCTTCAAATCTTCCTCCATGTCCAAGCATCTTGACTCTACTCTCTCTATTTGGGTAGAGAGTTCTCCAAGTCTTCCATCTAGTTCGTATCGCGTGAACTCTAGCTTTGTCTCAATGTCGCGGCTAGTTTTCTTTGGCTCTCCATGAAACCCTCAAGCACGGCATCGAAATCTATCTCTCCGCCTATTGAGAACATGGTCGTGGTGTGAATGCAACACTGGTCTAGGTGGTTGATGATAAACCGGAGGTCGGTTTTGATGATGATGGTAATGATGCTCGTCTCGGCTAGGTCCTTCAAACGTCGGATGAGCGCGGTTGGGAGGGAACGGATGTGGCACGATGCTTACGGCTGGGTCTTGGTAACTCCGGCCGTGGAGATCGTGTGGGATCAGTGTCCGGTTCCCAAAGTGGATGTTGGTGTTGTGATTCATCTCCAAGTACCTATAAACACAAGATTTAAAAGAAAAAGTTAGTATTCGAAAATACCAAGATCTAGACTTAGTTTTAAACAAGACTATGCAAGTGTTTATGATGCAATCCCCGGCAACGGCGCCAAAAACTTGATGCGCTGCATCTATGGGATGAGTACAAGTAATAATTCCCTAAGACAACTAGTGTTGCAAGTGCACAACATATAATTGTAGTATTTAGGGGTCGAACCACAAGGGATTGGATTTCACACATTACATAATCATAGAGTTCAAATGACTAAGCTAAATCAAAAGATGCAAGGGTTTGTGTTTGTTTAGAACACGCAAAAGCAAATAACAATGCAATTCTATACAAGCAACATTATTGAACTATTGAAAACTCTTTTGAAAACATGAGCCAAGTCGATTGAAAAGTTTGTTAAAATCCGATTCTTTTGAACTCAAAACACTAAGGAAGGATTATTCCACTTTCGTGGTTCCAATCCCCTATGTCTCTTAAACCAATGGGCTCAGCTTTCGTTGGTCATTGTAGAGTGAGACATGCATTACATCCAAGTAATGATTGTTCACAAAACTCTTTAGGTCTACTTTCGTAGCCTAAAACGATTTGCCCATCAAATATTGTGTCCGGAGATATAACAAGCTTTTGGAGAGTATATCAACCTAAAATCAAGTCACTAGTTAGCTACTCTAGCAACAAGCATTAAGCATAAATAAAGATGGAGAACCATAGGGTTTCCCCTTTTAACAATCGATTCAAGATGGCCATTATATCACGTCCTCATTGGAAGGATCCATAATTCAACAATGAGTCTTAGATAGTAGATGAAGTCTCATGAATCCTTAGAGAGAGAGGCGGCGGAATATGGACTAAACCGCCTCACCCTTAGGGAGAAATCTCTACTTCTAGACTATATAAATTGAAACATGCAAGCTATATACAAATGCAAAAGAAGAAAAGAAAGAAGAAGGAGACCACCTAAGTGGCTCCGAACTTTATTGAATAAGTGTTTCTTGTTATGCGGCTGGTGATTCTTATTACAAGAGGCTAAAAGCAAGTATATATAGGTAGAGAGCGGGTCTAGGTCGGCAAAGTTGAGCGCGCGCAGAAGAGGAAAGTTTCCATTTCTCTTTAGCCGCTTGAGCTTGCTCTCCAAGTTCTTGAATGGGCCGTGTTCAGGCCAATGGAAGCTTCTGGATTGAGTTATGCTAGTGTCAAGATGAGCCAAGGCCTTGGGCGCGGTATCTCGGGCCTCTTGATCCATCAAAGTCTCCATGGGCTCTACTTAGGCGCTCGTCGGACATGTCTTGGTAGAAAATAAGTTCCGGTCCAACGAGTGATCCAAATGACCTCTTTCCACTTCGCCGCGGGTCATGACTCAAATATCTATCTTTCCATATAAGAAACATGACTTTTGGACGTCGGGAAGGCATGAATATGCGGTCGTACTTCGGATGCTCCGGTTTGGTCTTTAGCGAGAAATGTAGATTTGGTGCTCTAGACTTGGGAACTTGGTGATTTGACTCTTTTTGCTCCATTTTGGACTCTTCTTTGCTATTTTGACCTGAATGATGCTCAAAACCAGAATATACAAGAAAACTACCTCTTGGGCATTAAAAACCACATTATTTGTATTAAAAACATAGTGAAAACCTTGATAATATCATTACGTTGCTATTGTTGTCGACCCATCGGACGTGTGTCGACCGACACAAAGCGTGTGTCGCTCGACACAGCGGTTTCGGTCTGGTTCCATTGGAAATTGATTTCTGGTTTAAGTTGATTAATTAAATTGTTTAATCTGGTTATTTGATTATTTCAAAATCAATTAATTTAAGGGTTCTTTAATTAATTAATTGGCTTAAATAATTATTTAAATTATTTTAAATATGAAAAATTATTATTTAATAATGAGAATTATTTAATAAGTGAGAATTTTTAATAATTATTGAGAATTATTAATATTATTTAAGTATCTGGTAAATTACGTAATTGGTATGTAGGCAGAGTGATCGCCTCACTAAGTATATATGAAATACTTACGCAATTCTTTCGCAATGTATTGCAGGTAAAAGGTTTAAGTTATCACGGAATCAAGGCCGAAGAAGGGGATGATAGGATGTTTTATTTGTTTTGCATTGTTTGAGTTGAATCCGATATTTAGATTGCTAGTATTCTTTTTATATTTATTTGAATTCATTTGTTGAATCTGATTTGATTATTTATTTTATTTATTTAAATACCTCTGATGAATTATTATTTAATTGATTTATTTAAAATAAAAAAATAAAAAATAAATAGCTTGGTTGTTTGAGGGATATTAATAACTTACTTGAAATTTTCTTTATAGTATATGTTGCACTTGCTTCGATAGATAGAGCATGCTCACCGAAACTCTCTGTAGAAGCGATCCTTTTAACAAAAAAACTCTCTGTAGCAGCATGTTAAGTACGGTTCGTAGCTAGCTTTGTTAATATCGACATATTCATATTAATGTGGGTTGGCGCTATGTTTGCATCAAAATTAAATAATTTGTAATGTTAGGTCACCGTCTAACTTCAAAAGCTCTAGAAAAATATCTGTACAGTAAAACCAAAGAAAAAGGATATCTGTACAGAGTACAGTATCCAAATATGAAAGAAGAAAAGAGAAAATTGTATAAATCGGCAAAGATTTTAAATGACTTCTCTTACCACTTGGTACGTAGCGGTTTTTCACAGTTCCAAAAGAAAATGCATTTCTTTTTGTGTTTTGGTAAAATAGTTTTGTGTTTATATAATTTTAAAAATGATTCTATTTGTATATAACGATTAGTGTTAACTGTTTGAAATCGTATTCCCATTCGGATATAGACCTAGTAATACTTGTGCCACAAGGTTGTCTGCAGTATACGATCCATGTTTTGTATTATTAACTGCTTTATTAGATGTTGATTTTAATGATGTTTTACCTGGATGTTTTACCAAACAATTTTGTTTTCTTGCACTTTACCAAACAATAATTATAGAATGCGTTTAATTAACGAATTACTTTTGTGAAATATCACAAAAGGAAGAAAAAAGTGTGGGCAAATTATTCGGCGTTTGACTCGAGTAGCTCCGAATATTCGGGTTTTTGGAGGGTCTGAAACTGAATCTTATTAATAAAAATTATGGATTCAGAAATAAATTTAAAAATTTAGGTACGAAAAATGTTTGGAAAAGCATATTCGGATCGAGAATGATGTATTAAATAATATTTATTTTAGTTTAAAATAAACACAGTTATAATAAGATTTTATAGAGATTTAAAATATTGATAGCACATCAACTTTTTCAAGAACAAGAGGAAACAACATATGGTACCTATATGCATACAATATGGAAATGAATTAATCAGCAAATATGTGATGATTTTCATTATTGAATTGGTAATATCATAAATATTATATATCTTTATTTTTAACATTAATGTTTAATAAATTATTATGAATCCAAGTTTCAAAACTAATATATGTTCAATTATTTATTTTATTGAACTATTACTTAGTTATTTCACAAGTATATGATTTTATATAGTTTATTAATTCAACTAAGTAAATATTTTGTTATTTTGTTACACAAATAATTTGTTAGGTATCTATTTCGTATTAAGCAAGATTCAGCTGTCATCATTTAAGTTACTAACTAATCAGCCGATTCCGCAACTATTCATCATTTAATTTTGTCAGATTTCGCATTTAGCAAGATTCCTCGGTTACTATTTAGACATAGATGATGTGTCAGTCAAGTTCAACCCACTAGCGACATTGGTGCTGCATTCAATTGAGTACTTACTTTTTAGAGGTGATATATAGCAAACCAATCAACCTAAGATTCTTGTATCCATTCTATATACTCATAAATCTTTTTGAGTAAAAATGGCAATGATAGGCTTAGTTGAAGTCTTCATAGCAATCATTATATTCCTTGTATTCCATGTATTTACCTCCACAAGAAATCTCACGGCGGTCCTATTCTCAAGAGCTGGCCGTTCCTCGGATGCTTCCAGGAATGCTCGTCCAAATTCCCTCGTATCTTCGACTGGACGTCGAGGTTCTTGAGGCCACAAATCTGACGTTTTCTTTCAAAGGGCCATGGTTTAGTGGAACAGACTTGTTGTTCACGGCTGATCCAAAGAATATCCATCACATACTAAGCTCAAACTTTGGGAATTACCCTAAAGGGCCTGAGTTCAAGAAAATCTTTGATGTTTGGGAGATGGAATCTTAGCCGCTGATCTGGAGTTGTGGGAGGATCTGAGGAAGTCAACCCACGCCTTATTTCACCATCAAGATTCGAGAAGCTCTCAGTGAGTAGCAATACAAGTAAGTTAAAGGAAGGTCTTGTTCCTTTTCTTGATAATGCTGTCTGAGAAGAATACTATCATAGACTTGCAAGATTTGTTGCAAGATTCATGTTTGATACTTCTTCCATCTTGATGACTGGTTATGATCCAATGTCTCTATCCATTGAAATGCTGGAAGTTGAGTTCGGTGAAGCTGCGGATCTCGGTGAAGAAGCGATATTCTATAGACATTTCAACCGATGATCTTGTGGAAGTTTCAAAACTGGATTGGTGTTGGATTTGAGAGGAAGATGAAATTGCTTTGGTCACTGTCAATCAAATGTTTGCGAAGATCATATCTTCAAGAAGAGAGGAGATACGCCACGGGAAAAGACAGACATCAATGGACGCGTAACGTATTACGTGAATTTGACACAACCAAATATAAGCACTTGCAACCAAGTAATGATAAGTTTATAAGAGACGTTCTTCTGAGTCTATTGTTAGCAGGAAGGGACACCACAAGCTCAGCTCTCACTTGGTTCTTCTGGCTTCTCTCTAAGCATCCTCAAGTTATGGCCAAGATCCGCAATGAGATCAAGACAAAGTTTGATCCTACAGATCTGGAGAAGCTCGTGTATCTGCATGCTGCATTGTTCGAATCAATGCGACTCTACCCACCAGTTCCCTTAAACCACAAGTCTCCTTCAAAGTCAGATGTTCTTCCAAGCGGACACAAAGTTGAAGCAGATGCAAAGATTTAATCTCTATTTACGCATTGGGGAGGATGAGATCGGTATGGGGAGAAGACGCATCGGATTTCAAACCAGAGAGATGGATTTTAGATAATGGAAGTCTAAGACATGAACCTTCATACAAGTTCATGGCTTTTAATGCCGGTCCAAGAGCTTGCTTAGGTAAACATTTGGCTATGGTGCAGATGAAGATAATAGCTGTGGAGGTCATACAAAAATATGATTTTAAGGTCGTCGAAGGTCACAAGATCGAACCAGTACCTTCTGTCATTCTCCGTATGAAGCATGGTCTTAAAGTCACAGTCGGTAAGACATATGATTATAAAGCTTGCTTGGCTACTACGGCAACTTTCACAGTCACTTATTATGATGATCACTACTACTTGTATTACTAAATGTTTGTTTCGCTTCCTCGCAAATATCATTTTAAATTAAATTAATAATAAATGTATTACTTGTTTTATTTCACTAGCAACCTATGCAGCTATGTATTAATATTCTAGTGCTGTTTGTCGACAAATTAGCGTTGTAACTGAGATGTGATAAGGGATATCCATGACTTAGTCGAAATTATCTTTACGGTATATGTTGCACTTGCCTCGATAGATAAAGCATTCTCACCAAACTCTATGTAGCAGCATGTTACGTTCGTAGCTAGCTGCCTAGCTCTGCATCTAATGGTGTTTAATATCGACAAATTCGTAATGAATGTGGGTTGGTGCTATGTTTGCATCAAAATTAAATAATTTGTAAGGTTAGGTCACCGTCTAACTTCAAAACCTCTAGAAAGATATATATCTTTACGTACAGTTTCCAAATATGGAAAAAGAAGAAAAACTGTTCAAAGGGTAAGCCGGTAAGGGGACTGTGGATTAGACAGTGTTTGTCGTGATATCTTTACAGTTTCCAAATATCTCAAGATCTATCTCTCTATTTGAGATTAGACATATGTTTGTCGTGCTAAATTCCAATTATTTAAGAAGGTCTTTGACATAGCGGAATCTTCAATCTACAATGAATGAATGATTCGAAGAAATCAATTGGGACCTGCCAGCTGGACCAAGGGATTTGACAAAATCTTTGCTTGGGATCTGCTTCTTGAACTCGTTGATCTCAATAGTTCTACCAAAAACAAGGATTGAGAATACTATTCTCTCAAAAGGCAAAACTCTTTATTAAAAATCAACAACTTAATACAACAATAACAGCTTATCTTATTATATAAAGTTGGATGCGCACAACGTGGTTGCGACACGTAGGATTTTTATAATTTATAGGATCACAACATGTGTCACATTTAATGTTACGTCTGTTAAGATCGTGACATGTGTCTTTAGGAAATTTTGTTTTTTTTGTTTTTTTTAACATATTTTATAATAAATCTCAAATTAAGAAAACCCTAAAACCATAATAAGTAAATATCTAAATTAATGGAATAACTAAATATAAATATTTGAATAATTATAATCCTGCATCACATTTGTTTTGGTATTTATTTTGAGTATTTTTTGCCCATCGAGAATCAAAGTGGAATATGATAATCTTTGAACTCTTACCAAGTCTTACAATCACCTTAAACCAAACAAAAAAAAAGTGGAATAGGTTGTTTTACAGAAAAAACGAGCGTGTGCCAAAAAGGCAATTGAAGATGTTAAAATAGTGTACTATCAACTAAGCTCAAAATTTTCCGATTTAACTTTAACATTGTTTTGAGATTTTAAGCTACTTAACACACTTGAATATTTATATACTTCATAGCTTGCTTGGAAAATACAAGTAACACAGTTATTTGACAATTAATTATATTTGCGGGGAACAAGAACTTAGCAATACAAGTAGTACTATGTGATTGTGAAAGTTACCAAAGAAGCCAAGCAAGCATAAGAATCACATCATTCTTAGTGACTGTGACTTTAAGACCATGCTTCATACGGAGAATGACAGAAGGTACTGGTTCGATCTTGTGACCTTCGACGACCTTAAAATCATAATTTTGTATGACCTCCACAGCTATCATCTTCATCTGCAAGAGAGCCAAATGTTTACCTACACAAGCTCTCGGACCGGCATTAAAAGCCATGAACTTGTATGAAGGTTCATGTCTTAGACTTCCATTATCTAAAATCCATCTCTCTGGTTTGAAATCCGATGCGTCTTCTCCCCATACCGATCTCATCCTCCCCAATGCGTACATAGAGATTAGATCTTTGCATCTGCTTCAACTTTGTGTCCGCTTGGAAGAACATCTGACTTTGAAGGAGACTTGTGGTTTAAGGGAACTGGTGGGTAGAGTCGCATTGATTCGAACAAGGCAGCATGCAGATACACGAGCTTCTCTAGATCTGTAGGATCAAACTTTGTGTTGATCTCATCGGATCTTGGTCATAACTTGAGGATGCTTAGAGAGAAGCCAGAAGAACCAAGTGAGAGCTGAGCTTGTGGTGTCTCTTCCTGCTAACAATAGACTCAAAACAACATCTCTTATAAACTTATCATTACTTGGTTGCAAGTGCTTATATTTGGTGTGTCCACATTCATATAATACGTTAACGCGTCCATTGATGTCTCTCTTTTCCCGCGGCGTATCTCCTCTCTTCTTGAAGATATGATCTTCTCAGACATTTGATTGAAACTGAAAAAAGAATTTTCATCTTCCTCTCAAGTCCAACACCAATCCAGTTTTGAAGCTTCCACAAGATCACCGGTTTGAAATGTCTATAATAGATCGCTTCTTCACCGAGATCCGCAGCTTCACCGAATTCAACTTCTGGCATTTCAATGGATAGAGACATTGGATCATAACCAGTCATCAAAATCGAAGAAGTATCAACATGAATCTCTGCAACACATCTTGTAAGTCTATGATAATGTTCTTCTCAGAAGCATTATCAAGAAAAGGAACAAGACCTTCCTTTAACTTACTTGTATTGCTACTCACTGAGAGCTTCTCGAAATATTGATGGTGAAATAAGGCGTGACTTGACTTCCTCAGATCCTCCCACAACTCCAGATCAGCGGCTAAGATTCCATCTCCCAAACATCAAAGATCTTCTTGAACTCAGGCCCTTTAGGGTAATTCCCAAAGTTTGTGCTTAGAATGTGATGGATATTCTTTGGATCAGCCGTGAACAACAAGTCTGTTCCACTAAACCATGGCCCTTTGAACGAAAACGTCAGATTTGTGGCCTCAAGAACCTCGACGGTCCAGTCGAAGATACGAGGGAGTTGGACGAGCATCCCTGGAAGCATCCCGAGGAACGGCCAGCTCTTGAGAATAGGACCGCCGTGAGATTTCTTGTGGAGGAAGAAACATAGGAATACAAGGAAGAAAAGGGATGCTATGAAGGCTTCAAGTAAGCTTATCATCGCCATTTGCTAAAGATTTATGAGTTTAGATACAAGAATCTTAGTTAAGTGGTTTGCTATATATATACTCCCTCCCTCTGTTTCACAATGTAAGATGTTTTGGCTTTTTCATAAATATTAAGAAATAGTTAATGTTTCACTTTTGTTGCCACCTAACTACTTTTAGATTAATATTAACCAATAGTAACTCAAGTATTCAAATAATCATAACTAATTCTTCTTGAAGTTTGTAAAATGCTATCATTAATTAACAAAAAGTAACATTAAAACTCTAAAACATCTTATATTCTGGAACAAGAATAAAAGTTAAAACAAACGGAGGGAGTATAAGTTATAACCTCGTAAAAGTAAAAAAGCAGCTAAAATTAATGCAGAACGTTGTGGTAGCAACAACGTAATGGGTTAACTTGAATGCCCCATGATTTAGTCGGGTACAGTGTAAGTTACTAATAATAGCTAAATCATGCTAGCTCCATTGTAGATTACACCGGACTATATTTGTCCATTATGATATCTCTAATTAAATTCAAGGGTTTTAATTACGGCTGTGGTAGGAATGGCTGTAACGTTATGGCTGACAACACTCTACTACAAAAGATTCTGGTTGACAAACTACACAAAGATTTTTCCAACCAACGAAGAAGTCTTCAATACGTGAAGTGTTGATAAGAAATTGAATGCAATAAACATTTGTCTAATTCGAAGGAAAGATAGATCTCAAGAAATGACAGAACATAAACCTATCAGTTTTTTTTTTTTTTTTTTTTTTTTTTTTTGGTAAAACATAAACCTATCAGTTATTCAGTTTACGTAATCTAAGTTATGACATCAGAAGATTACTTTATCCTTGTTTGAAAAAAAAGTAATGGCAGACGTAATACCAGAGATTCAAGCGACTTTTGTAGATGGTAGATTAATAATGGACAACATCCTGATAGTTCAAGGAAATACAAATATCCGAAGTTGCATCTGATTGAGAAATGACTCCTTCGTGAGTAGGAAGTATCATTTCTGGTGAGAGAAGGGGAGATGGCACTTTAGTAGTGTGATGATGAGATGAATACCGTTCTCGAGCCCCTGCAAGACACTTCGTTCAGATTTCCAGAGCCGAGAAAGACATATGTTCAAAGAGAAGACGGCTTCTAGTTTTCCAACATCGTTAATGGATCAAATGATCAATTTTGCATTTCCTGTTTTCCCAACAATGACTACAACAGGTTCATTGGACCCTTCTTTCAGAACATGTAAAAAGCAGAACATGTCAGCTCTATCATCATCAGAAGATGAGTATACATCAGCTACATCAACAATAAGTCAAACAGTTTGGTTGAGAAGAATTATGGATGATGTCAAACAGGAACAGTTTAAGGCAGCAACAATTTTGCGTGACAACAAGGAACCTACAACAATGACGAAGAATCCTTCATATCATAGAATAACAAAGCATACATCAATCGATGTACACTTCATAATAGACATGGTTGTTGAAGGTTCAGTTACTTTGGAATATTGTAGCAGAAACAAGCATAGTGAATATGTTCTGGCAAGGGCATTGTCGAAGAACAAGTTTGATTATTTCAGAAGCAAACTTGGAGTGTGCAAGTTTGAATCAAGGAAGAGTGTTGACATGTGATTCAATCTTGAATTTAGTGTAAGTCAATGGGAAATGAGTTACCAAAGTTTAAGATACAATTTCTGAGTTTATTGCTAAGATATTTGGGGGAGCTTTTAAGTTTCTTAATTGTAGGACATAATGAGTCCATGAGGTTAATAAGTGCGGTTAAATTTTCTGTCTATAAATTATGTATTATTTTCTCGTTTAATTAGCAAAGAGTTATCAATTGGCAAAAAAAAAAAAAAAAAAAAAAAAAAAAAAAAAAAAATTATCAAAGAATTATCTTTTTTTTTTTTGAACACAATTTCATTAATAAAGCCCCGAAAGGATTAAATCGCCACAGAGTTAAAGTTTCTTAGAGCCTGTTTGGCTATAGAATCAGCTCCGAAATTAAAACGGCGAGGGATAAACTTAAACTTTAGAAAAACAAAAGCCGATTCAATGAGTCTGATGTCTTCGAGAATCCCATGGACTTCAATTAGGCTTGATTTCGCGATGATCGCCTTGATCAGGATCTGAAAGTCTGAGTGTAGAGTGAGAGAGTTAAAGCCTTTGTCTCTCGCCATAGTTAGGGCTTCCCTGATTGCAAGAGCCTCAGCTACAAGCGCCGAGGAGATAGAAGATAGGGCCGAGGAGTGAGAAGAGATGACCTCTTCGTTGAATGAAAAAATCCATCCAAGTCCTGTGGATCCAGCTGAAGAAGAAGCTTCAGCAGTCCAAGCTGCATCCGTGCAGCAGGAGAAATTTCTCCAATGTTGTCTAGTGGGAAGATTCACTAGTCGAACTGGGAGATTTGGTGGGGGAATGGGTGGAGATGAAGCTGCTTGGGCCAGGTTCCATTCCCTTGCATCCTGAAAAGCTCTTAGGATCGTGTCTTCGATCGTGAAGATTCTTTGTTCGAAGATTTTCTGGTTCCTGGCTATCCAAAGAGCCCAGCAGATCCAAGGGTATAAGGCGCCTCTATCAAGTCCAATCGGTGGGAGGTTTAATCTTGTTCGCGCCATCGCCAAGCCTTCTCGGACAGTGCTGCATACGGTCGAGACGAAGTCCTCTGAGAAGAGCGCTTTTTCCCAAACTGCTTTGGCAAAAGAACAATGGAAAAGGAGGTGAAGTATAGATTCCGGTTCTCCACATCGACAACATTTTGGATCCACTGGGACACACCGGGCTTCCAATTGCGTCCCTACCGGTAAGGCTCCTTGTAATGTTTTCCATATGAAGACTTTTACCTTTGGGGATGTTTTAAGACCCCACACTTGTTGGTTCCAGTTCATTGCCGGGCCAGGTGTCAAGGGAAGGTGAAGTTCCTCAGCTTCCGCAGCGGCTAGATAGCCAGACCGCGTGGAGTAATCGCCAGAGGGATTTCCGAGCCATCTCAATTTATCAGGAGCCCCAAGTCTACTCGGCTTCAAGGTGAGAATAAATTCCTTGTACTCAGGGAGATATAGTTGTAACTTTACTGGATCCCAGATCACAGAATTTGGAAAAAACAAGTCTGAGACTGTAAGGTTTTGAGCTTCTTGTGTAGGTGGCCCTATAGGTGTGCAGGGAGTTTTTAAAAAGAGCAACGGATCCTCCCACACTTTGATACTTTTTCCATTTCCAATGACCCAACCTAGCTTCTTGATCAGCAGTTCTCTGCCCGTACAGATACTCCTCCAGCCATGCGAGGCTGAGTTTGGGATCGAGTTTTCCATGAAAGAGGTATGGGCATGATACTTTCCTTTTAGGATCCTTGCTAAGAGGCAGAGAGGGTTATTTTGTATGCACCAGCTTAGTTTAGCCAACAGAGCATCATTGAAATTGTTGATATCTTTGAATCCTAGCCCACCTAGATGCTTAGGTTTTGCCATTTTTTCCCAAGAAATCCAACACATCTTCTTCTTTTCAGGGTCCGAGTCCCACCAAAATCTTGTGAGAGCCGATTGGATACGTTTGCAAAGAGACTGTGGAAGTTTGAAACAAGACATGGCGTAGGAAGGCATTGAGGCCAGTACACTCTTCAGCATAATCATTTTTCCTGCACTCGATAGCCTTTTAGTGGACCAACTTGCTGCCTTTTGACGAATTCGATCAACAATTGCCGTGAAGAGATCCTTCTTCTTCCTTCCAAAATGTTCTGGTAAGCCCAAATATTTGCCAACACCTCCCTCTTTCTCAATAAGTAGCATTCCTTTAACCAAATTGCGAGTGGCCAGAGGTGTTTTACTGGAAAACGTAACTGACGATTTTTGGAGATTTATAAGCTGTCCTGATACCATCTCGTAATTGTCCAGAATCTTTTTCAGTTCCTTACAACTTCTACTGTTTGCCTTGCAGAAAAACATAGTATCATCCGCGAAGAGGAGATGATTAATCTGGGGGCTTCCTCTTGCCACTTTGAGACCTTCCAGTTTGCCTGAAGCTTGAGCCTTACGGCAGAGACCTGAAAGAATCTCGCTGCATATTATGAAAAGATATGGAGACAGAGGATCTCCCTGGCGTATTCCTCTTGAAGGTACAATCTTTCCTCTAGGTGTTCCGTTGAACAGAATTGAATAGGATACAATAGTAATGCATGAGAGAACTCTGTCTATCCACTTCTCGTGAAACCCAAATCTTCGCATTACCAATTCGATAAAGTCCCATTCTAGTCTATCGTAAGCCTTACTCATGTCTGTCTTGACTGCCATAGAGCATGAGACTTTTGCTTTTGACACTTTGAGATAGTGTAGGACTTCATGCGTGATTAGTACGTTGTCTGATATTGCCCTCTTCGGTACAAATGCAGATTGTGTCTCGGAAATGATTAGTTCCAGCAGAGGTTGAAGTCGTCTAGATAGGAGCTTGGATATCACTTTGTAACAGACGTTACACAATGCTATGGGGCGATAATCCGCTACACGCTTTGGAGCTAAGATCTTCGGAATTAGCCGGATGTGTGTGTCATTTGAGCTGCGGGGCATGATGCCGGAGGTGAAAAAAGTTTGTACTTCAGTGATGATATCCGGTCCGACCACACTCCAGTTAGTTTGAAAAAAACTGGCGGAGAAGCCATCAGGTCCAGGGGCTTTGTCTGGGTGAATGGAGAACATAGCCTCTTTAATCTCCTGTTCTGATGGATCCGAAATTAGCAGTTGATTCATCTCGTCAGAGATGACTGGTTCTATCGCTGCTTCAATGATCTGTCTTTTCAGGTTCGCAGGAACCGGCTTCGAGGTAAACAGAGTCTGAAAGTAGTTCGAAATTACTTTAATCATCTGGTCCTCTTCATAGATAACATTTTCATTATCGTCTTCTAGAACTGAGAATTTGTTCATTGCAAATCTTGACCTTGCTACCGCATGAAAGTAGCTAGTATTATTATCTCCTAGCTTTAGCCAAAGTTGGCGACTTCGTTGTTTCCAGTAGGATTTCTCAGCAGCATAGGATGTTTTTAAGTCTTCATTGAGCTTAAGTAGGCGGGTTTCATTAGGGTTGGAGCTGCTCATCTCCTCATCAATCCCTTTTTTTAGTTCTTCTAAGCGTTTCTGACTATTCTGTTGTTGCTTCTTGTTCCACAGGACAATAGCTTTTCGGCATGAGTCTATCTTCTGGTTCACTGTATTATCAGCTCTCTCTGACCACGTCTCTGCCACCAGCTTTGTCACCTCTTCATTATCTTTTAGCCTCCGGTCATATCTAAACAGTCCCTTACTTTTCTTTTTCTTCGGATCAAAGAAAGAGACTATAGGGCGGTGATCTGAGCCTTCATATCGGAGATATTCACATCTGCCCGAGGGAAACAGTTCCGCCCATTCACTATTAGAGAGGGCTCTATCGAGTCTATACTTTACTAGATGATCATTTCGTCTTCCTCTCCAAGAGAGACAATTTCCAGAATGTCTCAAATCATACAATCGCCTTCAGAAAGAAAGGTACGGAAGTCACCAAACGTTCCTTCAGCTCTCATAGGTCCACCTTCCTTCTCTGAGTTATCAATCAGGTCGTTGAAATCTCCTGTCAGGAACCACGGGGAATCTCTGATAATAGCTAGATCTGTTAAGTACTCCCACATACGTTTCCGTGTTCCTCTATCCGGGTCTCCATACACAAAGGTAGAGAAAAACATCTTCCCTTCATACTTTATTCGGGTATCAAAATAGTTGTTACAAGATGAGATGATATCTAGTTGAATATCTTATTTCCAGAGTAAAATTAAGCCACCACCGGCCGTACCATGTGGCGATACAAGAGCATGATTGTGATAGCCAAGGCTTTCCACTTTTTGTAGCACAACTACATCGGGGTTTTTTGTCTCTGACAGGAAGACTATATCCGGGTCTATTCTTTTACGGAGTTCCTGTAGCCGGGACACTGTCGAAGGGGTCCCCAACCCTTGACAGTTCCAAGACAGAATTTTTAAGGAAGAGGAGAAGACGGACTGTGAAAATCCGCCGTCTTCCTTGTAATAGCTGGGATCATGCGAGGAGCCGCTGGTATCTGCACGGATGAAGTACCGGCTTGCCTCGAGGTTTGGCTCATTCTGGGTTGAGAACGAGAAGGGCCCGCTCTTGTGGACGACGCGAGAAAGCACTTTTTTGGAGAAAGAACGATTTGACGTGCCTTTCTTTTCTTTGTTCCACTCGGGGCAGTAGTAGGTTTCTCTCCACTCTTCTTTCCCGCTGGTCTACCTGGTTTTCTTTTAGCAATTGGAATTTGAAAAGTTCCAGCCTGTCATGTTTCCTCAGGAAGATCAGTTGGGCCAAGCCTTTGGGAAGCGGGAATGCGTTCAGCGGATCTGAGGTCGGGGTTTGGTGCTATTGAAGAAGTCAGCTCAGCTGCTAGTGATTGTGCTGCAAGTGAGGCTCTCACCATTTGGGCTGCAGCATGTTCAACTTGTCCATTTTCTTCTGCTAATCTTAATCTCTCTTTTCTTGCAGCGCTTTCAGAAGGGTCCGCACAGGAAGAATATTGTACCATGACATCTTGTACTTCATTTAAGGCCGTATTGAATGCTTCTCTAGGGAGATGTTCAGGAGATTGGTGGGGGGAGAGTTCTCTATCAAGAGGGGGGCGTCTCTGTCGAGAGCTTTCCGAGAAAGAGGGCCGATCACCCGATCGCCTTTCGTGTATAGTTGGATCTGGTCTTGCTTTCTCCACCCATCGTGGTGTGGTATGTGAATTTGTCTCTACATGTCCCTCGTATTGGGATTGAGATGAGTGATGAGATCGTGAAGAGTCCAGCGAGTGTCTAAGATCAGACGGGTGAGGTCTATTGTAGTCTCTTCCTCGGTAATGAGAATCTCTGATGGAATTTCGTGATCTTTCTCTTTCTGAACCTGTGAAATGATTTCTATCGTTTCTTGGCAGGGAGTAACAAGACTCTTGACCTCGGTGGTCTCGCAGTTGTCTTGATGGAACAGATTTGTGGTGTGGACCAGCGAGGCTGCCTGTCTTAGAGAAGTGAGAATCTTCATTGGTCCAAGGCACTTCTTCTCTCAGCTTTCCAGTAGAGTGGTCCCTTTGTTCTCGAGTTTGGATTTCATTCTTGGGGGGATTTAGGCTGAAATCTTTGGCATCGTGGAGAAGGCTCCAGCAGAGGATACAATGTTTTTCCAGCTTTTCGTAAATCAGAGTGGCTTCTGCTTCATCTCCATTCTCAAACTCCACCATCGAGGAAGTAATAAGAGGTTGCAAGCCATCAATGTGGACTTGTATTTTTGCCGTCGTAGAGGTAATCTCCATTGCTTGGAATTGTCCGATATTGTCGGCTATGCTTCTGAGGGTCTCATTAGACCAGAGATGAATTGGGATTCCTTGAATCTGAATCCAAAACGGGATCTGAGATGGGAATGAACTCGCCGTAGTTGGTTCCCAGCGTTGAAGGATTATCATCCAGTAGGCGAAGTGGTAAGGTCTGTTATCAAGAACTTGCTGTAGATCTTTTTCCGTAGCAAACTGGAACTGGAATTGTCCATGCCCAAGGTCTGCTCCAACCGGTTTTACAGAGACCTTCCAGTGATCCGTAAAGAACGAAATGAGCGACCAGACTCGTTGAATTTTTGGGTTGGTTATTCTTCCAATCAGTGTGAGAGATGCCTTCTTAATTAGTTTGGAGTTGTCAAAAGCAGGGACTTTGACTCGGGATTGGCGGGGAGGAGGAGGAGGCGGCAGAGCGACTTGGTTCTTTCCTTTTTCCGCATAAGATAGTCTGCGACTCATCTTGAAGTAGGTTGTATGAGAAGATACTACACCCGGAGGTGAGAAGGATACTACAAATCTGATAGATCTGAATTAACTGTTCCAGACCTATCAAATCTGAGAAAGGTCCCGAAAAGTTATTAGCTTTATGGGAGGGAAACTGCAGATTTGACCTATCTGAGAAGCTTAACTGGAGGCAACTGCAACAGAGAGTGAAAACCTGAGCAATAAAAGAGCTAGAGGAAGCTGGGTAGTAAATGCGGTTTTAATCTCCGAGCAAAGTATCTAAGGGGAATAAAAACCGATAATCCTTCCCTTTATTTATCAGGTAGGCGTGCGGGGCAGGAGAAGGAGACGCCTCAGATCCAGCACTTCTCGGATATGAGCAGAGGTTGGGGAAGAGGTTGGGGAATCTTGAAGAAGAGATAAAAACCCGAAGGGAGCAACCGAATCTTCTAGGGGGAAAGAGAACAGAAGCGGAGGAGCTAGGTTTTTGAAGTTGAAGAGGTCTTACCGGCGGTTTAACGGACCCTCCGACTCTAAGTCGGGGGTGGAACCCGGGAACGAACTCCTAGAATTCAAAAAACTGGGAAAAAACTTTCTAAACAAGGTAAGATTCTTTGGGTAACGGATGCGAAAGTGACTGGTCAAACTGGGTAAAGACCTTTCTCGGGAGCAGGGCCTGGGAGAGAAAATGTCAACAACCTCTTAACAAACATTATCAAAGAATTATTTATCCATTATTATTTATAACTTTTGTTATTGTTTCTTTGTTCGTTTCTTTGTCTCGTTACAACATTGTTTGTCTTGTTTACAACATTGTTCGTCATGGTACAACATTAATTGTTGTATTATGCAAGTGCTTGTCTTGTTCCAATCAGTTTCCAACAGTTTGTAAACCTGTTGCTAAGAAACTATAAATCACCCAGCTCCCAGAGGATTGAAACTGAAGAACTAATACAAGTAGTTGACAATAAGAAATCCGGCTTGCAATCAGGCGGCATCAGAGAAGTGAAGATGCAGCTGGTTTGACGCAGATCGTGAATCAGTCAGGAAGTGCATCAGGAAGTGTGGACGGACTTGTAGCAGAGCTAAGAGGAGCTAAGGGAATGTTGCTGAGCTGGATGCGAGCTTGTAGCGGATAAGGACGAATCCAGAAGAGGCGGTAGCTGAGCTGGATGAGGAGATTTGGAATTATCAAGACAAAAGGAATTATCAAGACAAAAGGGATATTTCCTATTCTTAGAGAAAAATAAGGAAAGGAAATATTCCTTGGAGATTTGGAGTAATCACCAAGGCCAAAACCTTGTAGGGTTTCACAGCTCGTCTATTGAGGATAAATAGAGAGTCTTGGCTGCTTGGAAGCGGCTATCACAAACTTGAGAGCTTTAGCATATTTGGGTTTAGATTTCTTGTAAGAAAGCTAGGACAATGGGGGTTAGGGTTGAGAGGTTCAAAGATCGTGGATAGATCTGAGAACGTGAGATTTACTAGAACAACAAAGATCGTGGATAGATCATGATTGAGTTCGTTTAAGCATATACTTGTAAGTTATCTTAAAGAAGTTTCTAGTAATATATTTCTTTGTAGAGAAAACCCCGTCCCAGTTTGTGATCTACTACTGCATCAGTAGCCCTTGGTTTTTCAAGAAGATGAACAGTCTCTCACCTTAACACCACAGAACATCGCGATTAAGAAGAAAGAACGAACGAAGGTATGAGAGCGTTCTTACCTGATCAGCGGCGTGATTCGACGGTGGTGAACGACACACAATAGCCTTTCGTTTTGTCGAGTTTGAGAAAATTGTTGTAATGATTGATTAGTTAGTTTTTATCAAAAAATTGATTAGTTGGGTTATTTATTTTGCACCAAAAACAAAAAAAGATTTGGTTATTTTTTAATTCTTTTGTCCTTTTTAATTTGTTAGTTTTTGGTTAATGTCTTATGAAACTAAAAAGTAAAAACCAAAAAGGCATTTCTGTAAATAAAATTTCAGGCGATAGTTTACATGTCTTTTTGACACTTTTTAGAATTTTTTTTGGTTAAAACACTTTTTAGAATTTAAAATGAGTAAAAATTAAAAACGAAAAATGTTTTGGGACTAATATTCATGATTGAGTTTGGTGGTCCTAAAGACCTATATATATATTTCTAGATTTAGATATGTGTATTTTGATTTCAAGCTAAATAGTAAATACCATCCGCTAAAACAATGTTGTTGCATGGAAATCCTACTCTAATCCTCAACCCCTAGATATATGCATCTAATCCATTATGTTGTATACTGTCTCTCTTTTTTTTTTTTTTTTTTTTTTTTTTAACGTACTTATTTAGTTATTTGTACTTCCTTGATATCAGGATGTTGTCCGTTATTAATCTACCATCTACAAAAGTCACTTGAATCTCTGGTATCAGGTATGATGTTATACCTTACATTGAGTAAACTGATAGGTCTAAGTTCTGTCATTTCTTGAGATCTATCTTTCCTTTGAATTAGACAAATGTTTATCGCATTCAATTTCGTATCGAAACTTCACGTATTGAAAACTTCTTCGTTGGTTGGCAAAATCTTAGCGTAGTGTGTCGACCAGAATCTTTTGTAGTAAAGTGTTGCCAGCCATAAACGTTACAACCATTTCTACCACAGCCGTAATTAAAACGCTTGAATTTAATTGGAGATATTATAATGAACAAATATAAACAATGGAACTAGCATGATTTAGCTACTATTCGTAGCTTATACTGTACCCGACTAAATCATGTGGCATTCAAGTTAACCCATTACGTTGTTGCTACCACAACGATCTGCATTTAATTTAGCTACTTTTTTACTTCTACGATGTTATATATATAGCAAACCCACTTAACTAAGATTCTTGTATCTAAACTCATAAATCTTTAGCAAATGGCGATGATAAACTTACTTGAAGCCTTCATAGCATCCTCTTTCTTCCTTGTATTCCTATGTTTCTTCCTCCACAAGAAATCTCACGGCGGTCCTATTCTCAAGAGCTGGCCGTTCCTCGGGATGCTTCCAGGAATGCTCGTCCAACTCCCTCGTATCTTCGACTGGACCGCCGAGGTTCTTGAGGCCACAAATCTGACGTTTTCTTTCAAAGGGCCATGGTTTAGTGGAACAGACTTGTTGTTCACGGCTGATCCAAATAATATCCATCACATTCAAAGCACAAACTTTGGGAATTACCTTTAAAGGACTTACAAGATGTGTTGCAGAGATTCATGATTGATACTTCTTCGATCCTGATAACTGGCTATGATCCAATGTCTCTATCCATTGAAATGCCAGAAGTTAAATTTGGTGAAGGTGCGGAACTCGGTGAAGGTGCGGAAATCGGTGAAGAAGCGATATTCTATAGGCATTTTAGACCGGTGATCTTCTGGAAGCTTCAAAACTGGATTGGTGTTGGACTTGAGAGGAAGTTGAAAAATGCTTTTTTCAAATTCGATCAAATGTCTAAGATGATCATATCTTCAAGAAGAGAGGAGATACGCCGCGGGAAAAGATCTTTTATAGTAGAGTTTTGTTAGCGATAGTATAATTCTTTCCGGAATATAGTGGAGAAAAATGACCTAAGTATTTAATGTCACAACCATTACCAAATCTTGAATTTAAATAGTGATATTACGGTTGCAACACGTTGCCGAATAGGCTATTAGTTATAATGGACAAATTGTCTTCTGTAATCTGCATTGGAACTAGCATGATTTGGCAATTATTCGTAAATCATACGTACTGTACCAGACTAAATTGTACTGTACCAGACTAAATTATACTGTACCCGACTAAATCATGTGGCATTCAAGTTAACCCACTACGTTGTTGCTGCCACAACGTTCCCCTTTCTATATATATATAGAAAACCAGTTTCACTAAAATTCTTGTATCTCTACTCATAAATCCTTTAGAAAATGGCGATGATAAGCTTACTTGAAGCCTTCATAGCATTACTTTTCTTCCTTGTATTCCCATGTTACTTCCTCCACAAGAAATCTCACGGCGGTCCTATTCTCAAGAGCTGGCCGTTCCTCGGATGCTTCCAGGGATGCTCGTCCAAATCCCTCGTATCTTCGACTGGACCGTCGACGTTCTTGAGGCCACAAATCTAACGTTTTCTTTCAAAGGGCCATGGTTTAGTGGAACAGACTTGTTGTTCACGGCTGATCCAAAGAACATCCATCATATTCTAAGCACAAACTTTGGGAATTACCCTAAAGGGTCCTGAGTTCAAGAAGATCTTTGATGTTTTGGGAGATGGAATCTTAGCCGCTGATCTGGAGTTGTGGGAGGATCTGAGGAAGTCAAGCCACGCCTTATTTCACCACCAAGATATCGAGAAGCTCTCAGTGAGTAGCAATACAAGTAAGTTAAAGGAAGGTCTTGTTCATTTTCTTGATAATGCTTCTGAGAAGAACATTATCATAGACTTACAAGATGTGTTGCAGAGATTCATGTTTGATACTTCTTCCATTTTGATGACTGGTTATGATCCAATGTCTCTATCCGTCGAAATGCCAGAAGTGGAATTCGGTGAAGCTGCGGATCTCGGTGAAGAAGCGATCTTCTACAGACATTTCAAACCAGTGATCTTGTGGAAGTTTCAAAACTGGATTGGTGTTGGTTTGAGAAGAAGATGTGAACTTCTTTAGTTACTGTCAATCAAATGCTTGCGAAGATCATATCTTCAAGAAGAGAGGAGATACGCCAACGGAAAAGAGATGCATCAATGGACGCGTTAACGTATTATATGAATGTGGACACGACCAAATATAAGCACTTGCAACCAAGTAATGATAAGTTTATAAGAGACGTTGTTCTAAGTTTATTGTTAGCAGGACGGGACACCACAAGCTCAGCTCTCACTTGGTTCTTCTGGCTTCTCTCTAAGCATCCTCAAGTTATGACCAAGATCCGTCATGAGATCAACACAAAGTTTGATCCTACAGATCTAGAGAATAAGCTCGTGTATCTGCATGCTGCCTTGTTCGAATCAATGCGACTCTACCCACCAGTTCCCTTAAACCACAAGTCTCCTTCAAAGTCAGATGTTCTTCCAAGCGGTCACAAAGTTGAAGCAGATGCAAAGATCTTAATCTCTATTTACGCATTGGGGAGGATGAGATCGGTATGGGGAGAAGACGCATCGGATTTCAAACCAGAGAGATGGATTTTAGATAATGGAAGTCTAAGACATGAACCTTCATACAAGTTCATGGCTTTCAATGCCGGTCCAAGAGCTTGCTTAGGTAAACATTTGGCTATGTTGCAGATGAAGATAATAGCTGTGGAGGTCATACAAAAATATGATTTTAAGGTCGTCGAAGGTCACAAGATCGAACCAGTACCTTCTGTCATTCTCCGTATGAAGCATGGTCTTAAAGTCACAGTCGGTAAGAACATATGATTGTAAAGCTTGCTTGGCTACTACGGCAACTTTCACAGTCACTTATTATATCACTACTACTTGTATTACTAAATGTTTGTTTCGCTTCCTCGCAAATATCATTTAAAATTATTAAATTAAATTAATAATAAGTGTATTACTTGTATTATTTCAATAGCAACCTATGCAGCTTTTTATGTATAAATATTCTAGTGTGTTTATCATTAAATAGCTTAAAAACTCAAAACAATGTTTAAACTGAAAAGTATGAAGAATATTTCTCACTAAGTTGAAAATAGGGGTTTTAAGACAATTTAAGTCGAGTTGCATGGGCTAGGTTTGGAATGTTATTTTATTTTATTTTTTTTTACTTCATAAATTTCCATTAAAAAACCCCAAAGAGGGGAAATACAAAAGAGCCTCCAACGAGGAACCAAAAGAAACGGTAAGCAACAACAACAATAGCAGCAGCAACTAACCAGAGGGAGATTACAAATTGAAAAGAGAGAACTAGGTGAAGGGGTATGACTCCTTGATGTCGGTGCTTAGCTCTTAAGATAGTTTGAATCTCCTTACTCAAGACATGGGGCGGTTTTGAATTAGAAGAGTGCAGTCTCGAATTCCTGTCTCTCCAAAGGCAATAAACAATCGCCTGAACTAGAATCTTACAATTTGTGTTCACCTTCCTCTGGGGAGAAAGCGAATCTGACCAAACAACAATCTCCTCAAGTGAAACCGGGGGAGATAAACCCGACCGCCGAAAGAAGCCGGTCCAGATCTCTCGAGAGTAAATGCAGTCAGTAAGGAGGTGGGATTTGGATTCAGGATAGGCGTCACAAAGGAGACAAGAGGATGGAACATTTAGGCCCCAAGACCTTAGTTTATCTCTGGTGAACAGACGATCCCGCATAGCCATCCACAAGATAAAAGTGTGCCTCGGAATTCTTTCCTTGAACCAAATAGGTTTCGTCCAGTTAAAAGATTGACCCACCGGGTGAAGAAAATCCCATGTTTTAGAAGAAGAAAAATCTCCAGCCTCAGAAGAAGGAGAATTTTTCCAGAGAAACTCATCTTGAAGAGAATTCAGAGAAGCTGGAAGATTAGGAGGAAGCACATCCCGCAGAAGCCTTAGAATAGGGTGTCTTCCCCTCGAAATAAGCCAAATCGAATTGGTGCACGCCTGATTGACCGTTGCCATCCGATTAATACCCGTCACTCTCAGCCCGTTTGCCCATGTTAACTCAATCAGAGTTCCCAAGTCTGTCCAATTATCATGCCAGAACAAAGCTTTTGATCCAGAGTTAACCTTACAAACGAGGTGAGATCTTGCTATTGCACGGAGCTTTAAGAGGCTCCTCCAAATCCAACTTCCAGATACTTGTGAAGAGCTGGGCACCAGAAGACTCTTCCTTTTAAAATTCTGTTTCTCTCTCCTAGCGATTTCTCTTTCGCGAAAAGGCGATTATGGTTTCCTTCCTACCGCCCCCGGCAACGCAGCCTCACGCTCGTAGTCGAGAATCCTCCACTCCCTTCTCTCCGCAATGGCCGCGGGGATCTCCCCGCACCCGGACTCCGTGCCATCGGACCTTCTATTTCTCTACTCGTCGCCTCCGTCCTTGTCTGCTTCGTCAGATCCAATCTCCGTTCCGTCTTCGAGTTCTCTTTCCGCCGGTATTGCTCAGCCTCTTGCCTCTCTGGAGTGTCCTATCTCCGTCTCTTCGCCTGGGGATCGATATCCGTTGGTAGTTTCCCCCGCAACCTCTGCTCTCGAAAAACCCGCTTCTTGTGCTGCTAAGTTCAAGCCCCATTTTAAAAATCTGTCGAAGGTTGGTTCCCCAATTATGTCGTCAGATGGAATTCTTCAGATCCATGCTCATGATTCTATAGTTCTGAAACCAGCAACAACTTGGAAGAATCACATCGTTGCCTACTTCCATGGAAATCCCCCATCTCCAGCAAAGATCTTCTCAGACCTCTATCCGATATGGGGTTTGAAAGGAAGAATTTAAATTAAGCATCACTCCTCAGGTGTTTTTCTTATCCTAATTCCGAAGTTAGAAACAAGGAATTGGATCTTGGATGTTGGGTTTTGGCACTCTGGGAATTGCTCTATCACAGTAACTCCCTGGGAATCTAATTCAGCAATTCGGAAAATGAAGTAAGTCCATGCTCCTGTCTGGGTTCTTTTTCGTCGGGTCCCTCGTGAACTCTGGTCGGAGGTGGGATTCAGTACCATTGCCTCGGCGGTAGGGATTCCCGTGCATACGGATTTTCCGAATATCAAACCTTACTCCAACGGTGTTGTCAAGCTCCGAGTAGTCATCGAACTAGCCAAGAAAAGAGCTAATTCGGTCCGGATTACGGACAAGCTAGGGAACTCTGTTTTGGTTCTCACGGAAATCCAAAAACTCCCACCGAAATGTGGTAATTGCAAAGAGTTTGGTCACTTAGTTCTGCGCTGCCCTTTACTAACTGTTCCCGTACCAATTGTTCGTTCAAATGCTAAATCAGTAGTTGATGAGGTCTCAGTCGAGGAAGAGGTCCCCACTCCCGCAATAAGCCCTTCGTGTGAGGAGATTACCCCCTCATCAGATTGCGAAATCACCTCTGGCAGTTTCTCCACCCCGGAATCTCTCAGTAAACCTTCTCCGCCCTTGTCTAGCTCTATTTCCCCTCTTCATCAGGAAGGCCTTGGGGGGAAATGTAGAGGATGGTTTCACTGTCGTTCATAGGAGATCCACTCCCCCTCCTTGTTCCTTATCAGCTTTGGAAAATGCCAAACAGTCTTCTCCAGTGACTTCGGCTCAATTCAGGGAAGAAGAGGATATTATCAAAAGTGCTCAGTTGGTTATCAGGAACCGGTTCAATGCTTGGGACGCCACCGATACAGAATCTTGCCCGGCTTCCTTATCTCTTAAACAAAAAAAGGAAGGTTACTCGTCAGCAAGTCTTGGAGTCGACTACTCAGTTGGTACCGAAGTCTTATCTTCAGGCAGTGGAACAAGGAGTTTCGAGTTCCGGTGTTTTGGTTACTGGTTTTGTGGAGCATCAGCCTGCAGCAGATGCTCTGGCCCCTCTATCCTAGGTACTTAGCAATGCCTTTTTTTACTTCTTATGAAGTGCTTCTCTTGGAATGTTAGAGGCCTAAATGGCGATACCAGAAAATTAACAGTAAAACGGTGGTTTTTGGCGAACCGCCCTCTCATTGGCGGCCTTTTGGAAACTCATCTTCAGCAGCTTCTATTAATCATCTTTTTCCCGGTTGGAGATATGATAGTAATCACTCGCCGGAGGCAGAAAATGGAAGAATCGTTTTTGTTTGGGACCCTTTGCTCTCGGTGTTTATATACTTGAAAATACCCCAGCTTATTCTAGCAGGAGTTTTCAATCCTTTGACTAATCAATCCTTCTCGGTAGCCTTCATCTATGTAAAGAACACTCGGGTCCGAGAGAATTCCACTTTGGGAGCTTCTTAAGGAGTTAGCGGCTTCAACTCCTGTCTTTCTCCTTGGTTGGTGATGGGTGATTTTAATCAGATCTTGTCTCTCTCTGAAGCCTACTCTCTTTTGCCCTCGTCAATTTCCTTGGGAGGCATGGTGGATTTCCAAGAATGCTTGGACTCGTGCAGGCTCTTTGACCTCTCCTCAAGAGGTTGTGTGTATACTTGGGATAATAAGTCCTTAACTAATCCGAAGGTGATACGCCCCTGGAGTAGATCGGCTTGAAAGCTAAGTGTTTGAGCGGATTGGAACACAAAGGATCCAAGATGGATGAGAGTTGAATGGAAGATGAATGGATCGAGTGGCTATACTAGAGAACCCGCGGAAATGGAACTCTAACACCACCTTCGACTTGTTGATATTACGCACAACAAGTGAAAGGTCTGTGGACTTGATTGATATTACGCACAACAAGTGGACAGAGTGATTGATCAAACATAAAAGAGAGGTTTTTGATTTAAAATGATTGATAAGTTTCAAAGAGAGAGACTAGGGTTTTAAAGAAAACGAGAGAGAGAGAGAGAGAGAGAGAGAGAGAGAGAGAGAGAGAGAGAGATGTTGGAACAAGCTCCAAAACATCTCGAAAATCACAAAACATAAATGAAACAAAGACTGAGTAAAGAAAGTTGTTTGGCGCTCTCCTTTGAAATCTTGGGCCGGACCTTCACAAATGAGAAAAGAGAGGATTTGGAAGTGTGCAATGGGCCTCGTTAAAAACCTTGTCAAGAAAACCCATAGGGACAAAACTTGACAAGGGAAAAAGAGCACACCAAGCACACTTGTCTCTTTATCCCATTGTTAAGGCCTTCAAGCAAACCAGAGTAGTTGGCTTGGTTTCTTGTTGGTTCAAGGCGCTAAGGACTTTGCCAATTGCTTGGTTTAGTGCCTTAGTTCTTGAACGAGTGATTGGGCCAGTTGGAATGGCTAAATGCTCTCCTCAGGTACAAGCTGCTCTGCTTCAAGTCCTCCTCGGCTACAAGCTGCTCCATTCCATCTTCTTCCTCGGCCAAAAGCTGTGCTTCCTGAACCTCCTTGTCCATGATCGCATCATCCCCTCCCTCTTGAAAAGGATTTGACCTCAAATCTGGTTCATCTGCAAGAAAAGGAGATAAGTCAGCAACATTAAAACTAGGACTGATATTGTACTTACCTTGGAGATCAACTCTATAAGAGTTATTGTTGATTCGCTTGGTGACTGTGAAAGGGCCATCAATGCGCGGCATAGCTTGGACTTGCGCTCGGCTGGGAATCTTTCTTTGCGAAGATGAATCCAAACTTGATCTCCAGCCTCAAAGATTAATTCGCGCCGTCCCTTGTTGGCCTTCTTGGCATACTGCCTTGTCTTTTCCTCAATGTTCTTCTTTGCCTGCTCATGTATCTTCTTCACCATCTCAGCTCTCTTCTGTCCATCTGTACTCAACCTTTCACTCAAAGGCAGAGGCATTAAATCCAAAGGTGACAGGGGTTTAAACCCATAAACAATTTCAAAAGGAGAGAACTTAGATGCTGAATGCACAGAATGATTATAAGCAAATTCTATATGAGGCAAGCAATCATCCCAATTCTTAAGATTCTTTTTAAGCAGCACACGCAACAAGGTTCCTAAAGTCCGGTTTACAACCTCAGTTTGACCATCAGTTTGGGGATGACAAGTGGTGGAAAATAAAAGCTTAGTCCCTAACTTAGACCACAAGGTTTTCCAAAAGTAACTAAGGAACTTAGTGTCACGATCAGAAACAATGGTGCGCGGCATGCCATGCAATCTAATGACATCTTTAAAGAACAATGCAGCAACATGAGATGCATCATCAGTTTTATTGCATGCAACAAAATGAGCCATCTTAGAAAATCTATCCACAATCACAAAATGGAATCCTTTCCATGTCTAGTTCTGGGTAAACCAAGAACAAAGTCCATGGAAACATCAGTCCAAGGTTGTGATGGAATAGGGAGAGGAGTATACAAACCGTGGGGTTGGACCTTGGATTTGGCCAACTTACAAGTGGTGCAGCGAGCACATATGCGCTCCACATCTCTAATCATATGTGGCCAATGGAAATGATCTCTCATGATCTGTATAGTCTTGGCAACTCCAAAATGTCCCATAAGTCCTCCTCCATGTGCTTCCCTGACAAACAAGTCCCTCAAAGAACAATTAGGCACACAAAGGCGGTTCTCATAAAAGAGAAACCCATCCTGTCTCACATACCAGAAGCAAACTTAGAACAAGCTTGATAAATATCAGAAAAATCAGCATCAGAAGCATATAGTTCTTTAATTTGCTCAAAGCCTAAGAGTTTGGCATCAAGAGTAGAGAGAAGTGTATACCGTCTAGACAATGCGTCGGCCACGACATTGTCCTTACCTTTCTTGTACTTGATCACATAGGGAAAGGTTTCTATGAACTCGGCCCAGCGAGCATGCCTCTTGTTGAGCTTCTGTTGGCCTTTGAAGTGCTTGAGTGATTCATGATCAGTATGGATAACAAACTCCTTGGGCCATAAGTAATGCTGCCAAGTTTGCAAGGCTCGGACCAGCGCATAGAGCTCCTTATCATAGTTGGGTAATTGAGAGTGGCTCCTCCAAGTTTCTCACTGAAGTAGGCAATCGGCTTCTTGTCTTGCATGAGAACAGCTCCTATTCCGATTCCTGAGGCATCACACTCAATTTCAAAAGTTTTAAGAAAGTCAGGCAACATAAGAACAGGTGCATTAGTAAGTCGATCCTTAAGAGTCTGAAATGCTTCCTCCTGTGCCTTCTCCCACTTGAACCAACTTCCTTCTTGATAATCTCAGTCATTGGCGCGGCTATGGTGCTAAAATCCTTAACAAACCGCCGATAGAATCCGGCCAAGCCATGAAAGCTCTGACCTCTCCAACGGTCTTAGGACTAGGCCAATCCCGATAGCTGCGACCTTCTCTTCATCAACCTGTACGCCATCTGCACTCACCACAAAACCTAGAAACACCACGTTATGTACAAAAAGTGCATTTCTTAAAGTTGGCGAACAGCTTCTCCTCCCTAAGAACTTTCATGACCGCGGCAAGATGCTTAAGATGATCATCAAAGGTCCTGCTATAGATCAGATATCATCAAAATAAACAACCACAAAATGACCAATGAAAGACCTAAGGACATGATTCATCAACCGCATGAAAGTACTTGGCGCATTGGTCAAGCCAAATGGCATCACAAGCCACTCATATAGACCATGCTTGGTTTTAAAGGCGGTTTTCCACTCATCACCTTCCTTCATCCGGATTTGGTGATAACCACTCTTAAGATCAATCTTAGAGAAGATGCAAGAGCCATGTAACTCATCTAAGCATGTCATCAAGTCTAGGAATAGGGTGTCGATACTTTACAGTGATGTTATTGATGGCGCGGCAGTCGACACACATTCTCCAGCTTCCATCCTTCTTAGGAACAAGAAGAACAGGAACAGCACAGGGCTCATGCTCTCTCTAATGTGGCCTTTCTCCATGAGTTCATCCACTTGGCGCTGAAGCTCCTTGGTCTCAACCGGATTGGTTCTGTAAGCCGGCCTGTTTGGTAAAGTGGAGCCGGGGACAAAATCAATCTGGTGCTCAATACCTCGGACAGGAGGCAAGCCTGGTGGACTATCCTCAGGAAAGACATCGCTAAAGTCCTGCAAAAGTTGAGCTAGTTCACTCGGAATCTCCGGTGGAGTGTGAGTCAAGCCAATCAAGTGTTCCTTATATATAAATAAAGAAAAGGTTTGTTTAAGTTCAAGGAACGTTTAACCTGTTTTGGCTTCACCAGGAAGTTCTTTGGCTTAGGAGGCTTAGGTGACTTAACTTCCTTTCCAGCAAGTTGTAACTGATCTTCATAGACTTCTTGTGGACTCAAAGGAATCAAAGTGGTTTTACGGCCCTCATGAAGAAGAGTGTAGCGGTTTGTGAATCCATCATGGATCACACGCCTATCAGATTGCCAAGGCCGCCCTAAGATGATGTGACCGGCGTCCATGGGCAGAATGTCACAAAGGATCTCATCCTTGTAGTTGCCAATGGACAAGGGCACAACCACTTGGTTCTTGACACTCATCTCTCCAGTTTCATTCAGCCAGTTAAGCTTATAAGGCCGCGGATGCTTCTTGATAGTTAGCCCAACTTCTCAACCATAGTTTCACTCGCCACATTGGTACAGCTTCCTCCATCGATAATCAAGCTGCACACCTTATCTTGACTAAGCACGAGTGTGAAAGAGGTTCTCGCGCTGCTCATCCTTGTCAGTCTGACTTGAGTACTCAAGACACGTTGGCTACCAAGTTGCCTTGGACAGGCACGGCTTCATACTCCTCAGGTTCTTCTTCTTTCTCTGGTTTCTCCGGCTCTGGATCCTCCTCGGACTCAATCTCTCCATTGTCGCGGATGATCATCTTTCTTGTTCAAGCAATCAGAGGCATAATGCCCAAACCCTTGACACCTAAAGCACTTGAGATCACGGGTTCTGGCTGGTGGAGTGCGCTCAGTCCGGCTCCTGTCTTGATTAGTAGCCAGAGGTTTGTTTCTGACTTGGGCGCGAAAGGACTTAGAGTCGCGGTGAAAGGTTGGTCGGCGCGGCTCTGTATTGAATCGAGTGGAGCTTCTCCTCTTCAATTGTGTCTCGGCCAAGACAGCCTTGTGGAGCATGGACTCAATACCCACAAATTTTGCATCTCCACGATGTCTTGTATCTCACGGTTCAAGCCTCCAAGGAATCGAGACATAGTGGCCTCGCGGTCTTCAATCACATTGGCGCGCAAGAGCATTACCTCCATCTCTTGATAATATTCTTCCACAGACTTGGACCCTGAGTAAGCTTCCTGAGCTTGGAGTGTAGCTCACGTTGGTAATGGCCAGGGACAAATCGCTGCCTCATGATGCGCTTCATTTCTTCCCAAGTGGTAACCTCAAAGGCACCACCAATCTCGCGCCAAAATGATTTGTTCCCACCATCTCAACGCATAATCGTTGAACTCCGAGACGGCTAGCTTGACACGGTTGTCTCCAATGATGTTGTGCAAGTTGAAATTGAACTCGCACTTCTTTTCCCAATCCATGTACTCGTCGGATTGTTTCCGGCCATGGAACGGTGGAATCTTCATTTTGTAGCCGCCCAAGTTCTCAACCATACGGTTGGGCTCTTCTCGCTGCCTTCTAGCTCGGCGCCGGCTTGAGTGAGAGGAATGACCGCTACCGTAGTAGACATGAGCCTGATCGTCACCGAGACCATGAGATGCCATGGGATCGTTCCTCTTGTCTCCATCGGAGATATGTATCGGATTCCTAGTCTCCTTCCTTCTTGCCTTGTTTGATCTGTTCTCTCCGATCAAACTCTGCCATCATCTTCTTGATCTGATCTAGCAAGGCCTCTCCAACACCGCTTGATCCTTCTTCCTTTCTGACGCCATAGTACCTGAAATTTAAACAAACCGCGGCAGTCAAAAGTTCAAAGGAAAATTGTTGCAACAATTTTAAAAATCATAGAAACAATTTTAAAAATTATGCAACCACTCAGAGATGACAGATCTATATGAAAATGACCAGAATAAATTGTGGCAAAATTATTAAAATTATGGAATAAATTAAAAATGCAGTGATGGGCGAAAATGATCAAATGGATGATGAAACAAGTGATGGATGATGAACAAATGATTTCAAATGATCGAAAAGTAACCTTGATGAGTAAACAAGCATTGGATGTGAAGGTAATGACAATGGAAACAAAGAAACGATCAATAGCACAACAACAAAGCAAAATCATATTCAAGATCTACGATTCTCAGATTTAGAAGATGAACAGTCATAAACATAAAAATCGAGATCACTTAGCTTTAAGGAGCTCTGATACCAACTGATACGCCCCTGGAGTAGATCGGCTTGAAAGCTAAGTGTTTGAGCGGATTGGAACACAAAGGATCCAATGATGGATGAGATTGAATGGAATGGTGAATGGATCGAGTGGCTATACTAGAGAACCCGCGGAAATGGAACTCTAACACCACCTTCGACTTGTTGATATTACACACAACAAGTGAAAGGTCTGTGGACTTAGTTGATATTACGCACAACAAGTGGACAGAGATGATCAAACAAAGAGAGGTTTTTGATAAAATGATTGATAAGTTTCAAAGAAGAGAGACTAGGGTTTTAAAGAAAACGAGAGAGAGAGAGAGAGAGAGAGAGAGAGAGAGAGATGTTGGAACAAGCTCCAAAACATCTCGAAAACTCACAAAACATAAATGAAACAAAGACTGAGTAAAGAAAAGTTTTTGGCGCTCTCCTTTGAAATACTTGGGCCGGACCTTCACAAATGAGAAAAGAGAGGATTTGGAAGTGTGCAATGGGCCTCGTTAAAAACCTTGTCAAGAAAACCCATAGGGACAAAACTTGACAAGGGAAAAAGAGCACACCACGGCACACTTGTCTCTTTATCCCATTGTTAAGGCCTTCAAGCAAACCAGAGTAGTTGGCTTGGCTTCTTGTTGGTTCAAGGCGCTAAGGACTTTGCCAATTGCTTGGTTTAGTGCCTTAGTTCTTGAACGAGTGATTGGGCCTGTAGGAATGGCTAAACCTCCTCAGGTACAAGCTGCTCTGCTTCAAGTCCTTCCTCAGCTACAGCTGCTCCATTCCATCTCCTTCCTCGGCCAAAAGCTGTGCTTCCTGAACCTCCTTGTCCATGATCGCATCAGAAGGCCAGAAAATTGGATTGAGCTATCATCAACGAGTATTGGCAGGAGTCTTTTCCAAACACTAATGCTCTTTTTTACGCCCTTGGAAGCTCAGATCATTCTCCCTGCTTAGTTTGTCTCTCCAACGAGATTCGAACAAGGAAGTCTAGATTCAATTTCTTCACTTTTTTCACCTTCCATCCTGAGTACAGCAGGCTTATGGAGACTGCATGGAGCTCTGTGTCTATCTCTGGAGGGCCTATGTTCTCATTGTATCAGCGTTTAAGAGCAGCTAAGATCTGTTGCAAAGGTCTTAATCGTTCAAGCTTCAGTAATATTCAAGCCAGGTCAAAGGAAGCATTCGATAAGTTGGAACTAATTCAGAGGAATCTTCTCACGGAGCCTCCTCATGAGCTTTTTAAGCAAGAAGCTGCAGCTAGGGAATCTTGGCTCCGTTTTTCTTTGGCTGAAGAATCCTTCTTAAAGAAAAAATCTAGAGTGAGGTGGCTTAAGGAAGGTGACTCCAACTCAGGGTTTTTTCATCGCTCGGTCAAAGCAAACCTTTCTAGGAACGCTATTCATCATCTTAGAGACTCCAACGGCCATAAAGTCTCCAATCCTGAGCTCATCAAATCAATGGCAGTTGCTTATTACTGTGATCTTTTGGGCTCCTCTAATGATGCAGTTCAGCAGTATAGCAAGAGTGAGCTTCAAGAGCTCCACTCCTTCCGTTGTGATGCAGTTACGGCCTCGATGCTCTCTTATATTCCTTTAGATGAGGATATTACAAAGGCTATCTTCTCTCTGCCGAAAGATAAAGCCCCAGGTCCTGACGGGTTTACCATGGAGTTCTTCACTACTTCTTGGGGTTTGGTAGGGTCTTCCTTGATAGCAGCGGTGAAAGATTTCTTTACCTGTTCTTATCTGCTACGTCAGGTCAATTCCACTGTTATTTCCCTGATCCCAAAAGTTCCGCGAGCTGAAACTCTCCAGAATTTTCGGCCCATCTCTCTTTGTAACACGGTGTACAAGGTCATCTCTCGTCTGCTGTCCGCGAGGCTCAAGATTCTTTCCCCTCTAGTGGTTCAGAGGAATCAGGTTGGCTTTGTGAATGGGAGGCTCATTTGCGAGAACATTCTTTTGGCGTCGGAGCTGGTGAGGGATTTTAACAAAGAAGGAAACATTACAAGGGGCTGTCTCCAAATTGACATTGCTAAGGCCTATGACAACGTCAGTTGGGATTTTGTCCGGAGTTTGTTGGAAGCTTTTGAGTTACCAGACAACTTCAAGGAATGGATCAACCTTTGCATCCCCTCTCCTCATTACTCAGTTTCAGTTAACGGAGAGCTTTCTGGTTTCTTCAAAGGAAAAAAAGGCTTACGTCAAGGAGATCCAATCTCCTCCTCTCTTTTCGTTATGGCAATGGACATCTTATCCAAGCTTCTGGCTAACGCGGTTTCATCTGGTGGCTTTATTCCTCATCCGTTGTGCCTTGATCCCCTAATCACCCATCTTAGCTTCACAGATGATGTGCTTGTCTTTTTTGATGGCTCAGAAGGTTCTCTTAATGTGATTTTGGAAGTGTTAAAGGAATTCGAGAGAGTCTTGGGTCTAGCTCTCAGCTTGCGGAAATGTTGTTTATTTCTTGACGGGAATAATGTTTATGCTACTCGTGAGATGGCTTCGAAATTTGGGTTAATCCACGGGTCCTTGCCTGTTAGATATTTGGGTCTCCCCCTTATGCCTCATAAGCTGAGACAGCAAGATTATCAGCCTTTGGTCGATAACGTTCGTTCTAGGATTTGCTCGTGGACAGCATGATGGAGGGGTAAAGACAAAAGGAGTCAAAGATCAATGGATTTTGACGACTTCTGTTGTTAAGTTCTCGAGAAGCTAGAAGCAAGCAAGAGAATCGAAGACTTAAAATTCAGAGAAAGAGTTCTCTTTATTAATTCAATAAAATCCAATGAGCTAATACAACTTCGACTCTTCTTTTATAGGCATAAGAAGATTACATCGAATATGAAAAGGAAATAAAGAGATTAACATTATTGAAATAGGAAACTTAACTAAAGAAACTCAAGTCTAGTTTCACAAGAAAACCGACTATAGCGAGAAAAGCCCAAAACATTTAAGAGACCAAAACAGAGTATGAGATGTAAACCAAAACAGAGCATGAGACGCTACATCAGGTCCCCTGGGGTATTGAAAAATTCGACCCCGAATTTTCAATCTCAAGAGGCTCGACATAAGGTACCAGATGTTTGACATTAAACACGTCAGCTGTATTCATTGTGGGAGGAAGGCAAAGGCGATAGGCATTATCATTCATTTTCTCCAACACTTCTAGTGGTCCGATCTTACGTGCTTTCAACTTGTTGTAGGTGCCAGGTGGAAAGCGATCCTTCGTAAGGACAGCCCAAACTTTATCACCAACTTTAAACTGAAGATCACGACGATGAGCATCAGCGTCTTGTTTATACTTAGCGGTGGCCCTTTCCAGATTAGTGCGCACTTGAGAGTGTATATCAACGAACTCATCGACCAAATCACAAGCACGACCATGCAAACGTGTACGATCAGGAGCTAAGGAAAGATCCAAAGGGCTTCGTGGAGACATACCATACACCACACGAAATGGACTAAACCCTGTACTTCGATTCTTAGCATGGTTATGAGCAAACTCAGCTTTGCAAAGAATTGCATCCCACGAACGAATGTTATCACCAACCAAGCATCGCAATAAATCACCCAAAGCTCTGTTTGTTACCTCCATTTGACCATCGGATTGTGGGTGATAAGCGGAACTCATATCCAAGCTTGTACGCAAAAGCTTCCACAAAGATCGCCAAAAATGGCTAAGAAATCTTGAGTCGCGATCAGAAACAATAGACAATGGCAGACCATGAAGCTTGTAGATTTCACGAAAGAAAAGTGTGGCGACTTGAGAAGCATCCGTTGTTTTCTTGCAAGGAATAAAGTGAGCCATTTTTGAGAAGCGGTCAACGACAACGAAGATCGAATCATGGCCACGTTGTGTTCTTGGAAGACCAAGCACAAAGTCCATACTAATATCTGTCCAAGGCTGAGTGGGAATGGGGAGGGGAAGATAAAGTCCGGCATTTGATGCATGGCCCTTAGCTGCTTGACACACCACACAACGAGAGACATAACGCTCGACATCTCGACGTACCGTAGGCCAAAAGTAGGAGTTAGTAACCAGCTGTAAGGTACGGTCACGGCCCACATGACCCTCCGAATGGAGTTCTAAGATGATCTTTAATCTGAGACTGCACTCAGGAACACACAGCTGAGCTCCCCGAAACAAGTATCCATCGAAGAGAAGAAAATCGGTTCCCACACCAACTTGAGCGTCAGTCCAAATCTTCCCAAAATAAGGATCATTCGGATACAATTCTGGTAAGATTGAAAAACCTGTGATGGAAACCTGAAGTGTAGATAACAAGGCATGACCCGCTGTGTGTTTGATCACAAAGGTAAATTGTTGCAGATAGGCGAACCATGAAGCATGACGTGAAGAGACCTTGTCTTGTGAACCCATATGTTTCAAGGCATCGTGATCCGTATACAAGACAAACTCACGGTGGAAAAGGTAATGTCTCCAATGCTTGATGGACTGAACAACCGCGTAAAGTTCGACGTCGTACGTACTATAGCGACTACGTGGTCCAGCAATCTTCTCGCTAAAGAAGACAATAGGTCTTCCTTGCTGGCTCAAAACCGCACCAATGCCGGTTTTGGAGGCATCCGAGTGAAGCTCAAAAGGCAAGGAAAAATTTGGCAAGGCTAGGACCGGTGCTGTGGTAAGACGCGTCTTGATAAGCTCAAAGGCATCATTAGTAGTGGGAGTCCAAACAAAAGAGGTAGACTTCATGCAGTCGGTGATTGGGGACATAACACTGCTGAAATGTGGAACAAACCGTCGATAAAAAGAGGCAAGACCATGGAAACTCCTAACCTCTGTAATTGTAGTTGGTGCTGGCCAGGACTTAATGGCTGAAATTTTCGTTGGATCAACTTCTAAACCTTGACCAGAAACAATATATCCAAGGAAGAGCACTTGAGAAACTCCAAAAGCACATTTTTTTGCGGCACCAAATAATTTCTCACGTCTGAGTACCAACAAAACATCGCGGAGATGAACAAGGCGATCTTCGAGCGAAACACTGAAGACGAGTATATCATCGAAGTAAACCACAACGCAGCGACCAATAAAAGGTCTCAATGCTTGGTTCATAACTCTCATGAAGGTGCTAGGGGCATTTGAGAGACCAAAGGGCATCACAAGCCACTCGAAAAGCCCTTCACACGTCTTAAAGGCTGTCTTCCATTCGTCTCCTGGTCGGATTCTTATCTGATGATAACCGCTTTTCAAGTCAAGTTTAGTAAAGATAGATGCGTTACCAATTTGATCAAGAAGGTCATCAAGACGAGGAATCGGAAACCGGTAGCGGATTGTGATTTTGTTGATCGCTCTACTGTCGACACACATACGCCAAGTGCCATCTTTTTTTGGGATCAACAATGTAGGCACAGCACAAGGGCTCAAGCTTTCACGTAGATATCCTTTAGAGAGCAATTCTTCGACCTGGCGGCGCAGCTCATCATGTTCCATTGGGCTCATCCTATAGTGAGGGCGGTTTGGAAGAGTAGCTTCAGGCGCAAAGTCAATGTGATGCTGGATGTCTCGTAGAGGTGGAAGACCTTCAGGTAATTCATCCGGGAAAACGTCTTTGAATTCTGAAATAAGCGTCTGAAATGCATGTGGAACTTCACACAAAAATTTGTCTTGTGTTGGAGCGTTAACGAGGACATAAACACATTCAGACGAACGTAGCTCTGTAAAAAACTCAGATTTGTTTAAAAGCATAACCTTAGAACCCGAAGTCGCTGGAGGAGGCGTCGGAGAAGATTCAGCAGGAGTGGAGGAAGAAGATGAAACATCTTTGGTGGGCGTTAGCGTGATGCGCTTGTCGTCAAAAGAAAACGTGTAGGTGTTGGAAAATCCATCATGACATGTTCTCCGATCATATTGCCAAGGGCGACCAAGCAATAAATGACACACGTCCATGGGCATTATGTCGCAAAAAACTGAATCCTTGTAGATGGGGCCAAGTGAGAATGACACACGACAACGTCTCGCTATACGCATCTCGGTGGTAGCATTAAGCCAAGCAAGATTGTAAGGTGAAGGGTGAGGTTCTATGGTCAGAGCCAACTTGCGGACTGCGTTTTCCGAGATGATGTTTGTGCAGCTTCCGGAGTCGATCATAAAGCGACAAACTTTCCCATTTATCGTACATGTCGATCTAAACAGATTCGTACGAAGCCAAGATTCTTGATTTGTTTGTGGTAACAAACAGTTCCGATGAAGGACGAGCACACGACTAGTGTCACCATTGAAGATTTCATCATCGAGAGGCACCTCTTCTTCATCACCATAAACATCATAGCGAGGTTCTTCATCAGAAAACAGTCCACGACGAGGAGCTTTAGGGCATGAGGATTGTCTATGACCTTGTTCTCCACAACCAAAGCACTTGAAAACTGGTAACCGTGGGTTCCGTGGTGCTGAAACACCGTCAGTCGTGTCTGTAGTCCGTGCATTAGTTCCATGATCAGGTGTTGGGTCAGAGGGTTTTGGTGGATCGAACAGAGTATTGCGCGAACGAGGATTAGACGAATTCCAGGAAGGCGCGGTGGCACGTGTATTCTGTTCCACGAGCAAAGCTCGTTGATGAGCTTCAGAAACTGATGCAGGGTTAAATTGTAGGAGTGTATTCTGTTTCCGTAAGGTCGTTATGTGCTAAGAGGGAAAAAAAATCTGAGGCATATTCATCAACGGTGCGAGATCCTTGACGTAAATTCTGCAGTTTCGTGTAGAGCGTTCTTGCGTAATTGAATGGCAGAAAAGCTTTCCTCATCTTCTTTTTCAATTTTTCCCAAGAGACAATACGGTCCTTCCCTTGACGGGCTCGTTTGTCTTTCATTTGTTGCCACCAAGCGGAAGCACGGCCACCGAAACGAGTTGCAACTAAGGCTACTTTCATATATGCAGGAACTTCCTTGAAAGACATCAATTCTTCAGTAGTATTAAGCCAATCAATGAAATCCTCAGGTTGAAGACTACCCGTGAATTCTGGTAGGTCGAGTTTAAACCCGTTTTCCCAGCGAAGAAGATCAGCTCGTGTGCTGCCAATACATCACGTTGTTGTTGCTCTTGATTGTCGGCAAAGGGATTTACGATCTCTTCGTCAAATAGGTCATTATACTCGGCAAAGATTGGTTCATCATCACGAGGAAGGTGTGGACCTCGTTGTTGTCTCACTTGAAGGGCTGTGCGGAGAGCGGATTCGACGGAGGTGCGCACGACGTTGCGCAAATCTTGGTGAAAGTCAGCGAGTGCTCCTCGGAATGACTCATCGTGTTCTGCAAGGTGCTGTTGAAGCGACTTCTTCGGAGGCATGGTGTTGGATCGGAAAGAGTCTCTGATACCAACTGATGGAGGGGTAAAGACAAAAAGAGTCAAAGATCAATGGATTTTGACGACTTCTGTTGCTAAGTTCTCGAGAAGCTAGAAGCAAGCAAGAGAATCGAAGACTTAAAATTCAGAGAAAGAGTTCTCTTTATTAATTCAATAAAATCCAATGAGCTAATACAACTTCGACTCTTCTTTTATAGGCATAAGAAGATTACATCGAATATGAAAAGGAAATAAAGAGATTAACATTATTGAAATAGGAAACTTAACTAAAGAAACTCAAGTTTAGTTTCACAAGAAAACCGACTATAACGAGAAAAGCCCAAAACATTTAAGAGACCAAAACAGAGTATAAGATGTAAACCAAAACAGAGCATGAGACGCTACATCACAGCAAGACAACTCTTCTTTGCTGGGAGGCTTCAGTTGATTCAATCCGTCATCTTTGGCATCATCAACTTCTGGGCAGCCTCCTTCCCTCTTCCAAAACGTTGTTTTGATATCTTGGAGAAAATGTGAAATTCTTTTCTTTGGAATGGCAACTCTGAATCAGCGAGAGGAGCAAGGGTCTCTTGGGAATCAGTGTGTACTCCTAAGAGTGTTGGAGGACTGGGTCTTCGAAGATTGGAGGATATGAACCAAATTTTCAGTTTGAAATTAATTTGGATGCTTTTTGCATCAAATGGTTCTCTGTGGGTTGCTTGGGCTCATAAGCATGTTTTAAAAGGTTTGGAATGTATTGTATCGGGTTTGGGTATATTTTTTTGTTTGTTTGTTAATGATTTCTTTTTAGTCAAACCGACACAGGTCTGAACTTTAAACTACTACCAAATGAAAGCTGACCAATGTGGATCCACATATTAGCCAAAAATAACCGTTTGGTCATGTTAGCATTGTAACTGAGATGTGATAGGGGATATTCATGACGTAGTTAAAATTTTCTTTATGGTATACAGTATGTTTCACTTTCTTCGATAGATAGAGTATGCTCACCAAATGCTCTGTAGCAGCATGTTACGTTCGTAGCTAGCTCTGCATGTAATGATGTTTAATATCGACAAATTCGTAAATAATGTGGGTCGGGCCGGGTCTGAAAAATCAGGGACCAGAAAATCTAGTAGAGTTTTAATGAATTTTGGTGCCAAAAATCATTTTTTGGTACATGGGACCAAAATCAGTATATTTTTTTTGTTTGAGAAAATGTGGGGGTCACAGGGCCGGCCTTTGGACTATGTTTGCATCAAAATTAAATAATTTGTAAGGTTAGGTCACCGTCCAACTTCAAAACCTCTAGAAAGATATATTTACAATTTCCAAATATGGAAGAAGAAGAAAAATTGTTTAAAGGGTAAATAACGGTTTTTAAATGTTTAAGGTGGTTGTGGAACTGTAGCTGAGAAAATGACTTCTGTTTACCACTTGGTACATAACGGTTTTTCGCTATTCCAAAAGAAAATGCATTTCCCACAATATATTTTGCTTGGTAAAATAGTTTTGTGTCTATATCATTTAAAAGGTAATTCTATTTGTATTTAACGATTAGTGTTAACTGCTTAAAATTGTATTCCCATTCGATTAGTGCCACAAGGTACATGTTTTGTATTATTAACTGTTTGAAAAAAAAATTATTCCCTCCGTCTTTTTTACATGTGCATTTGTAAAACTGTATTTATTTAATTCAAAACAGATCTAAATATATTTCAGTTATATTTCTACAAGTGATAACTAATATGAAAGGGAGTATTATTCTTTGTATTACTAACTGTTGTTGTATTTCCGACATCCGACGAGGTAAGCTTATGAATTATTCATCTCTGTAAGAACTTTTTCAGCCTTCAAAACAGTTAAAGATTTCGGTAAATTTGAATTAACTGCATAGATTTCAAATAGGGTTTTCACTAAACATGAATGATACTATTTCAATTGATATTAGATTAGTCTAAGTTCTGTAAACAGTATGTCATTCTCCGTATAAAACATTTGGCTCTCTTGCAGATGAGACAATAGCTGTGGAGATCAAAGTCGAACCATTACCTTCTGTTCATAGCTGTGAACAATTGGTATCAGAGCTTGAGTTCTGAAGATCATAAGAGGAAACATGGCTGGAGATAGTGATCTCACGGTCACAAATCCCAAACCAAGAGAAGGAGGGAATACCGCATCCATACAGTGTCCGATGCTTACGGCGACGAACTACACGGTGTGGGCTATACGGATGGAGGTTGCGCTTGGAGTCCATAAAGTCTGGGACGTGATCGAAAAGAGGTAGAAACGTCCAGCAGCGAGAAAAACAGTATGGCTCTAGCGTTGATCTTCCAGTCCATACCAGAAGCGTTGGTTTTACAAGTCGGTGGATTGAAGACAGCTAAAAAGGTGTGGGAAGCTATTAAATCAAGAAACATGGGTGCAGAGAGAGTCAAAGAGGCTAGGCTACAGACTTTGATGTCAGAGTTCGAGCGTCTTAGGATGAAAGAATCCGAGACTATCGATGACTTTGGAGGAAAGCTAGCTGAAATCGCATCAAAGGCAGCTGCCCTAGGAGAAACAATCGAGGAACCGAAGTTGGTGAAGAAATTCTTGAAGAGTCTTCCCCGACAAAAGTTTATACATATAGTGCATCGATCGAACAGATGTTAGATCTCAACAAAACCACTTTTGATGACATCATGGGACGTTTGAAGGCTTTCGAGGAACGAGTTCGTGATGAAGATGAGAATCAAGAAGATCAAAGCAAGCTGATGTATGCCAATACAGAAAGAAAGACGAATCAATCAACACATGACAACCTCGAATGGAAATACCAGGGGAAGAGGTCGTGGAGGACGCTCCTTAGAGGAAGAGGACGAGGTCGATCTTCTTATGAAGAAAGAGATACATCGAATGTTGAGTGTTTCCGGTGTGACAAGTTGGGACACTATGCACAAGACTGTCCAGATAGATTGGCAATACTGAAACTGCAAGGGCTCAAGAGGAAGAAAATGGTGAAACCAAGAAAGCCGATGATCTCATGATGCATGAAGTGGTGTACTTAAACGAGAAGAATTGCATCCCGAGTAACTTTGAAACCAATACGGGCGAAGAGAACATCTGGTACCTTGACAACGGTGCCAGTAATCACATGACTGGTGATCAAAGATACTTCTCTGAGATTGATAACTCAGTGACCGGGAAGGTGAGATTTGGTGATGATTCTCGCATAGACATTAAGGGAAAAGGATCGATATCGTTTGTGGACATGAACGGAGAATCAAGGAAGATGTCAGATGTCTACTTTATCCCAGACTGAAGAGTAACATCATAAGTCTTGGACAAGCCACATAATCAGGTTGTGAAATCAAGATGCAAGGGGAGAGCCTAACGATGCGTGACAAAGAAGGGAAGATACTTGTTAAGGCAACAAGGTCTAAGAACAGGCTCTACAAAGTCCGTATGGGTATAATAGACAACACACGGCTGAACCTAACCGAGACAAGTGGATCAAGCAGGTGGCATTCAAGGTTAGGACACATTAACCTTGATGCGTTGAAGTTAATGATGCAGAAGAAGCTGGTTTTCGGAATCCCTAGTATGACTATAGAGAAGAAACTCTGTGGACCATGTCTACTAGGAAAACAAGCAGACAAGCATTCCCGCAAGCAACGACATTCAGAGCAAGCAAGAACTTGGAACTTGTCCATGGAGACTTGTGTGGACCAATAACTCCAAGTACTCTTGCTGGGAATAGGTACATATTTGTGCTTATTGATGATCACTCTAGATACATGTGGACAGCCTTGTTGAAAGAAAAGAGCGATGCTTTCAACAAGTTCAAGAGGTTTAAGAGCTTAGTGGAGCAAGGTCAGGAGCAAGCATACAAACTTTCAGAACAGATAGAGGAGGAGAGTTTATGTCAAAAGAGTTCTGTTCGTTTTGTGATGCTAATGGGATTAAACGACATCTCACGGCTCCATATACCCCACAGCAGAACGGTTGTTGAGAGCGTAACAGAACCTTGTTAGAGATGACAAGAAGCATCATGAAGCAGATGCACATACCAAACTACCTTTGGGGAGAAGCAGTGAGGCACTCGACTTACCTCTTAAACCGCATTGCCACAAGAACGCTCGTGGATATGACACCGTATGAAGTTTTTCATGGAAAGAAACCTAACGTGAATCATCTTCGTGTGTTCGGATGCATTGCATATGCACGAATAGAGAAACCACAATTGAAGAAGCTGGATGATAGATCAAGAATGCTTGTCCATCTAGGAACAGAACCAGGATCCAAAGCATATCGTTGCTATATCCACAGACGAGGAAGATAACAGTCAGTCGTCGTGATGTCGTGTTTGACGAGACGAAAGGATGGAACTGGAGCCACACCAAACACCAAGAAAGTGGCAACGACTTTACCTTGGTACTAGGAAGCTTTGGTGAAAGCAAAGATCGAGAAACAGGGGAGAGCAGTAAAGAAAAGGAGATTGTAGAGGTCTCTGACGACAGTGATGAAGAGAGGAGTGCCAAAACTGATTTGTCGTCTGATAAAGAGACAGAACATGAGGAAACAAACCAAAGCTCTTCTCCGAGTGGCTTAAGGAGATCAGATAGAGAACGTGTGAAGCCAAAATATCTTGAAGACTACGCTTTTGCTCGCAATAGAAGAAGGAGAAAGACTGTTGTTGCTCTTGAATGATGAACCGAGTTGTTTCAAAGAAGCACAAGAGTCTAAAGAGTGGATGCGTGCGTGTGAGGATGAAATCAGCTCCATTGAGAAGAATAATACATGGGATCTTGTTGAACTTCCTTATGGAGCCAAACCAATCGGTTTAAAGTGGGTGTTCAAGCTAAAACGGAACTCCGATGGAAGCATCAACAAACACAAGTCTCGACTTGTGGCTAAAGGGTATGTACAACGTTATGGGATCGATTTTGAAGAGGTATTCGCTCCGGTGGCAAGATTAGAAACGATAAGATTCCTTATTAGTTTGGCGGCAACAAGTGGATGGGAAATCCACCATCTGATGTAAAGACAGCCTTCCTTCATGGAGAATTGAAAGAGACTGTCTATGTCAAGCAACCGGCGGGTTTTGAAGTCAAAGGAAGCGAAGGAAAAGTGTACAAACTCAACAAAGCACTATATGGATTGAGACAGGCACCAAGAGCTTGGAATCACAAGTTGAATCAAATCCTCATGGAGCTCAGGTTTACAAAGTGTTCAAAGGAGCCATCGGTTTACCGGAAGGTATCAGGAGATAATCTTCTTCTCATCGCTGTGTATGTCGACGATCTGTTTGTTACAGGAACGAACAAGAAAATCATTGAGGAGTTCAAAGAAGATATGGCCTCTAAGTTCGATATGAGTGATCTTGGTAGATTGACATACTATCTTGGATGGAGGTTCTGCAACGTGATGATGGAATAACGTTGAGTCAGAAACGTTACGCACAGAAGATAGTGGAAGAAGCCGAGATGCAAAATTGTAACGCGGTTCACACACCAATGGAGTCTGGTTTAAAACTGTCAAAAGCGAGAGACGAGAAAGACATTGACGCTACGATGTTTAGGAAGAATGTGGGCTGTCTTCGATATTTGCTACATACTAGACCAGATTTGAGCTATTGTGTAGGAGTATTGAGTCGCTACATGCAGAATCCCAAGGAGTCACATGGAGCTGCCATGAGACAATGCTTGAAGGTACTTAAAAGGGACAACTACACTTGGGTTAACGTTTGAGAGATCGAGCACAAGAGTCCCGAGACTCATTGGTTACAGTGACAGTAGTCATAAGGTTGATCCAGACGACGGGAAGAGCACAACCGGACACATATTTTACCTCGGAGAGAGTCCCATTACTTGGTGCTCGCAGAAGCAAGATACGGTGGCACTATCTTCATGTGAAGCTGAGTTTATGGCAGGACAGAGGCGGCAAGACAAGCTATTTGGCTTCAAGACTTACTTGGTGAAATCACAGGAAGACCTTGCGAGAGAGTTGTCATTCGCATTGACAATCAATCTGCGATTGCTCTCACAAGGAACCCAGTGTTTCTCGGTCGAAGTAAGCATATACATAATCGCTACCACTTCACAAGAGAGTGTGTTGAAAACGGTCAAGTCGAGGTGGAGCACGTTCCCGGAGAGAAGCAAAAGGCAGACATCCTTACCAAGGCACTTGGAAGAATCAAGTTCAAAGAGATGAGAGATCTCATTGGCATGAAGGACTTAGCTGGAAATGAGTTCAAGCTTAAAGGGGAGAATGTTGAACTAAGCTTGAAGAAAGCTTAAGCTACAAGTCAAGCCTAATCCTATTGTGTTGAGGATTCCTAATGAGCTTAGGACCTAGATTATATTTAAGGGTTATCTAGATATAGTCTAATAGGATTAGGATATTGAATTGTTATATAAGGAGATGTCAAGGTGTTACATAACTTATGAGTTTAGAGATTGAGAGCTTAAGTTTTTGAGTGAGTTTTCTTAAGCAATAAATAAGAGTTTTCTTTAATCTTTGAGTTCATCTTTATGTTATAATTCAACAATTTATTGGGATTGTTTAGGAGTTAGGATAAATATGAGTTTAAGATAAATTTGTATTTAGATAAGTTTGAGTTAGTTTTGTTGTTATCAAATTGTATGCCGACTTATACCTTTGTATATAAGGAGTTCTTATATATTGAAAAAGATCAACACATTCACATATTAAAATTCACATTATTCTTCGTATGAAACATGGTCTTAAAGTCACAGTCAGTAAGAAAATATGTATTACTTGCTTGGCTTCTAAGGCAACTTTCACTATTTGTGTTACTTAGATGTTTGTTCCGCTTCCCCGCACATTTCATTTTCAAAGCAACCTATGTGTTATTTAAATTTGGTATTTCAAGTTTGTTTATTTATTTTCTGATTTTAATATCTAGATTTTATTTTATTTTATTAGTATTTTCTAGTTCTGCATTAAATTTAGCTACTTTTTTACTTCTACTTTTTTTCAAACAATAATAAAAATAATCTTCGAAATGATGTTACAACTTAAATTACGTAAACTGATAGGTCTAACTGTCTAAGTTCTGTCATTTCTTGAGATCTCTCTTTCCTTCGAATTAGACAAATGTTTATCGCATTCAGTTTGGTATCAAAACTTTCTTCGATAGTTGGCAAAATCTTTGCGTAGTGTGTCGCCCAGAATCTTTTGTAGTAGAGTGTTGTCAGCCATAACGTTACAACCTTTACTACCATAGCCGTAATTAAAACGATTCAATTTAATTAGAGATATTATAATGGACAAATATAACCCATTACGTTGTTCTACCATGGAACTAGCATGATTTAGCTATTATTAGTAACTTATACTGTACCCGACTAAATCATGTGGCATTCAAGTGAAAATATTACCTTGTTGCTACTTTTTTACTTCTACGACGTTATATATAGCAAACCAACGTTAACTAAGATTCTTGTATCTTAACTCATAAATCTTTAGCAAATGGCGATGATAAGCTTACTTGAAGCCTTCATAGCATCCCTTTTCTTCCTTGTATTCCTATGTTTCTTCCTCCACAAGAAATCTCACGGCGGTCCTATTCTCAAGAGCTGGCCGTTCCTCGGGATGCTTCCAGGAATACTCGTCCAACCCCTCGTATCTTCGACTGGACCGTCGAGGTTCTTGAGGCCACAAATCTGACGTTTTCGTTCAAAGGGCCATGGTTTAGTGGATCAGACTTGTTGCTCACGGCTGATCCAAAGAATATCCATCACATTCTAAGCACAAACTTTGGGAATTACCCTAAAGGGCCTGAGTTCAAGAAGATCTTTGATGTTTGGGAGATGGAATCTTAGCTGCTGATCTGGAGTTGTGGGAGGATCTAAGGAAGTCAAATCACGCCTTATTTCACCACCAAGATTTCCAGAAGCTTCAGTGAGTAGCAATACAAGTAAGTTAAAGGAAGGTCTTGTTCCTTTTCTTGATAATGCTTCTGAGAAGACATTATCATAGACTTACAAGATGTGTTGCATAGATTCATGTTGATACTTCTTCGATCTTTGATGACTGGCTATGATCCAATGTCTCTATCCATCGAAACGCCAGAAGTTGAATTCGGTGGAGCTGCGGATCTCGGTGAAGGTGCGGATCTCGCTGAAGAAGCGATATTCTATAGACATATTATACCGGTGATCTTCTGGAAGCTTCAAAACTGGATTGGTGTTGGACTTGAGAGGAAGTTGAAAATTGCTTTTTTCAATTTCGATCAAATTTCTGAGAAGATCATATCTTCAAGAAGAGAGGAGATACGCCGCGGGAAAAGAGAGACATCAATGGACGCGTTAACGTACTACATGAATGTGGACACAACCAAATATAAGCACTTGCAACCAAGTAATGATAAGTTTATAAGAGATGTTGTTTTGAGTCTATTGTTAGCAGGAAGAGACACCACAAGCTCAGCTCTCACTTGGTTCTTCTGGCTTCTCTCTAAGCATCCTCAAGTTATGACCAAGATCCGCATGAGATCAAGACAAAGTTTGATCCTACAGATCTAGAGAAGCTCGTGTATCTGCATGCTGCCTTGTCGAATCAATGCGACTCTACCCAGCGATTCCCTTAACCACAAGTCTCCTTCAAAGTCAGATGTTCTTCCAAGCGGACACAAAGTTGAAGCAGATGCAAAGATCGTATCTCTATTTATGCATTGGGGAGAATGAGATCTGTATGGGGAGAAGACGCATCGGATTTCAAACCAGAGAGATGGATTTTAGATAATGGAAGTCTAAGACATGAACCTTCATACAAGTTCATGGCTTTTAATGCCGGTCCGAGAGCTTGTGTAGGTAAACATTTGGCTCTCTGCAGATGAAGATGATAGCTGTGGAGGTCATACAAAAATATGATTTTAAGGTGCGAAGGTCACAAGATCGAACCAGTACCTTCAATCATTCTCCGTATGAAACATGGTCTTAAAGTCACAGTCACTAAGAAGATGTGATTATTATGCTTGTTTGGCAACTTTCACAATCACATAATACTTACGTGTATTGTTAAGTTCTTGTTCCGCGCAATTATAATTGTAAAAGTATTAAATAAACTGCAACAATAACTGTGTTACTTGTATTATTTTCCATGCAAACTATATATGGAGGTTGCTAATATATAAATATACTAGATTAAGGCCCGCGTATACGCGGGTATATTTTAAGATTTTATAATAAAAGCATGGAAAATATTAAACAAAATTTGATCATTTTTAAACGTAAACAAAATAATATTGAAAACCCGATAAAAATATTTAAATAAAATAAGATTGGTAATACTTTTACATTTTTATTGTAATTGATTTTTCTTTTGAATTTATGATATGACAAAATGAATTAATTTGTTTTACTATTATTTTTATCCAATACAGAAAGACTTACACATGTCTAAATCTGATCAACTGATTAATTAATCAAACTTTTATTATTCCATTCAAGAGATTTTAATTGATGAAATCTTTATTTCAATTTTTTTACCTAACAAAAATTGAAAATCAAACTATTTAAAATTAGAATATCAATTATAATTTTTTAATATTAGTTAATTGCTTGATAATTATTTTGTTAGTTTTCTATTTATATTTTTTCTTTCTCAATTTTGTTTTTGCCTCAGACCATTATAAATACTATATATTGGTATTTTTCCTTTTCGAAATGGATTTTTTTCCTTTTCTTAATAGATGTAACAAAAGAATTTAAATTATTTGTTTCCTGTTTTTTTATTACTTTTAATGGATGTATTATTTTTTTCATTTTAATTATTTGTTATCTGTTTTTCTAATTTTTAGTTAGTCTTATACATATTAATTTTTTATTATTTTTATTCCATGACACATGTTACGATCTTCATACTTCCAGAATTTTTTTTTTCTAAAACACATGTCGCAATTTTGTCAGTTATAAAAATCATGTATCGCAAAACTTTCAAAAACATGATTTTTAAATTGGAGAAATAGAATCAAAGGGATTTGATGAATTTGCTTTGATGAATTTATGATTGAGAAACTTGACTCTCTTTTATAGGGTTCAAGTAACCTATTACATGCAGTTATAGGAAATTTAGTTTACATAACATATTCCATGTACAAATAGGATTTTATTTATTACATTATTTTGATTTTATTATTTGTTTGGATAATATTAATTTGATGAATGAAACCTTTCTCTATTAGGATATGACAAATATATTTTTATTTCTTTTAACTGTAATGGATTTTTTTTTAATTTCCTTTATCTAAATTTTTTATTATTATTATTTTTTTTTCTCTAAGACATGTGTCACGATCTTAACGGACGTAACATTAAAAGTGACACATGTCGCGATCTTATAAATTATAAAAATCCTATGTGTCGCAACCACGTCGTGCGCATCCAACTTTATATAATAAAAAATTGATGAATGGGAAACCTTTTTCTGTTTGGATATTGGCAAATATTATTTTTTCCTTTTTGATATAATAGATTAAATTAAATTTCGTTTTTTTTAATTAACATTTTTCTGGAATTTTTTTTTTAAGTTCTCTTTTTTCCTAAGACACGTGTCACGATCTTAACGGACATAAACTTAAAAGTGACACATGTCGCGATCCTGAATTTTATAAAAATCCTACGTGTCGCAACCACGTCGTGCGCATCCAGCTTTATATAATAAGATTCTAGTGTGTTTATAATTAAGTAGCTTAAAATCTGAAAACAACGTTAAAACTGAAAAGTTTTAGCCTGGTTAGGTCTGGAATGAATTTGTATGGAGTTTGGGTCTAATGTATATCATTGATAAAACTGGCATAACTTTCTAGACGTGGGTCTAAATGACTTTGAGTTAACTAGTACCAATCAAAGCTAAAAGCTGACAAAAGTGGAAGTATTGTGTTCAAATTCCAGCTTAGTTGATATCAAACTTCTTACGACTTATTCACAATTTTTACATCTACAATTGCCTTTTTGGCAACACAGGCTCGTTTTTCCTTTAAAACAACCTAGAACATGTAAGACTTTTTTTTTGGTTTAAGGTGAGTGTAAGACTTGGTAAGAGTTTCAAGATAATAAAAATTCACTTTCACGCTCGATGGGCAAAAAAAACTCAAAATAAATACCAAAACAAATGTTAGAAAACAGTAAAAATGAAGTAAATCAATATGCTAATGGTCTTCACGTAACTTGTTATACAAGTAATCTGGCTTGCTAGTTTGCTGCCTTAATCTGACGTTGTTAGGAAATTCCAAAAATAAACACAGCAGAGATTTAAAAAAAAAAAAAAAAAAAAGAACTTAGTTGATATGTAGTTTGGTATAATAGATTTATTTGTTTTCCCACAGTCCTTTGGAATACAATGCGTTTCCATAAATTTGAACGGTTGAGGGGTTAACGTATCCAGAAGGAAGAATATCTTCGATGAGACCAATGGTGTGTTCTGAAGCCCATTCGTTCACCTCTAACACACTTGTTCACCCTTCAAAACACAAAAATACAATAAAAAAAGTATGCAGTAAATAGGTTACATATAAATATAAGTGCTCTCACAACAGGAAATAACACAAAAAACGTGAAAATATGGATTCAAAAAAAGAGACAAGAAAAGCTTAGCACAGCTTGAGACTCAGCAGAGCCTTCTCTCTCAAATATAGATGGAAGAAATATGAAAAAGCAAAAACTCATTCACATATTTTTGTTTGTCATTTAAACAGTTTTTTTTCTCTTGAACAGTAGTTTTTTTATTTCCTACTTGCATGCTGCACAACTTTGTTGGTTTATTTACTTGCTCTCAACAAGACTAAAAAACAGAAATTGACATACAGATGTTTAGTTTTTCACATTTAATTGTGGAGATCATACAATACTATGATTTTAAGGTCGTGGAAGGTCACAAGATCGAACCTAGTACTTTCTTTCATTCTCCGTATGAAACATGGTATTAGTAACCAAGTTGCCTTGGCCCAGTGGTAACTCTCAAGTGGAGAGTCCTGGGTTCAAGTCTTCTTTGCCACTAAGCTATGTTTTAAATTTGGAATATTTCCAAACGTGTAGCCGGATGAAAGTCCTCATGGGATTACTGACTATTTGTCAATGAAACTTATCACTACTTGTATTACTAAATGTTTGTTCCGCTTCCGCCCAAATATCATTTTAGAAGTATTCAATAAAATTATGATATAAGTCTTACTTGTGTTAAATATATGATATACATAGGTTGCTAATATACAAATATTCTAGTGTGTTTATAATTAAATAGCTTGTTATGAATATGATATATTGGTTAAAGGCAACTCCTTTTGAACTCTACAACAACAACACACCAAGAATGAAGAGACTTAAGAACCAAAGCAACATAGCTTAAAAACAAGCTCTCCACGCCTTATGTGTTGTACGGATTGTCTTGATCTTCAATACTAAGAACAACATAGCTTAAAAACTCAGAAAAGTGTTTAAACTGAAGTATGAAGATATTTCTCAGAAAGTTGAAAATAGGGTTGTAGTGTACAAGTTTTTTGTTTCATGGTATGTCTTTTAGTAAAACGGACATAACATTAGAGACGTTGGTCCGAATACCATAACTACTACCAAATATAAGCAGATTGAAGTGGATATACTTGTGTACAAAATTTTAACTTGTATAAATTGTAAAAACCTTTTTAGCTGATGCCAAACTCGACATTTCTGCACGATTTTACATCTCTTCACTTGCCCTTTTCAGGCCACGCAAACAGACTCTTTTTCCTTCAAAACAACCTAAAACATATAAGTATTTGGTAAAGGACTCAAGATAAGTATTAGAGCAAATGGTCCCGAGCATCGTGGCCGAATGGTAAGGATGGGCTCCTTTCTGCATCCAGGTTGTGAGTTCAAACCCTGCTATAGGGAACTTCTTCACGTCTCTGGACACTTATACGGATATGGGTCCCTGCTTACGACCCATTTGAATATCTGGAGAGAGGGTCTATCTGTGGGCTGCACCTCCCCCAGGGGATTAGTCTGGACCCATCCATAGACCTAGGATTTACCCCTGAGTTATCAAAAAAAAAACAAAAAAAAAACAAAATATTAGAGCAAATGTTATAGAAAACAGCAGAAATGCAGTACATCGATACTGTATATGCACCAAACGCATTGTGAAACAATCAAAACTAGAACTCAATCATGCCAATCGAACCCATACATGTGACTCAAACCAAAATCAAACTCAGACATATGAATCAAACCAATAACTGATAATTGATATAAATCTTGAAACCCAAGATAATCAAATACAGATAACTAGGGAATTAGAAAAGAAGAAAATGAAATATGACTTTATTTTTGGTATTGGCAGATCTTCACAAATTTTGGCAGGCCATAGTAAATAGTGACAAATTTTAATTAAATAAAAACCAGAAAAATACACATGATGAAAAAAGTGGAACAGTCATTATATTTTTTGAATTAGGTTATCCTCTTCACATTAAAATCTTATTTCAGAGCTTCCTATGTACATTTTATGACCAAGTAATTCAATTTTACAACCGTTACCAAGGTAACAACCTAAAGTAAAAGCTTGAATTCAAATAGATACATTATAGCCCGATGTAAACTGCATTGAATGTACCGATTATTTAGGTATGGTTTTTTTAATTTTTACACAACCTGGTACTCGTTCACGTGGCATATAGTTTAATCAGTACATAGAAGTAAAACAAGAAAAGTAAATGAGTTTGAGCGGTCTTGGTCCGATCCGTTAGATGGGGGGTGAGGTTAGCCAGCAACATTTTTGCCTACTAACTGTCTGCATTCAATCGAATCTAGGCTATATATATCAAAACAACTGACCTAAGTTTCATGTATTCAAACAAACTTATAACTAAGACTCTAGAATCTATACTAATTAAAAACAATTGTCTAAAAATGGCGATGATAGGCTTACTTGAAGTCTTCATAGCATTTCTTTTTTTCCTTGTATTCCAATGTTACTTGCTCCACAAGAAATCTCTCGGTCAACCTATTCTCAAGAACTGGCCTTTCCTCGGAATGCTTCCAGGAATGCTGCCTCAAATTCCTCGTATCTACGACTGGACCGTGGAGGTGCTTGAGGCCACCAATCTAACTTTTTATTTCAAAGGGCCATGGCTTAGTGGAACGCACATGTTGTTCACCGCCGATCCGAAGAACATCCATCACATACTAAGCTCAAACTTTGGGAACTACCCTAAAGGACCTGAGTTCAAGAAGATCTTTGATGTTTTGGGAGAAGGGATCTTAACCGTTGATCACGAGATGTGGGAGGAGCTGAGGAAGTCAAATCACACCATCTTTCACAATCAAGATTTCGAGAAGCTCTCACTAAGTAGCAACACAAGCAAGTTAAAGGAAGGTCTTGTTCCTTTTCTTGATAATGCTGCTCATGAAAACATTACCATAGACTTACAAGATGTGTTCCAGAGGTTCATGTTTGATACTTCTTCCATCTTGATGACTGGTTTTGATCCAATGTCACTATCCATCGACTTGCCGGAAGTTGAGTTCGGTGAAGCTGCGGACACCGGTGAAGAAGCCATCTATTATAGACATTTCAAACCGGTGACGTTGTGGAGGCTTCAAAACCGGATGGGTATCGGACTTGAGAGGAAGATGAGAACTTCTCTGGAGACTGTCAATCGTATGTTTGCGAAGATCATATCTTCAAAACGTAAAGAAGAGTTAAGCCGCGGGGAAAAAGAGCCATCAACGGACGCGTTAACGTATTATATGAATGTGGACACGACCAAATACAAGCTCTTGAAACCTAATAACGATACGTTTATAAGAGATGTTACTTTTAGTCTATTGTTAGCAGGAAGAGACACCACAAGCTCAGCTCTCACTTGGTTCTTCTGGCTTCTCTCTAAGCATCCTCAAGTAATGGCCAAGATCCGACATGAGATCAAGACAAAGTTTGATCCTACAGATCTAGAGAAGCTCGTGTATCTGCATGCTGCCTTGAACGAATCAATGAGACTCTATCCACCACTTCCCTTCAACCACAAGTCTCCAGCCAAGCAAGATGAGCTTCCAAGCGGGCACAGAGTCGAACCAGATTCAAAGATCGTGATATGTATTTACGCATTGGGGAGGATGAAATCTGTATGGGGAGAAGACGCATTGGATTTCAAGCCAGAGAGATGGATTGCAGAGAATGGAGGGTTTAGAAGTGAGCCTTCATACAAGTTCATGGCTTTTAATGCTGGCCCAAGAACTTGCTTAGGTAAACATTTGGCTTTCTTGCAGATGAAGATAGTAGCTGTTGAGATCATACGAAACTATGACTTTAAGGTCATTGAAGGTCTCAAGATCGAAGCAATCCCTTCTATCGTTCTACGTATGAAGAATGGTCTTAAAGTGAAAGTCACTAAGAAGATATGATTCTGAATTCTGATGCTTGCTTGGTTTCTACGGCAACCTTCTATCGTTCTACTTCTACGTACTATCTTTTTTTTTCTATTTATTGTTGAGTGTTTGTTCCGCGCAAATTTCATTATAAATGTATTCAATAAATTCTGGTATGTCGTATTATTAAATGAGTTGTAGTGTTGTACTACTTGTGTTATTAAATGTGTTCCTCGCTGAAATAAATTCAAAAAGAATGTTTTCTGTTTTCAATGTATTTTTTTACTTATTTTGGTATTCATGAATTACAAAAACAATGATGAATTGAAATTATTGAATTATGATTGGTTAAAGGTTATAGAAAATTGTTAACCACAACAAATGATATGCATTTATAGTTATTTGTCTTTTTAATATGTGATATATAAAACTTATTTTCATTTACTTCGTAAAGATAAATTATTTACATGTTAACATATATATAACTAGTGTTTTTTTAAGTTACTATGAATTAATAAAAAGTGCCTCAAGAATCTAGAATGTTTATATATAATCTCTTTGTTAGTGTCAATTTTTTATTTCAATGCACTTTTTCCATATTTCCTCCGTTCTTTAATATTTGATGTTTAACCTTTTTTTCTTTGTTCCATATTGTTTGATGTTTTAGCTTTTTGAAGTTACTTTTTCCTAACTAATGACAAAAAAATTACAAACTTCAAAAAATAAAAGTTAAAAAAATTTGAATAATTGAATATAGGTAGTGTTGATTAAAAAGCAGTTGATTTAAGAATAACTTAACATTAAATGTTTCTTAATTTATATGCATCAAATATTGTTGAAGGGAGGTAGTATAATTTATCTCTTTTTCTTTTGGCCAGGAGTATAATCTATCTCTTTTGCCCCTAATTAAAAAATAATGTTAAACACTATAGAATTTTAAGAGTCAAACAAACAAATGTAATACTGAGCTATTTTACATCTGAAACAGAGGGAGTATTGAATATTGATCTATTTTCTTGATTTATGTGAAAATTGTTAAAATGACACTTTCTATAAAATGGAGAGAGTGAAAAACAACAAAAAAGAAGTTGAAAATTCATCTTTGAGAAACCGATGAATAAACTGTAAAATGTTATTTCATGGTCCAATAATGAGAGCAGTCAAGGGAATCATAAATGAGAAACCAAATAGATATCAGATATCATACGGAGAATCGATTATCATAAACGATTGTCGTTTATATTCTCTCTGCTGCTTTAATGTTTCCATCTTCCCCATCAACCTCGTCTCCCAACAACCTCGTTGTCCAGTCCCTCCACTATCTCTCTCTTTCCCAACAAACTGTATAACATTGTATTTGATAAGTCGTTTTCTTCAAAACATTTCGCTTTTCTCAATTTGTGAGATTTTTTCAAATTAATCAATAGGAGTCATTTGTCAATTAAAAACAAAAATTCATTTTTATATTTTATATCCTTTTCAGATAATTTCTTGTTTTGCCAGCCAAAAGTGAGACAAATCGATATAAAATTCAGAAAATAACATATATTTTTGTTTTTAATTCCTTTTTCGTTTTCTATTTCATTTATTATTTTTTCAATAAAAAGTGATTTATCTATTGAAATGTCGTTGAAGAAGCGATCTTCTATAGACATTATCATATCAAGCCAGTGATCTTGAGAAGAAGATGAGAACTGATTTGGTCACTGTCAATCAAATGTTTGCAAATATCATAATCTTCTAGTTCAAAATCTCGCTAGGCGTTACCAGGGCACTCGGTCCGGGAGTAGCGACTTTTGCAAAAGTCGGAAAAAACTCGGAGAGTACTCGGGATTTTATTTTGTATATTTATTTTCACTAGATTATATATAGTTATAATATGCGTAAGAAATGTGAAGATATGGTTTAGTTCAGTGGTTCTCCTTACTAATTATCCCTCACATGCCGCAGGTTCGACTCATGGTAGATGCGGTTTGATTGATTGATTAATTCGTGAAAATTTTATTATTTCATTGAAAAGATTACGGTTAATGAAATCTTTTTTTTTCAAATATTTTTTACCTAACAAAAAATTAAACTATTAAAATTAGAATATCAATTCATTATAATTTTTTCCTGTTAATATTAGTTAATTGCTCAATAATTATTTTATTATTTTTCTATTTATATTGTTTTTTTATCTTTATTTTTGACTCAGTCCATTATAAAATTTCATTTCCATTATTAGTTAGTTGTTTTTTAATTATTTTGATTTTTTTTTCTTTTTTTCTTTTTTTCTTTTTTCTTTTTTCTTTTTCTTTTCTTAATGAGAGTTATTTTTCCTCATTTTCTTAATAAGGTATATATCAATATAATATTTTACCAGACTGCAGATTAAAATTACAAATTTCGATGATCTTTTCTTCGGACATCTGATCTCAAAAATTTTAAAGTAAGTGAATGATGCACAAAATCTTGAATTGTGTTTTCCTGTTTCAAACAAAAGTAAAACAAAAGTAAAACTTTAATTTAATGTTAATCAATGTTATAATAAGATTATCTATATCAATACAATAAGATGTTATACTAACCTTTTCGTCAAGTAATAGAAGCTCAACTCCCAAATGAATAGTACGACGATAATTTCTATTTGATCCAATTGACGTAGAGTCAAATAATCTCCATTGTTCTCTTAAACTTTCAAAAATATGATTTTAAAATTAGAGAAAAAGAATCAAAGAGATTTGCTGAATTTGCTTTGATGAGTTTGTGAATGAGAAAAAGAGAATACATTAGCTCTCTTTTTATAGGGGTTCATGTAACCAATTTCATTTACTTTCATGATATTTAGTTTACATACCTATTTTATATACTAATAGGATTTTTTAAAATAGGGGTTTATATAACCTACTAGATTAAGCCCCGCGTATACGCGGGTTTATTTTAATATAATTGAAATAAATCATAGGAAAATACTAAACAAAAATCTGGTCACTTTTAAAAATAAGTAGAATAATATTCAAAAGATTATTTTGATATTATAATTATAATATTTAATTATAATTGATTATTCTATTTAAAAGATTTCGATTGATGAAATCTTTTTCATAATATTGTTTTACCTACCAAAAAATAGAAAATTAATCTATTTAGATATATCTTATTATGTTATAATTATTTTGTTAATTTTCTATTTATCATAATTTTTTGTTCAATTTTGTTTTGCCTCAGACCATTATAAATTTTCTTATTCATAATTAGTTAGTTGTTTTAAAATTATTTTGTTAGTTTTTTTATTTATCTTATTACATTTTTCTAATTTTCTTTTGTTAACACATGTTATCACATGATCATATATTAGAAAAAATTTGCGACAAAATTTTCAATTTCTACCCAACTTATCTAAAGTTAAATATTTTCATTGATATCTTGAACTTTAAAGTACATGATTTTTATTTTGTAATAAAAGAGAAAGTTTAAACAAAAGATAGAATCACAGATATAAATCATGAAAGCTATAACTTATTATATATTGTTTTTTTTTCTTTTCTTAATGGGAATATGTTTTTTCTCCTTTTCTTAACAGATGTAACATTTTTTCTTTTATTATTTGTTTCATGTTTTTCTGAATATCGATTATTTTTCCTTTTCGTATTGGGAGTATGTTTTTTTCCTTTTCTTGATGGATATAACATTTTTTAAAAAAATTGCTATTTGTTTCCTATTTTTTTCTTGAATTGTGTTTTCCTATTTTTAAAAAATGTAAAAATTTAATGTTTATCTATTTATAATTATATATATATATTTAATGTTATATGTTAAAATTTCCTTTTTTATTAATTTTCGTTTTTCTAATATTTAAGTAAAATAAATAAAAATTCTTTTTTTAAAAAATACGTGTCACGATCTTAACGGTCTTAACATTAAAAGTGACACATGTCACGATCCTATATTTTATAAAAATCCTACGTGTCGCAACCACGTCGCGCGCATCCAGCTTTATATAATAAGATATTTCATATAGTTTATTTAGTTTATATATCTATTCCATGTATTAATAAATATTTTTTATTACATTATTTTTTCATTGGTTATATAAATTTTCGTTTTTATTATAAAAGATTAAAATTTTCCCTTAATTTTTTTTTTCTTTTTTCCCAATACATAACACAAACAGACATAACATTAAAAATGACACATATCGCAATCCTATATTTTATAAAAATCCTACATGTCGCAACCACGTTGTGCGCTGGTTGCGACATCCAGCTTTATATAATAAGATCTTATTTTATTAAGTAATGAAGGTAAATGACGAAAATACCCTCTTCTTCTTCCTCACCTCTACGACCAAAAAGCCCTAATTGCCGCCAATTTCGTTTTTTTTTTCTCCAATTCTTGACGTTTTTGCTCGTTTTTGTCATGTCCTATACCTTATAACTATAGATCTACTATCTACTATGTCGTTTTCAACTTTAAATCCAGAAACTGAGGAACTTTTTTTAAGTTTCAGAGTTTGTGACCGAGTAACGTAAAACGCCACGGAGTTCACCTTCCAGCGAGCAATCGGCCGAGGAATCGCTTGGAAGGCCGAGATTTAGAACACAGGACTTCTAATTAATGCAATGGAGTTAACGAGTTAAAAAAGAAAATTGTCAGGTCGTTTAAGATCGAATTAACCAATCTTAACCGGAAACAAAACCGAATGAAACCAAACGAAATAGCAGAGACCATAAATCAAAAAACCAAAAGAGAAGTCGACGGTATAAGTAAACAATTCTGTCTCGCAGCAACTAAGTTCTTAAACCCCAAGAAACAAAACAAACTCTACGATTCAAAAGTTTTTGTAAAGTTATCAAAAACACAAGCAGTAGTGTGTAACACAGAGATAGAGAAGAGCTTTCTTCACTTGAAGCACTTGGCATCCAAAAGATCATCACCTTCAAAAGGCTCAGCGTCTTCAATCATCTGGCTAACTCTCTCCTTCTGTGCTTCGTCGGAGAGATCGACCTTCGTCCACTCGTACAGCTCCATGTCGTAAACCTCGTCCATGATGAACTTCGGGATCTCCGGTCCACGGAACAACCACAATCCCTTCACCTTGAACGGACCCTCTTTCCCACAGATCAGCATCTTTCCGAAAGAGTACTTGCGCGCCAAGTCCATTCTCTGCAGGAACCCACCGACCTTGTTCAGCGTCACAAACGAAACCATGTTCTCGTCGTTGTACTTGTAGTCACAGAACCATAGCGAGTATCCCTCTGGGTCATACATGTCCCAAAATCCTGCAAACATACACATAAATCGAACACAGTAAGCTTAGAGAATGCAACTGTGATCAGCTTCAGATTCAAATATTAGGCTACAAGTCTACTCTATATAGCTTTGGCAGAAGATTCATATATTTGTTCTTATCAAATTGATGCAGTAAAGAGTACGTAAAAGAGAAAGTGATAACATATCATACCTCCAACAGCGACCTCACGGAAGTTGGTTTTGGTGTTAGAGTAAAGCCTCTTCCAGTCATCGAGAACCATGGGGCTAGGTGGAAGCAAATCAAGAGGGTTCTTGGGTTTGGGCTTTGGTGCTTCGTCCTCCTCAGCAGGCTTTGGTGCCTCTGCTGCTACTGGTGCAGCCTTCTTAGGCTCCTCCTTGGGCTTTGCGGGCTGAGCAGCTTTCTTTGAAGGAACTGGAGGGACAGCTTCGGTCTGCTTGGCGTCACCGATGACCTTCTTGAAGTTTGGCTGGTTGACCAATGTCCAGAAGTATCTCTCAACGTGAGGGAACGCAGAGGTAAAGCTCTTGGTCATCACTGTGGCGAATCCCAAGTTCAGGTTGCAGATGGTTACGATATCAGCGAGTGTGACAGAGTGTCCGACGAGGTAAGTGTTGGTGGCGAGGTGTGTGTTGAGAGCCTCGAGTCCTCTCTTCAATGCAGTGATTGCCGCTTCCTCAGCCTTCAAAAATCATATATACCATTTCAGAAGTGAGACGAAGAAGAAACAGACTTGAGAGGTTATTAGAGTGCAAGAAGAAGCAGGGAATGCTTACTGGAGCAGAGAAGGGAGCAAAGCCCATTCTTGGACCGAACCACCTCAACATGTGAGCATCAATCTCCAAAGTGTTGAAGTCAATCCATTGCTCGATGTGAGCCTGATAATTAACCAAAATGCACATAAAACATTAATAAATAGTAAACACTAGATTACCAAAAAGGTAACAAGAACAACTCAGGGTATAAACAAGAGCTTACGTAGTCAATGAGAGAGGATCCATTCAAGGAGTTGTCACCATTCACGCGGCTCACTGTTAAGGGAAATCAAAAACTTTCATTATATCAGAACAATAATAAGCAATGAATCATATACCGTAGAATGAAAAAGAAAGAAGTTATACCGTAACGGGCAATGGCATTGCTCTCAAATATGGCACCTTCTGGAGTCTCAAGAACAGGAACCTAGTAGGATCATCATAACCTTTTTATTAGCCAAGAAATTTCTAAAATCAAAACCTACACAGCTTATAGAGAGAGAGGATCCACACCTTTCCAATAGGGTTCATCTTGAGGAAGTCGGGGGTTTTGTTAGTGACGCCCATCTGAAAGCTTGCGTTCTCCTCAATCTTCACGCCGGCATACTCTGCGGCAATGAGTGCCTTATAGGCACCCTTGTTTCCCTTGTAAGTGTGTAAAACCTGAATCATAGTAAGGTTCCACAAAATTAATCAATGAAACTTAGTTATACTCAACAAATCTGTCTTTCTATGCATGATCGTACAAACGCAAAAGGAAGTTCGAAAAATCTATGTCAAACAAATCCAATTTCTCAAATTTCTACAGTACGAAAGATGATCACAACTCAATAATCCAACTCAAATCAGTTTTTCGATGCATAATCGTACAATCGCAGAAGAAAGTTCGAAAATCAGTGTCAAACAAATCCAATTTCTCATCTACAGTACGAAAGATGATCACAACTCAATAATCCAACTCAAATCAGTTTCTCGATGCATAATCGTACAATCGCAGAAGAAAGTTCGAAAATCAGTGTCAAACAAATCCAATTTCTCAAATTTCTACAGTAAGAAGCTGATCACAACTCAAAAATCCAACTCAAATCAGTTTTTCGATGAATAATCGTACAACCGCAAAAGGAAAATCTGTGTCAAACAAATCCAGTTCTCAAGTTTCTCCAGTAAGAAGATGATCCAGTAATGAGCTAAGCAGTGATAATTGCGACTTATAGAAACAGTGAGAACTCACCAAAGCCATTGCTACGACGGAAGAAAGCTACGAACTCTCGAGGATTCTGAGCTCAGATCTAGCACCAACGAAAAAACAACAAGTAAACAGTGAGTCGAAGAATTTGGCAGCTAAAAACTCGACGCGATAAAGAGAAGCAGATAGATCGGTTAGCTTACGAGAGTTTCTGCAAATTTTCCGTTGAGAGCAAAGCGAGCGAGCGAGGGAGAGAGAAAGATAAAACGCGGCGGCGAGAGACACTATAAAAGAGTGAGTAGAGAAGGAATTGTAAAATTAGGGCTGTACAGAAGGATCGAGATATACGGTCTAGAGAATATTCTCCGTTCGGTTTAGCCCTCTGGTTTTGTGCCAATTTATTGTGGTTTGTTTTTTCCAAATTGGGTAACGTTTTCTATTTATGTGCCTATATGTTATACGTTTCTCTACAAAAATGTCCAAAACATACAAAGTTTCTCTAATGCCTTCAAAATCAAACGGGAATATTGAATCGAATTTGTGGTTAGCTTATTCTGATTCGAAAATCAAAAATCCGGTTTGGATTCGAAAATTTTGGTCAAAATTCAAAGAAAAAATTGCTCTTTTTAGAAATTTTGTCATTGAATCCTTACTAGTCACTACTCTTATGATCTTGTTTCCAAGCAAGATTTTGCTCCTCCAAGCATGCATTTTGACTTCAGTATACAAGACTGATGAGTTTTGTAATCATTTGTATAGTTTATGAAAAGAAATATCTTTTTAATTAAGTAGTAGCTTCACAAACAATTAATGTAAAATATTGATAACATTATTAGTAGGTCCACTAAATTATATTTTTTTGTCTTTGTCCTATGTAGATTTTTTATTGAGTTCAGTTTCTTCTAAGTTCATTCACAAAATTAGTTATACCTTCCACAAGTCATTTCTTCACAAACCTCTGTGTTTTGGTCAACAGTACCAACAACTTTCAAGCATCTTCTCTTAATCTTTCTCTTCCTCTTCTTCTCTGCGTTTTACTTTGGTGTGACCAAGAAACCATAACTAAAGAACAAGAAAATGGAGGTTTCAATCTGGAAATGGTGTTTGATCGTCATAGCTATCATTTTCTTGGCAATTGCTTCCCACTTCTTGGGAAGACTCTTGTGCACTCCTCGAGAGAGAATCGCAGACAGTAAGATCGAAAAGAAACATGGACCAATCGCAGAAGAAAAGACTTCAAAAAAAGGCGGTGAACAACTCGTATGATGATGATGATCTTGATTCTCATAGAGCATACAAGTTTCTTTGTCAACTGTCAAGTTTATATTGCAACTTGTAAGTTCATGCTATTTTTTTTTAACTCTTCTTGCAAAATAATACCAAGTGTATGAGATCAATTCCACTTTCTATTAACACAAAATCAAGAAGGCACAAGAGACTAATAGAGCAGCAAGATTCTTGAAACAGTAATGATTCCTGAATCAAGATTTTATTATATTATATCAAAAAGAATCAATGAGATTTAATGTTAGCAACATGACTGTACAAAGGCAAGATCCTAAGTCCTAATCCCTTTCTTCAGAACCATACAAGTCTAACAAAAAAAGATGAGTAAAGTATGGTCAAGAACCATCATAACATGTTTTTTTTTTTATAACTTTCTCTACGAAATCTAAAAACTTATTCTGAATCAAGAAACCTCCCAAACCACATTCAGTTACCCGGAAGAACGGCTTTAGCAGCCTGTCTGTTATCGTCCCTCTTAGCTTTATCAGCTTGAGCTCTGCGAACAGCCAGCAAGATCTGTCTTTCATGTTCTTTCAACATCTCTTCCAAGTTGCCTTCTCCTGGAATCAATGGTCCTGAGTACTGAATCCTCTCTCTCTTCTCACCACCATAACCCTATTGTACACCAAAACTGTGATCAGCCAAGAACAAACAAACAACAACAATGTTAAAACACAGTTTCTCTTATTACCATTATCGATTCTTTGCTAGAGGATGAGTGGTCATCTTTCCTCAAACCATTCGGTTTCTCAAGCAATCTCTGTGACAGATTACAATTCCCTGAGCCACCATCTTCAAGCCACCTTTGGTTCACTATAGCGTCTCTCATACTTCCAAACTGTGATGATCCATCTCTAGAAGGCGCCACCGAGTTTGAGAATCTTGACAACTGTGATCCCCCTCGTTGCACATAAGACCTTTGTGTTCTTAAATCCTCTCCATTTGTGTAAACCGGGTAAGGATTCTGTGCCTTCCGTGGTTCGATCCTGAAGCCAGAGCCAGAATCTCCCTCAGGGTTGAATATCTCACTCACGCTTGTCTGGTTACTCTCCCCAAAACGTTTCTTTTGCAACAAAGAACAAAAAATCTCAAGCAATAAGATAAAAGAAGCATAAGCTTATAGCTACACACATACACACATAAGCTTGTATAGACTCAGAAGATACCTGTATTGATGACAGTAACTCAGCATTGGCTCCAGGAGCCGGTACAGCTTTAGATAACCGTTTCGGTTCGTTCTGTTTACTGCTTGCACCTTTCCTTCTGCTCATGATAACAAAATTTGGGATAAGTAAGTGTTACTGAGATGATACTAAGAGCAAGACTCTTCCAGTAAAAGCATGAATCTTACCTTCTTGCTTCCTCTTCTCTAAGCTTGACATCAAACTCTTTCCTTGGCTGATATCTCGGTAAACTTGATGGCTCACTCGGATAAGGTTTTGTAGTAAAGAACTGAAACCGAAACGAGTATCAAACACGTATGTATCTAAGCCTGAATCTAGTAGCTAGGAGAGAAGGTTCATAGGTTTAAACCTCGCTTTGAAGAGCAGAAGACGTGGTTCCACGTGCTTCCGGTTCTACAGCTAGAAGAACCTCAAGGAGAGCCAAAGCTGAAGCAGGAATAAGATCTTTATACGTATCAGCTAAACATCGCTTGTACTGACGTTGAGGTTTAAAGATAGTCGCATGACGCAATCTTGATCTTTGCCAATACTCTTCAGAAGGTGATCCACAGAGTTTAAAGATCTTGTGCATTTGTTCTACCTATATAGAAACCAAAAGTCCATATTCATATTCATTTCTTGCATTGACATAACACTGAAAGCAGTCGCTCTTTAATGGAAACGAAACGATACCTCGGTTCGTCCGGGAAGAAGAGGCTTTCCGGTGAAGAGCTCAGCAAGAATGCAACCTGCGCTCCACAGATCAACTGTAACTCCATAGTCTGTTGAGCCGAGAAGAAGCTCAGGCGGTCGATACCACAAGGTCACAACACGGCTAGTCAGAGGCTGCTTTCTTTGGCCTCGGTAAAAGTTAGAAAGACCAAAATCGCCAATCTTGAGGTTATTGTTACGGTCAAGGAGAAGATTTGAGCCCTTGATGTCACGGTGCAACACACCACAGCTATGACAATGTTCTAGTCCAAGCAGCAATTGCTTCATATAACATTTTATCTGGCCAAAGAAAAAAGCAAATCAAATGTTACAAATACTGATCATAACCACACACAAAATCACTACAAACACATACACACACACACACACACACACAAATCAAATCAAATGTTATAAAACTGATTATAACCACACACTAAATCACTACAAGCACATACACACACACACACACACACACACAAATCAAATCAAATGTTACAAAACTGATTATAACCACATACAAATCACTACAAACGCATCTACTGATTATAGCCACACACAAATATTAAAACTTCAGATTTTGTGTTACCTGTGCTTGAGAGAACTTAATCCCAGGGGTTGAAGAAAGGCCTGAGAGATCATGATCCATGTATTCAAACACAAGATACATACTTCCCGAAGCTTTGGAGATGATAAGACCTTCGAGTTTCATAACGTTTGGATGGTTAAGCCTACGGAGGATGATGATCTCTCTCGCCATGAACCTCACACTCTCAGGATCCATATTAGCAAACCGGACCTTCTTCAACGCAACGATTTGGTTCGTCTCGAGATCACGAGCTCTGTACACATTGCTATACGTCCCTTGCCCAATCTGCAAATTCCAAAAACACAAAACAAGAATCAGCATTAACTTTAGTTAAGCATCATCAAAGATTCAAAAAGCAGAGATTTTTACAATCCCCCTCACCATCTCCAACTTCTCGTATGAATCAGCACTGCGAGGAATCCAACCGGTAAGAGCTTCACCAGCAACAGAGACTAACCATGAAGGCCAACCAGCAATAACCTTAGATGTTCTGTCTCCATTTCTAACACTACCAACTCTACACATTCTTGGCTGCAACGGTCCTACACTATCTACCAACTCCAAAGTTGTATCCTTTTGAGACACAGATACAGAGGATTTGATCTCAAAGCTCTCTTCTTTCTCCTTCTTCTCCTCCTCTTCCTCGTCATCATCATCAGAGAAGATGTTCTTGGTATCGTTTGGTATCAACCTCAATGTAGCTTCGTTTCCGTTAACGACTGATTCCTCAGGATCTAGATTCTCGTTTCTCGATGAAGAAGATCGTTTCTTTGAGGCTTTTGGAGTGTTGTCTTTGGCTATACTTACATGGTTGGTCTCGATGTAATCATCATTGGTTCTTACTCCTTTTGAGCAAATGCAGCCCATGATTCGAGATCAGGACACTGTTGAGATTTCAGATTTGAAATCTTCTTCCTTTCTTCTTGCCCAGAAACCAAATTTCTGAAAAAATTTGAACTTTCACCAACCAGCATCAACAACAAAGCTTGTAGCTTTTTCGATTTTCGGTTTTTCACTGAGCAACTTTTTAAAATCAGATTTGAATTTTGATGGATAACGAAATGGATGAGCGTAAAGTGGGAAAATTTAAGAAGAAAATGTCGAAATTTGAAGGACCCAGAAACCAATTCTGGAGAATATATAAAGCCTAGATCATAAGATCAACAAAGACAAAAACATGGAGGAAGAAGAAGAAGAAGATGAAAAGGTGAGATTTTGCAGATCTAACGAAACTGGGGATATTTAAATCGACATTGTTGATTCCGAAAGTGGTCTGACTTGGTCAGTGAGAGAAGAAAAAGAGAAAGAGAAGAAAGATCATAGAAATTTTGCAAAAAGAGAGAGATTTTCGGATCTGAGTTTGTTCATAAGTCCTTAACGAAAACGAAATAGAGAATCAGAAGGTGTTGGGTCGTTGGTTTAGGGTTTTCAAATTTGTGAAAAGCAAAAAGAAAAGAAAAAAAGTATGGAAAGAAAATTAAAATTGTTCAAAGAAGGAAACAAAGACAAACAAGGAAACAAGATGCAAATGAAAAAAAGTCAAAAAGTCAGAGAGAATCTAAGAATAATAATAAAGGTTATTAAATATACTGTCAAATGACTAAAGTATCAGAGCTAATTAGCAAGATACCATCGAAACCCTTTATAAAGATGACTTACCAAACGATATTTATTTATTTTTGTATGAAAATGACATTAGATTGGTGATATTGTTAACTAGTGGAGAAGCAATTATTGTCTTTGATCAGCCTTTTTAAAAAATATTCCTAAGGTTTGGAGAAAGCTGCAAGATCCAACGTTTTATTCACTTGTGAGATTCCAATGGTTCGGCTCGAACGGTATAATTTTGGTATATGTGTGAACCTGTGTTTATGTTCAAAAATTAGCTAGACGTTTATCGTGTGTATATGGTCTGGATATTTCTCAAAAATCAAAGATTACTCGGATAAAATTTTTTAATACATTTTTCTATTTTATTTAAAATTTACAAGCTAATAAATCAATATGAAAATCATATATTAGATATAATTATCTCGAATTCACTTCAGTTAATGCTAGAAAACCTCAATACACTGTGATTAGTTTATTTTTTGTCCATTTGGGAATGATTTCACGAAAATCGTAGTTAAATTTTGAATTTAGAACAAAAAAACTCTAATCTGGTTGGTCAGAAAAAAAAAAAAAATATATATATATATATATATATTTTGGGCATATTGGGCTGAATTTTGGATGTTATTGAGAAAAAAATATATATTAGTTTGGCCCAATATTTTTGATTATTTGCCGAGTTTTCCAATTACGCAGGTTACACTGTAAAAAAAGGTTGCATAGCCGATTAGACGGCCGCTAATGCTACATGCATAGAATCTAATTTACAGTGATTCTATGCATGTAGCGATTACTCGGCCGCCTAATCCGCTAGGCGACTGATTTTTAGAACTGGAGTATAAAACCATTCATGCATTCCAAATTTGGTTAGCTCTACAACATTGATTTATGTAAAAATAAGCCTAACACTTGAAAACAATTGGAGAATCAAGACATTGCTTTTTGTTCAAACCGCAACCAAGTCATCACCAATCATAGTTACTAAGAATACAACCAAGAAACATAGTTATCCATGATACATTTTAGTCCAAAAAAAGATTTAAGGTTCTTTCTTTAAACCATGGCTAGTTATAGATAACCATCTTTCTGTTTTGGCATCTTCCAAACAGCACCTTCAGAAAAACAAAACAAACAAAAGTTAACTATACAAAGATAACACTAACGTAAAAATAATTAAATCATCATAACTTTTGTTCAGGAAGAGAAACAAAACAAAATCTCCATATGCAGCCAACCTAAGATTCAACATTCTACTTTCGTTATCTTTTTGTTTATCCAACTCTTTAGCTGGTGCGTGTATGTGTTCCGTTACTGGCTTTGAGGTAAAAAGAAGATACAACATAGTATTTTGGTTACTGGTGACGTGCTTACTCATTCTTGCATCAGTCATCACCGCAGATCCGTACACCATATCATTGTTATTTGTTCTTCTCGGCACTTTCTATGTGAAGTAGATATAAATTCGCTACAAGTAAAAACACACACAAGACTAAATTGGCAGAAATTGTCTGCCTTTTCTTTCTCATTTATATAAGAAATAACGTGCATGAAGCAAATAACGAAACAAGAAAGAAATCATTCTCCACTGTTTTTAATAATGATAAATAAAAATAAAATTACTGAAACAAAGGACTACAAATAAAAGACTTTTTTTTCTTCTCAGCCTCTGTCATCTTATATATAATAAGAGGCCAACTCTCTCCACGTCAGCATCGGGGAGAGTTGGCCACGTGGCATGCTCATGTGCTTTCACCCTTTATGATTAATATTTTCTTTTCCTTTTTACGCATTTTTTCAACTCGAGAGAGGGTTTCATACTTCTCACATCGGCCGCATCAACCGTCGTTTCCACAGATAAGCGATTCTCATCGCTTTCCCCTGTCCGTGATTCGTCGTCGTCACAGATCGCCTTCCCGTATATGTTCACTGCTCTTCACCTCGCCCACATCAGGTCGGTCAGATTTTCCGGGATTCTAGATTCCTCACTCTTCCGCCGCCGCTGCCTTACGTTCCGCAGAGTCAAAACACTGCCGGAGTCCTCACCGATCACCTCCATCTTCCCATGTCCGTCAATCGTCCTCGCCACAGATCCGCCATAATTCTCAGCGATCTGTGGATCCTGAATTCCTCCATCCTCCGCCGCCGTTGCCTTAAGTACCGCTTGGACGTCACGATGCAGACATGCCCCAAGGGTCTTTCATTGCAGGAAAAGATTTCGTAAGATGGAGAGACCCTTTCATTTAATGGGTCACTCTTTAAAGGTCCATAGGTGTCATGCTCGATTGATACTGGTAATTGGATGTACGGTATGATTTTAATTGCTCAAAAATTAGGTAAGAAAGACACTTGATGATAGGCGTTATTAGAATCAAACAGTTTTGTGTCTATAAGGGAACAAAATAGCTAAACAGTTGATCAGTTTATCATGTCTAACCCACTTTTCATAATTGGTTTGGGCAGGTGAGACTTGAAGGCCAAAATGTTCATACAAGTGAGAAGAACAGTGGGAGACTGGGAGACCGGGGAACAAGTATGACACAACATGAGACAAAAAAAAATGATGTGGGAAACAAGCGAGATGTGGCGGAAGGGAAGGGTATGACTGGTGAAACCAAATTTGGGTGAGCGCACAATGATAAGAGTGTGGGTGTACACGTACAAAAATACCAATAGTTATAGACTCTATGACACGTAACACAAAAGATTATGTTCGAAATTTTGAGTTTACATATATTGCATAGTACTGTATGTAACTCTGTATTTTATTTATTTATTTCTACCAAAAATCAAATATGGTTTCTCATAATTGCATATGAAAACTTGAGTTTAACTTTAGTTACAAAATCAGAAGACAAAAGTCCTCTATATGAATTTCTATACGAGAAGGCTATAAAGAGAGAATCATGATCACTCGATCGATGATTTGCTCTTAATTAGTCTACTGAACTGAAAAGCTTTTTTTTAGTGATCTCTCTTATAGAAAGTTTTTGAGATGTCAGGGAAGTAACTCAGGGTAAGGTCGTCGTTCGTTAACTCTTGAGCAAGATCATTCATGTAATGCACACACACCCCCGGTTCAGAAAACAACAAACGGAGCCAACGAGCCACCAATATTTTAAAATTTAAAGCAAGAGCTTTATGCTGCTGGGCATATAACACAAAAGATGTAGGTGATGTAGTTTGATAACCAGTCATGTTCGCGTCCTCAAATGGTATATATTTCAGTATTATTTATGTCTTTGGCAGAATTCTATAATGCCTTCATAAGCTTTGTCAACGCATTCTTTTATTTTTGTAAAAAACTGAACTGGTCTTACACAAATGAGTCTACATGTAGTATCTTTTTTTAGTATCCACATTTACAATTAAACAATGTAATGCTTGCATTTAACATGTCTCATGCAACATGTGCTTCCTAAAGCCATTAGTATCACTTGAACAAGTGATAAGAATCAATCAAGCATGTCGTCCTTTGTTCATCTAAATCCAGAATTCCACTTTATTCCTACAATGTGTGACCGAATTACCAACTAACTACATCAACAACTCTATATATCGCATTAACTCATCATAAGTAGAGAAAGTAAAATACTTTAACTTAGGATAACAGACTTGGCCATAATATTACTCATACGTAAAGCATATTTACCTTTTCGTATACATTTGTCATGTAATTATGATTATAAATTAAGCACAAGAAAATGTTACAAATTTAACAAAAAGAAAAACCCGCGCATTGCGCGGGTCACATTCCTAGTATTTTTAAAATGAGGATAAAAATCGAAATAAGTCTCAGCACCAGCATCGAGAGCAGCCCCTAACACACTCCTTCTAGAATCGTCCGATTTTTGTTGTGAAATGTCACTAGCATTATCTATATATAGAAGTCAATTGCGATAAATGAGTCAGTAATACATTCAACTTAAGTGATTTTGTCATCCGATTACGTGCTTGACGAATATGAATAAGTAAGAAAATTAGGGCGACTAAGTGTTATAGGGGTACGTACCGGGTTCAGAGTCAGACGAAAGACCTCTCACAATCGAAACCCCAACGTTTCTTGTTGCGGTGTTTGAGGGTTTCCTGGTAGATCTCACGGCGAGGTGGACAAATTTGGTGATGATTAGGTTTTTCTGCATATTTGTTTCTCTCTTGAAAGACAACCAAAATCCCAAGCGAACTAAATTAATTTAGGGTTTATGATATACTACTGGAATTACTTGCGCGGCAAGGCAATCTAATTGTCAGAGATCTAAACTTATCTATTTGTACCTTTTATTAGACGTCATCTATTCATACTGTTTTGGATAGGTCGGAATGTGACTCAAGATCAACTCTATTGACGGTTTAATTAATACCGTTTTGGTCAATGTTGATATTGGTGACAACTTTAATAATATGAGTACATAGATTTTAAAATCATGAATTGAGGTATGCTTAAAGCACATAATCGTGCATGTGAATTTAGATATACTCCCAGACAATGAATGAAACCAATATATAAAAGACAATCTACCCATTTCTAATTGGTCGTATCGTATTGCTCTAAAGACAAGTAACTCCTACCCAGTCTCATGTTCCGGTTAAGAAATTAAAAATTTAGTCTGCTCAAGCTCAATGTGTATATGAATCTTTTTCTAAAATTTTAGTTATGAAGAAACAAAACTAGTTAAGGGAGAGGGATAGAGAATATTACTGAAAAACAATGTTTGTTTGTTTCTTGTAATATGAAGTAGTCCAATAGAAGTGGCACACACAAACTCAAAGGATAACAAGGTTTAATTAACTGAAAAAACACCAATTTGTTCATGTCCAAAACACCAATTTGCTGAAAAAACACCTTTTTCAGCTACGTTTTCAGGTTCGGATTGAATCAAACAGCTTTGCCCTTCAATAGCTTCTCTCACCAATTAATGTTGACAAAACAAATTCTAAATAGTTTATGCTTTCCTATATAAATTCTAAATTTCTTGTCATAGTTATGTTGCAGTTTATGAATGGTTCGAAGCTCACAGTTTCTTTTCAGATCATCTTAGATATTTTTTTTTGTTTCGTGTGTGTATTTGGATCGCATTGATTTTGACGAAATTTTGTTGATTTAGTGATGACATAAGGGATGAAACTTTGATATGAAAAACAGGATCATAAGGTAGGAGGAGCTTGAAGAGTACTTTTACGAGTTTCTCCCAGGCCCGCTTCCCGAGAAAGCGCCGCCGATAGAAGATGAGTCTCCACCGCCGTTGCTCGCCACCTCAGTTCTCCTCTTCGTGAAGCAGCTCTTCTCCTCCTCCTCCGGCCACCCGCAGTCTCCCGACGAATCGTCTTCCGCCGTCTCCCTGTCGCCGGTGAATATGCTCTCTGGTTTTCATGGGTCTCAGTTCTGTGATGTTGGGAGCTCCTCCGCGCTCAGCTCTCTCGACCTTGACGTTGTGACCCACCCGATCCTCCGGATCCTCCAGATCTGGTCGCCACCTTCGGTCATCCTTCGTTCTTCGTCGCCGCCTCAGGCTACCCGCCGAGTACGCTCCTTCGTTGTCTGGATCTAGGGCTTTGGTTCCCCTCCCTTGTATCCTCCGAGGACTTGCTGTTGGCTTCTTGGTGTCTTTGTGCTGGAGGAGGCAACTCCTTGTCCGGGTTATTCCCGGCTCTTGTATTAGCCTCCGACCTCTCCGCTACCACTACCATCTCACCGGTTCCGTCGACTACGAGTTCGACAGCCTCTCTCTCCCTCGTCGCCCCTCCTCTCCAGTCCCTCCAGGTATGCCCTTGCTTCTCATTTTCCGACGCTTCTTCTCTGGAGTTTCGGAATTTTGAGTTTGTGGCTCTGGAATTGTGGAATCCGAGATTAATATTATCTCTTCCTTTGGGTTTGTTATTCCCCGTTCTCTTATTGGTCCTCTCTTTTGGCCGATATCTCGCCGTGGTGCGATCCCTTACTGCAGTATGCAGATTGTTACCCTTGTTTGCTCTTCGGGCTTTGGCTTTGAGGTTGTTGTTTTCACTCCTGGTTGGACAGAAACACTTCCTTTTATTGCTTTCCGGCAGTGAATATGGCTCCTTTGGACTTTCATAGTCCTTTTATCTCCTTTAAGGAGCTTTCTCTCCTCCCATGTAATCTACTTTTGTTGAGTGGTATTGTTACAGGGAGCATGTTATTGAAGGTTGTTGTGCTTGAAGCAGAAGCGAGGATGTTTGACATTACGTTCGGCACTTCTCGTTCAGCATTGGTGTATGCTGACTTTATGGCCTTATTGATCTTGGAGGCTTTATCTCCTCTTCCGTGTGGTGGTTACAAGCAGGATTGCATAGCTAAAGTTGAAGTCTTTATCGCTTGCCCTTGTTTGGATGCACCTTTATCCCTAAGTCTATATGAGCATTGTTGTTGTTTTAGTTTTATCAGTTGCTTTGATATTTTCAGCTCTTTGTAGCTCTGTTGTATCCTCTCTCAGTGGAGGTTAAACTCTTTTTCATTAATGCAAGTATCGTCTGAACAAAAAAAAAAAAAAGTGATGACATAAGGGATATGGTTTGTAACCTATGTTAAGACATTACTTCCTCAAGGCATCTTATCATATCTTTGTACATATAAAATGATAGAAAGATATTAAAGTATGTAAATGTTCTGGAAATAAAAACATTTGAAGATGATTTTTTTTTTTTTTTTTTTTTTTTTTTTTATGCTTGCAACTTTGCAGTCAAATCAAAATCATGATCTTTATTGTTTTTTTCAATATAACAAATTATAAACAAATCAAATATATTTTTTGATTTTTAACAGTATATACGATTCTTATAAGATTCCAATTGTACTCCTCGGATACTTTTCCATCATCCCCTTTTTGCCATGTTTGCCTCTTTAATATCTCACAGTTGTCGACAAAAAAAAAATCTCACAGTTAAATGTTTGCAATCAAATCTTTATTATTTCACAATAAACAAATCAGATAACTGCTATATTATCACCCATATTAGGAATCTATATTTACTAATTAAGATCAGTATATCCGATTCTTATAAGATTCCAATTTTACTCCTCGGATACTTTTCCATCATCTTTTTTTCCCCCATTTTTTGGCTCTTTCATATCTCACAAGTTAATGTTTGCAATCAAATCTAAATCATGACCTGTATTATTTCACAATATATAGAAACTTCTTAACATTTGTACTTCTTAACATTCGTACCAACAATAAAAGGAAACATTATAAATAAATCAAATAACTAATTTTTTTACACCCATATAAAATCTAATTTTGATTTTTTTAACAGTATATGCAGATTCCAATTTTACATCCTCGGAATCTCGGATACTTTTCCATCACCCTTTTTCTTGCCATGTTTGACTCTTTAAATATCTCACAATTTAATACTTTTCCATAAACAAAAAAAATTAACAGAGACAAATTAGGAAAAAGACAAACGCCGCCAGGGTGGAGCCACGTAACCAAAATAAATCAAAAATCCGAAACCCGGATACAACTCACAAAAATCAAACCCGTACCCGGAGACAACTCATGAAATCAAAACCCGAACCCGAATCTGGACCCGGATCCAGAGTTTCTCGGTTATTATTTCACAGCTGGAAACAGCCTGTCACCAACGGAGAGTCTCTTCCTTCTTCTTCTTCTCTCTCTCTCTATCTTTTTTTTCTCCCTCTCTATCTCTCCTTTTTCTTCTTCCTCCTCTCTTCTCTGTTTACGCCTCATTATTATCATTATCATCTCTCTCTCCGATTCTTAGGGTTTTCTCCGATCTCTTCCTCTCTCTCCGCCGCTCAGATCTTCCCCGTCTCTAACTCCTTTTGGATCCCGATTCTCCTCCTTGTAAGCTCTCTCTATTCCACCATCTCCTTTCGATTGTTTTCGGTTAGATTTTCGATTCGTTTCACGTTTTGTAATTCTCCTGTTTCGTCTTCCTCGGATCTGCAAGTATTTGATATTTTCGTGTTTGCATTATCCGCGTATTATTGATTTTGCTTTCGTTCGTGTATACATATACGTATTGACTCTGGTCCTGTGAATGTAAATCTCTTGCTGTAGATACGTATTCTTAAGATTCTGCGTAAACAGAGAATGTATTTCTCTAAACGGAGAAAAAGTTTCATGAAACCTTGTTGACTTGGGATTTTATATTTTCAATTTTTGTTGTCATCGATTTTGTTCCACTGAAATCGAATACGTTGCTTGAATAATCTTTTTGTCAATGTTCCTTGATGTTTGTTTACTGGAATCACGTTAATGAATGTTTTTTCAGCCAATTTCTTACACATTTAGGAAGATATTGTTGATATAATGCTTGAATTGGTAATATAATGCTTGAATTGGTGGCAAATTGTCTTGTTTTCAGATATTGAATACATTTTTTTGTACAATATTTTGGCATCTTTGGAAGGTTTCTGATTTTATTCGTTTGTTCAGTTTATGTAGGTCACACGCATAACAAGTTCTAGAGTCAAGGTCACAAAAGTTCTTTATCCGGGTGATCTGGGCTGCTCTATTTGCATCGAAGTTTCAACATTTAGCTCTGATTCTGGTCTTCCACAAGCTTCGGATGGTTCCTCGCTGATTCTTGATCTTGAAAAAAAAAACTGTTGAAGAGAGGAAGGGCAAAATCTAACAGCAGCGATTGCTAGAGAACGTTTCTGCATCCATGCTGGTAGAGAGCATGCGTGGATACTGTGTTTTGGGTGATGCCCCTGACAAAATTAGTTCCCGATGCATTCGGCGTGGTGACCATATGTCTAGTCGCTCTGCTAATCCTCCTCGGTCTCCTTTGCATCGCCTACTCTTTCTACTTCCAGTCTCACGTTCGTAGGCAAGGCTACATCCAGCTCGGCTACTTCAGCGGCCCCTGGATCATCCGAATCACCTTCATCCTCTTCTCCATCTGGTGGTCCGTCGGCGAGATCCTCCGGCTTAGTTTCTTGAGGCGTCAGAGAAGGTTCTTGGATCTGAGATGGCAAGAGAACGCCTGCAAGTGGTACATCGTCTCCAACCTCGGTTTCGCGGAGCCTTGCCTCTTTTTAACTCTCATGTTTCTCCTGCGAGCTACTCTGAAGATGGAGTCTGGTGCTCTGAGCGGGAAATGGAACAGGAACACTGCTGGCTACATCTTTCTCTACTCTCTCCCCATGCTCGCGCTTCAGCTCGCGGTTGTGTTATCGGAATCGCGCTTAAACGGTGGTAGCGGCGCTTTTGTATCGCTGCCGCACGACTTCACGAGAACCTTTATTATCAATGAACAGGACGGCGAGGTTGCGTCTGCGTTGTGCACTTACCCTCTTCTCAGTACAATCATCCTCGGCGTGTTTGCAGCGGTTTTAACATTTTACTTGTTCTGGCTTGGAAGGCAGATACTGAAACTGGTGATTAACAAGCGTCTTCAGAAGAGAGTGTACACTTTGATATTCTCTGTCTCGAGTTTCCTTCCGTTGAGGATCGTTCTTCTCTGTTTGTCTGTGCTCACTTCGCCGGAGAAGATTCTATTTGAAGCTATTACTTTCTTGGCCTTCTTCTCCCTCTTCTGCTTCTCTGTGGTTTCAATCTGCTTGCTTGTTTACTTCCCGGTTTCGGACTCTATGGCTCTGAGAGGTTTGAGGGATATGGAGGATGAGGAGAGGACCGTGACGGAAGAACGCAGCGGTGCTCTGTTGCTTGCTGCGCCGAACAGTTCGGAGAACGAGGAGGGTTTGAGCTTGAGAGGTCGGAGAGACTCTTCACAGGAGAGGTATGTGGAGCTTAGCTTGTTTCTTGAAGCTGAGAACTGAAAAATCTCGTCGAAAAAGGCTGTTTCTTTGGCTTTTTTTTTGGCTAATGTTAATGTACAGATTCCTGGTGAAATAAGCAGAGAGAGAGAGAGAGAGAGGGCTAAAGAGTTGAGGTTTGTGGGGGAAAATGGGGATTAATTTTCAGTTTTGTGGCGAAGACACTTTGACTGTAAAGGAGGGTTTGGGGTGGTGGTGGTGGGTTTTACTCTTTGTGAGGGTTTGTTGTTTTGAAATGTTTTTTTCTGTTTGATGGATCATATTTTTGTACCCTTTATTATGTGATCAGTTTTGGTTTAGAAAAAAAAAAACAAAACTTAACTAATCAGCGATGACCCCCATTAATTAAACCTCGTTTAGCATGACTACATTTTATGTTACTCCCAACATTGCCTATAGTTTCTACCGCTGCTTTCACAATCACGAATGACCGATATTTTTGTACTTATATTCACTTTGAGAAACGCAAGTTCTATCTCGCATCTCTGGATCGTGTAATATTGTTTTAATTATCGAAATCATTTTCTATTCGTTGATGTCCAACGGCCGTGTTCGGTTTGAGACTCTCTTAAAATCCTATACATTAAATCAAGGTTTTTGGATATGTGGCAAATTAGCTAATTTGTTGACAAAAAGCAGTCCCGTACGATGTTTTTTGGTAAAATATGAACTTGTCCCCGTATTTTACAAAAAGAAACAAAAAACTCATCATACGAAATTGACAAAATAAATAAAACTCACGATTTCTCTGGACATCTACATGGATATGGGCTCCGGCTTACAGTCTATTTGAATATTCGGAGAAAGGGTTTATCCGTGGGCTGCACCTTCCCCAGAGGATTAGTCTGGACCCGACCATAGGCCTATGATTTACCCCTGAATTATCAATGACAAAATAAATAAAACGCTGGCACTGCACTGTGTTACTAACGTCTCTGGACGCGGGCACTTTCGTTTGCTTACTTAAACGTCAATCAAAATCCTGTCCATTGTGGTAACTAGAAATTTTTGTTACATGGTCAGTCATTACTCTATATAAAATCAATTATTATTATTATTTTTTTGAACTTTTACTCCCTCCGTTTTTTTTAAGATGAATTTTATAGAGTTTTTACACATATTAAGGAAAAGCTGATTTTCAATCATTAATGCATATTTTTTGCAATAAAACAACTTTTTATAATTCTCAACCAATAAAAATCTAACAAATACAATTAATGTTTCTTGATAACTGGAAAAATGTATCAAAAAGCTAGAAAATTTATCTTTGTGAAACAACAAATAATATCTAGAAAATTTATCTTAAAAAAACGGAGGGAGTATCCATTTAAGAAGTAGAATAAAAATAATGTCATTGTAAACATGAAAATGACAATTGTTTTCGGATAAAATATATGTAGTTTTAAAAAGTAAATACATCATTTTCTATAATAAGTTTTTTTTGAAATATTATTTAGGAAAAACGATATGACATATGTTCTCAAAATTGTTTTTGAAAATGTATAATCAAGTGTCCACATTAGCTAATTCTTGCGTTTATCTACAACCAGTTTTTCTTCTAAGTGAAATACATGTATGAAACCTCAATTAAACTAGTTTTTTTTTCTAAGCTAATGCTTATGTGTTTCTAACCAAATCATGTATGAAAGTCTGAAACCTCAATTAAGTAGCAATGTAAACACAATTGTATAATGAACTGCCTATGCTACTGACTGTGTCCTTGTATAATTGTATTCTTCCATCTTTATAAAATTTGTGGAATGATCGTTGTTTATCTTGGAAAAAATAAAGCCTTATCTATCGTTTCTTGAAAATTTTGTGATGTCCACTCTATCTAGCCATGTCCCTCAAGTGTTCATCAACTTCCGGGGGGATGATTTTCGCTATGGCTTCGCCAGCCACCTTGTAGACGCCTTGAAAAGACACAACATCAATTTCTCCATAGACACATGAACAAAAAGGCAGAGACCTGAAACACATCTTTAAAAGGATCCAAGAGGCCACGATCGCGGTGGTTATCTTATCCACCAGGTATTGCTCCAATACAAAAAAAACAATTAGATGGCTTGAAATGTAGGAGTATATATGAAGAGGTTTCTTATCAAAGAAAAGGAATATGATGATATATATTATTTTGAATAGGTATGGGGAGTCAAAATGGTGCTTGGAAGAGCTAAGGAAATCATGGAACAAGCTGAGAAAGGGTTATGGTTGTGATTCCAATCTTCTATAAGTTAAGACCAGAAGACGTGAGGGAACAGAAGGGAGAGTTTGGTTATAAATTCTGGAGAGGGACCGAAGAATGTAGCCGTGAGAAGATGGGGAAATGGCAAGTGGCTTTGAAGGCTGTCTCCAACAAGTTTGGCCTCACGTTGGACAAGAATAGATACATATATAAAATATTTTTTTATTCATTTCCACTTGAATAGTGTAATTAATTAAAGTTCCCAACCTTAAAAAAAAAATTGTGTTTGAAGAACCTTTTAATAATGATACCAAATAGATAATTTTATTAGAAAACACCAAATTACATTCATTTTTTGTTTGGAAAGCATTAAGAGTTCAGAAATACATAAAACTAAGGTAGAAATGCATGAATTCATTAACCTTAAAAAAATACCCATCTTGGAAACCATATCTTGTCTCCTTATTATTATCTTCTTATAATATGGTTTTCCGTTTAGAATTTTGGAAGAACTTGAACATCTTCATTTGAAGCTGAAGATCTCTTGGCAAGTGTGATGTTAAGCCCATGCTTCATGTGAAGAACAGGACCTTGTTGTGGCTCAATCTTCTGTCCTTCGACAACTTTAATGTCATAGTTTTGTAATATCTCAACAACCACAGTTTTCATCTGAACCATAGCTAAATGCTTACCTCGACAAATTCTAGGGCCAGCCATGAAAGAAGAGAACTTGTAAGAAGGCTCATGTCTCAAGCCTCCCGTCTCTGAAACCCATCTTTCCGGCTTGAACTCCAACGCGTCGTCTCCCCAAACGGCTTTCATCCTCCCCATTGCGTAAACATGGATCAAATTTTTTGTATTTGATTTGACTTCATGCCCACTTGGAAGAACATCTTGTTTAAGTGACGACCTCAGCACGATTGGAATTGGCGGGTAGAGCCTAATTGTTTCATTCAACGCGGCATGTAAATACACCAGCTTGTTCAAGAAGGACGACATGTCTTGGTTACTTCCGGTTCTTGGTAGATTTGTGTTGATCTCTTGGCGAATCTTGGTTACCACGTTAGGGTTTATAGAAAGAAGCCAGAAGAACCAAGTGAGTGAAGAGGCAGATGTATCTCTCCCTGCTGCCATGAAAGCCACTATCATGTCTCTGAGGAACTTATCATCACTTGGGTTTAAGAGCTCGTACTTGGTCGTATCTAGCTTTATGTGGGATGTCAAAAGATCCTCACCTTCTTTATTGTTGGAATGATCATGATCATCAATCCCTTGTGCTCTTATGTATTCTCTCTTTGCTGATATGTATGTCATACACACTCTATCAAGAGTGTCACTAGCTTTCCTCATCTTCTTCTCTATCCCGAATCCGATCCCTTTTTGCAGCTTCCACAAGAATCTTGGTGTAATACTCCTATGTTGAATTGTTGATTCAACAATGATATCTTGCGCATCTAACACTTGTTTTCACGAGTTTTATCGAGTCTTTCTAGTCTTTATCGAGTCTTTTCAGGTCTAAAGACGTTCAGAGAGCTTTGGTCACATGGACCAACAGGGGAGAAAGCAGGCAAAACGGAGCAGAAGGAGCTCGATCGACTCCACACAAGGTCGATCGACCTGTACACGAGACCAAGCTCGATCGATCCCATCACCGACAGGGTCGATCGATGCATGCATGGAGAGGCAGCACGATCGATCCCATTCGCAGAAGCAAGCTCGATCGATCCCATGCAGAGCAAGCTCGATCGATCCCGTTCTATCTCAGCCGTCGATCAACCCCGCTCAGATGATATCACAGCCGTTCGATCTACTTGGTGCAAACCGACTCGATCGAACCACAGCGAACCGGATTGAACCGAAGTCGACCCCGGAGCTATTTAGACCTATCTTTAGCCATTGTTTAGGCTACGCCGTTTTTCAGAGTTTTACACTGTTGTTCATTGTTTCCGAGGGAGAAGAGATCAAACCTCTGTTATTCACAGTTTGGAGAAGATTTCTGAACCCTTGTTTTGCTATTTTCTTATTTTGATTCAATGACATTCAGTTTCAGTATTGTTTGCTGTTTCACCATGTCTGAGTAGTCACCCTGCTAGATCTAGGCTTTTCAAAGGGATTCATGTGTTAATTGACTGAATACAGATAGGGCTTTAATACTGTCTTCGCCATTGTTGCATTACTGCTTAGATCGATCTGATCATTCGATCTCTGATCTCAGATTACCTGTTCATCAAAAGTGTTATAGGTTGTTAGAACGAACTGTGGTGAGCGAATCGTCCTTAGCCTGCGAAAGTTGATGCTGAGGCGATTCGTGAACTTATCGAACCTGAGTTTATTGCTTGTCATCAACTGCTAGATTCAAACGACAGTTTAGACATCTAGGTTGTTAGATAAAGTTATCATTATCGCGAAAGTGAATTGACATATTTTCATGTTTGAGTTCGAGACCTGTTCATCATCTGTGCCCTGAATAGTTGTTCGGTTGTTAACTGTGAATCCCTGCGAATTGCCTTGGTCTAGTCCCTGTTTAATTGAATTACATCATCGTTTACATTCGTTACCTGCTACTAAAACCAATCAATCTTTGTCTTAGCTCTGTTTTAAATCTCTAGTTTCACAGTGTAACGCTGGTCCTCTGGATTTCGAATCCTTTATATTACAATCTTCATCACTGATAATTTGCAGTAGAGAAAAGGACTATTTCTAGTTTATCAAACAACGTCAAGAGCTTTAATGAACTCAACCTCAGGCATTTCAATGGAGAGAGATCTAGGATCAGAGCCGGTTATGAGAGCAAATGTTGCATCGAACGAAAATCTCTGGAACACATCTTGCAAGTCCACGACCGTCCCTTCCTCGGCAAAATGACTCAAAAAAGGAAGAAGCCCGTCGTTGAGTTTACTTCTTGTGATACTCATTGAAAGCCTTTGAAACCCTTGATGGTTGAGCATGGTTTGGGAAGCCTTCCTCAGATTCTTCCATAGCTCCGAGTTAGTGTTGATGATGGAGTCTCCGAAAGCTTCAAAGATTTCCTGGAAGTCACGACTTTTGGTGTAGTTGGAGAAGTTTGAGCTCATTATATGATGAATGTTAGATGGATCAACCGTAACCAACATATCCATTCCAGCAAACCATGGTCCCTTGAATTGAAAGTTCAAGTTAGAGTTCTCAAGAATCTCCATGCTGCTGAGATTGTAGAGCCTCAAGAGCCCACCTGGAAGCATCCCTAGAACCGGCCAGTTCCATGGGCTGCTTTCAAGGTATTTCTTGGTGAGGAAGTAACCAAATGGTTTCCTGGTGAGAAAGAAATAGAAGACGAGAAAACAAAGAAAAGCTATAGAGATTTCAAATAACCCTATCGACATAATGAGAAAAGCTTTTTTTCGGGTACACAGAAGGAGAAGATGAAGAAACTCTTTATTTAGTATACAGAATAATTAGACGAGTTCCAGATTGCCTAAATAACCAGAGGAATCTTACAAAATACATTTTTAAAAGCATCTATGTGTTTAAATAACTAGAAAAATCGTGATAATAGGAGAAGAAATGATTCATGTTGCTTGATGAAGATATTACATAAACATAACACACTAATTCACGTATCCAGCGCAAAGTAATGTAATTAAGAGGTTTTCTTGATGATGATATATAATAAGGTCTCTTGATCAGGAAGTTATTTAAGTGTTTCTTGATCAGGACTTTATAGAAATAAAAATAAAATTATCTGACAAAATGATAGAAATATAAAGGAGCCAAATACGAAACTTCGTAGATCTCATAGTAAGTAGACGTATTTCAAAGTCTATCGTGTCATTCAAGGTCGGGCAATGCAAGCAGCTGCAAACTATTATATAAACATTTTAAGAACATTACTTTTGAAATATGTCATTAGGTGTAGTTGTATATTTGATATTTCCACATAAAGATGTTCGTGTTGTACTCTCCTACAAACAAGGATCACATGGTTCACATTAATGTTATCCAGCCAATTAAAGGGATTTATTGATTAAGATGTTTCTTGATGAGGAAGTAATATAAGGTTTTTTTTGATGATCACTTGATTAGGAAATAGACGACCACACAAAAATTAGATCCAACTTTTTTTGTTTTAAAATTGTTTGTGACAATTAGTCCCAGTCTTGACGGTCCTGGTAATTAGTTATAGCTTATAACCTTTATTTGCATTTTTATTTTTATTTTAGTGAAAAAACCCCTTAAAAAGATGAATAGAGAGTGTAAACTCAATTACTATGAAATGTAATATAAAAACCCCTCAAGTAATTTTTGTTAATGAAATAATTAAAAACTAAACTTCCACTAAACTAAACCCCTCAAGAAGTCGAACGATACATGCTTCTTCTATGGTGAACCAAACCATGGGCGAAGTATTCATCTTAGAGCAACTCCAATCATAACATAAAATTTGGTATTAAAATAACACCAAGTTTGATGTTATAGTATCTTACTCTTTTTTTTTTCTATCTCCAACGAAATCCCATATAGTGTCTTACTTTGGAATAAAGCTTTGTAACGGACACACTTGATTTGAATCCACATCACTAAGAGGATACTCTTGCTTAATGTTTTTATTACGTTTGATTACAAAATACTTACGTTTGCTTCACGCTATATGCCCGCCCATTATAGATCCTAATTCATTTACGGGCCTGGATTGGGCCTGCGCAACACAAATTTTATTTTATAAAGATTTTACATTTTCGTTAGATCCTTGATCTGATGATATCTAGTTAAAAGTCTAAAGGCATCCTTTGGGATTTAACAGTTTGATGGTAAAGCATTGTTCATGTTCAAAAGGTTGCAGGCACAGGCCCATAATCTCGCTTGAGTATAATTAGATATTTAATCATTATTAACGGAAACGTTCCACTAAAAGGAGAAAACTATGAAGATTGGACCAAGCATGTGCGGAATATCTTGCGGACAAAGAGGAAACTAGGATCCATCCATGGAACCTTTGAGGAAACCAGAAACAGACAAACAATGGGACATTGTTAGTTCGTGGTATCAAAAACAACACCTTCCATATTTTTTTGCTTTATTTTGATTGGATCGACACAAATTGTGGTATAAACGTAAGATAAAAGAGTATATATTCTTCATCAGTTCTCATTCACGTCTTGGAAGAAGGTGTATGCATGTCATCGAAGTGTATCTAATTGGGATTTGGGAATGTATATACTATAATATGTTTGACTTTTATCCCAACGATGCTTTACGTGCGGTGATCTTAATTTTAAATATTTGACTTTTGTTTTTATCCGTTTCGAGAGCCGAATATCCTTCCACGGATACATGTCTACAATATTACGTTTTTGTTGAGATTGTCTAAAGAATCTAGCAAATCCCCAACTTTAGAAGATGTCTTACACAAGAGTTTGCGCCTGCCATCGAAACAGACCAATGAACACACAAAACGTGATGGACAAGTTCCATGTATTTGGAGATTATTTAAATTGGATCTTATATTGTTTCATACTCTCAGTTATGGTTTGTTTTGCTTGTCCCTTCGTCATGAGACGTGGTGAATAGTGTGTATGATACCTGAAAGTGAAACATAAAAGTTATCAAACCGACAAAAATAAGGTTGACTTTATTCCAAATGATGATCAAATTTAATACCCGGCTATAGACTCATTACAACTTTGAACTGATTTTCAAACGACAATCAAGTTTCAAACTACAAGAAATATGTGTATTGATAGCACAGTAAGATAGCTCAGTTTTCTTAAATGCTACTATTAAAGATGTTTTGTTGGATTAGGTTTACATATGATAGCAATTCAGAAACGCTAAGCTTTTTAATAAAGCGGGAAGCAAAAATTAGCTTTGAAGCCTAAAATCATTAGAAGCGGTAACACTTAGCCAATTATATTTTGGTTATGCGCTTTTTTATTTGCACTAATATAAAACTTTTTTTTTTTAATATAATACTGATCAGTATCAAGAAGTTTATATTATAATATTATATAAAACAAAACAGAGTTAGCCTCATTTGTTATAAATATATAATTAAAAAACCAACGGCCATATCATTTAGGGTCCATTCTTCTTTCTTTAACGAAAAGGGGGTCCATTATTATTTTTTAGTCATAAAATATCAACACTACTAAATCTGTGTAAGTTTCTGAGTCTTCTTGTTCTTTTTAGTCGTCCCAAAAGCCAGTATTATTAATATTGTTCTTAAGGTTAAAGTTAAACTATCATTGTTATTATACTACTAAATCTGCAAGAGTATCTATAAACATGGTGTGCTACACTATTCATGTGTAGTTCGATACAAATGCCGATTTTCTAATTAAAATAACAAAACATATATCTATAAGATTATTTGGGCGTTAACTAAACTAATTGAAAAATAACCAAACATATATCATCAGATTGTTTGGTGCCCTATTAATACTTCTAAATCTTATAGATTTATGTTCCAAAGTTCTTTCTTCAGAGCAAACAAATACAATTAGGGTTTCAAGTTTTCTCTTGCCATCTCTATATACAAATAAGTCTTACAACATGACAATGAGTGCTATGGCCATTTCTCGGGTCATCCAGGCTTCCGTGCAGGACCTAGTGTTCATCAATTTCCGAGGAGTGGAAATTCGCTGTGGCTTCCTAAGCCACCTCATGGCCGCCTTTGAAACACACCAAATAAGTTTCTTCATTGACAAATACGAACAAAAGGGAAATGACCTTAAACACCTCTTTGAAAGGATAGAGCAGTCGCCGATCGCACTAGCAATCTTCTCGGAGAGGTATGCACAATCCAAATGGTGCTTGAACGAACTGGCAATGATGAAGAATCTCGCAGACAAGAACACGTTGAAAGTGATTCCGGTATTCTACAAGGTGAAGGTAGATGATGTGAGAAAACAGACGGGAAAATTTGGCGACAACTTTTGGAAGTTGGCAAAAACTTCTACTGGTGAGGAGATCAAAAACTGGAAAGAAGCTTTGGAGTTTTTTACCAACAAGATGGGCTTGACGTTATGCGATAACAGGTATTCTACGTGATCTTTAACTCTTTACATTGAATGCTAAAAGAATAGTTCATAGGTCAAGATAATTTTTAAAGCTTAACTCTGCCGTGTATGGTAAACTGCGTTGTTAAACATGGCTTATAAGTGCTAACCATAACCGTCACAAGAAACCACTTGAAACTCCTATGATATTTTGCAAAATTCGAGCCACTACAAGTCCACAATTATAAAAGGTTTTTAAGTAAGATAGTTTAAAGAGACACGTGTAAAACATTTTCCCCTTATTTTACAATTTCATCGTACTATGTTACTTATATAGGAGCATTTTCCTTATATAGGAGTATTTGTTAAGAAAATAATTAATAGCGAAATATATTAGTGAGAATATATCTAAGAAATATATTAGTTTGTATTATAAGAAAAAAAAAATGCCGAGAGAAAAGGCTGTGTTTTTTTTATAAAGTATCTCTCTTTTGGCTTTGAAATTCTAAAATTCTAGGAAATAGTTTCTCTGTTTATAACTAGTAGTCTAGGATTTTCTGCAAATTAACTCTCAAAATTATTTTTGTTTGTAACTTTACCCTCGACTCTCTGCAAAAATGTAAGTCAACCCATGATATTTGAGTCAGACCGCTATATGGTTCGTGTAAGAATTCGACACGTAAGACAAACACAAAGAAAACAGAGCTTTGGAATAACAAAGCTTCAATTTCTGTTCAGAAGTTAGAACCATCTAAGTCTCTTCAATTTCATCGATTATGAAGCATCCTAATTTATGTTCTTTTTTCCCAAATTGTATTCCACTTTAAAGCACATGTCCAACATGTGCTCAAAAACAACAAGATTTTTGTTTCACTTTGTTACTCCAAAACTCTGCGTTTTAGTTTTCGTGTCCACTCTAGACACATGATCGATACAGACACATACAATATAGAGGTTTGACTCGAATTTTATGGATTGACTTGCAATTTCGTAGGGTTAGAGGATAAATTTGCAAAATAATTTACAGAAAACCTTTATAACTAATTTATTAGTTTGTCTTTTTGATTTTCACATATACAGTATTAAGAAAAACATTAAAACTTGATTATAAATACAAAATTTTACTCATTAAACGATAAACAATACTAGTATTTCAATAAATCCAATTATTTTTTCTGAATTTTGTAATTCATCATTATTAATTACTAAAACTTTGTATAGAAAATCTAAAAACAATCTATCTTGATGAAAAAAATGAATGTTTTTAGTAAAAATAGTAGTCTTTCACTAAATGTTATCTATTTTTCATTGAAGCAGGTTTTAATCATACAAATTATTCATGCATTTCTAAGCATAAGAGAGAATGGAACACGAAAATCTGAGATAAATAACCAACTCTTGGACGAGTTTTCTGAGTATACACAAAACACCTTCATATATATAAAAATATATGCTCATATAACTGTTCATTATATTCGTTCACCACTAAAGCTTCTTGTTGAGGTGGAAGGTTTTGTAACTCTGTTTTGGGCGATGAGTGAAGATGATGGCTTTGTGAAAAACAGAGCTCCTCTGTTTCAGTGAAGCTTTTGCTGAGTGTTTTGGTGTAATAATGTGTTATTAGAGAGGTATGATCAGTTGTTAAAAAAAAAAAAAAAGGAGATATGATCAATTTATAATCCGATTTGTAAATAATGAAACGAAACAATACACATTTTCATTCTGTAAAACCATTGAAAAAGAATACACAAACCATTGAATGATCAAAGTTGTGAAGTTTTCATTAGGCTGGGACTTATGGTTACATGAAACGACATCGTTTACGTAACATTTTTGTCTTTATTTTCTGGATATCTAGAAGATGTTCTGGTGGACTTCGTCGCAGGTTATAAAAACTTTTACCGGTGTCTAAAACGACGGCGGTGAAAGGAAAGACAGAGAAGTCCAGACGGAGAAACAATACAACAACATCAAATGAGCAAAACAAAAACCAAAGAATAACGAAGAAATTTCAAAAACTCTATTTTTCAACGTATACTTTCCTTAAGTTTAGATTAGATCCGAATTGGTTATGGTGAGACTTAAGGCGAATCTCTGGTTTCTCCTGTTCTCAATCGCGCTCGTTTCGATTCAGTTAAAGGGTTCGTTTGGATCTGAATCAAGTAAGGAAGCTTATGTGACGCTTTTATACGGAGATGAGTTCTTATTGGGAGTTAGAGTATTGGGGAAATCGATTCGTGACACTGGATCCAGTAAAGACATGGTCGCTTTGGTCTCTGATGGCGTCTCAGACTACTCTAAGAAGCTACTCAAGGTTTGAAAAATCTCTTTTTTTACAATCATGTTTGAGAGCTTCCCTATTCGATTGAGTGAAACCACAACGAGTTTATACAAGCTGTTCTCTTAGATACTAAAATATAATTAAACTTTTCCCCAGAATCGTGGTAACCATAAACATTTAGATTAATTAAAGAACATTATGAAATAGTAAAATACTGAAAGGATTTTTATTACAGTAAAACCTCTATAAAATAATAATGTTGGGACTTTGAAAATTTGTTATCTTATAGAATATATTTTATTGATAAAGTAATAATTCTATCAAAAATAAGAAACTTTATAATTTTTTTTTTTCAGTTTTTTTATTTAAATTTTCCTTATACTTTGTTATTTACATATTTCATATTATGTAATTTTCTATTTTTCTTTAATGTAATAAAAAAACTCGAAATGAGCTTTATAACAATCCAACTTTCAGAAAATGACAAACTGTACTTGAGTCATATTTTATTAAATTGTCTTAGATATATATGGTTAAGTTTTATAATTATTATTTTAGCTTATTGTTAGAACTATATTTTTACATAGGAGTTTAAAAATATTATTATCTTATCATCTTATCGCATTTTGCTATTTTTTACATTAACTCGAGTTGGGACCGGAGAAATTAATTATCTTATAATGTTTATTATTTTATCCGGTATTACTTTATAGAGGTTCTACTGTATTTATCAATGATGTCTTATTGAACAAGTAAACTAATATTTGGAATTTTAACATCACACTTAGCTACTAGAGTACTAGTAATTTACTAGTTCAAAAACATACGACTAAAAGTTGAATATCTAGGTAACAAATTCTCCTGAATATAATATTTGGTAAGGCTAAATGTTTACGCGTACCGTATAATCGGTTTGGATTTCTAATTTCAATGGTGTTCACAACAATGTTTGTGAGGAAAAATTTATTATTTTTTTTTTTTTTTATCAAAGAAAACTTTTGGTGATTAAGAAATACTTGCAATTAGTTCATTGATATGTATTCCTTGACTAAGATGTGATTAATCCGGATATTGATCTCCACATTTCGTGAAACACCTCCACGTTGATTGCCTTTTGATCCATCTATATTGCTATAAATAAGAATACTTTTTCTTTAATTGATTGTGACAATGTTAATTTTTTAAATAGTAAAATTGTCCCGGATAGTATATAGAATGTATAAATGTTTATGCGTACCATGTTAGTGAAGAACAACTTTAATTCTTTTTTACTGAAGAAATATTTCGATTGGTAACTCCAAAATACAGATATCATGCATTACATTTTATATTTATCATGATTGAACTACGTGTTTCCTCCTCACGGAATTCTTGATCATGCCCTTGTAAAATTGGATCCTAGCTAGTGTCTGATTAATTGGTTTTCGTCATTCCCTTTCTTAGCTCAGAGGCGGATTTTGTCAATGAAATCATTGAAGAGCTGGAGAGAGTACGAAACGTAATCCCTATAGAAGAAAGGAAAGGTCACACTCTCGATTTTACTTCAAGAAATTTTTCAAGAAAGAGAGGGCAGGCAGCGAGTGGCCTCTATAATCAAACAAAACTAGAAAATTTTACTGAAAATGAATTCATTACTAAACACATGCCGGAAAACTTGAGGCGGATCACATGGGTGGAAGGAGTTACATTGGCAGGTTTGATCATAGCTTGTGGGAGCCTAGTGTCCCTAAACTACAGAAAGAAGTATCACAAGATTAAGTTGAAGGATCTAAGTAATTTTCGTCTTTAATGGCACAGATCAGAGGCCAATTTGATAAAAAAAGGTAAGGAAGTAGGGAAAGTTTTAACCATTCAATATGATGAAGGAAGAGAAGAGTCTGGAAAGAACGCGAAAACATGTCATGTCTCACTGGCTCTACCATGGACATGGTTTGGCTCTGTAGTTTGGCTGATAGGTCCAATACTTGGCTTAATAGCTGTTATAGTTCACAAGTGTGCCTCACCAGCCATGGTTGTTCTTGCTGGTCAGGTTGGCTCTGTTGTAGCTATTTCGAATCGTTGGACTGATAGGTCTTTATAAGCTTCACTTCCCGACTGCATAAAGAGATTTTGTTTTGATTCTCTGTTTGTTTTGTGGCTCCAATGCATTTGTTTACTTTTGATCTACTAATAAAAAGTCTCAATCTTTCCGGTGAATGCAAGTCTAAGTACATCAGAAATTGTTTTACAAACAAAAATGGAGAACAAATAATAAGCAAATGGTTATGAAGAACCAAACCCATAAGAAAACAACACACTCCAATTTGAATTATGTTATCATAAGAACAGAGTGCAAAATCTCATGTTCAAATCAAACATTACAAAAGCTTACATCGTTACATTGATTGCAACTTCCGAACCAAACCAAACTCAACGGAGGTAAGCCAACAAAAACTACTACATAATATAGCCGATATAAGTTTTTCCAACCACAAAACACAAGAAAAAACAGAGAACACAAATCAAAAGAAGTACGCCAATAACCTAGAAATAACTTGTAGCTTCAGCAGTTGCAGACATCACTTCACTCACAAGGCTCGACTTGCGCATCATTGACTTTATTTCTTCAGCAACAGACAGTCTCAACTCCTCTTGTATCTTGTCCTTCCTCTCAGCCGAAACCAAACTGGCGGATCAACAGCCAAGGTAGGTGTGGCACCTGCCCCATACTGATATTAATATTCCCCATACTGATATTAATATTTGTCTAGTAGAATATTAACAATATTGATTCTGTAGCCTAAGTGGCCAAACGTGCCCCATGTTAAAACACAATTGCTGGGTTCGGACCCCCTGGTAAATGCTATTTTTATTGATTTTTTTTATAGTTTATACTTTTTACTGGTTATTTTACTTATTTGTGCCCCATACATATTTTCTTTCTGTATCCGCCCTTCACTACAAGAAAACATCGATTTAGCCACTATAACAAATATCGCAAAGTAGTCGCAAATACAAATGTTGAAACTATTTCGCGATTACACAAAGTAGTCGTAAATCACTCTTCGCAAAGCCACACAGTCGCTTTTAGTTGCACATTTGAAACCAAAGTGCGACTACAATGTAGTCTTATTTTTGCGACTACTGAGAGACTCCGTGTTAAATATTACGATGAGTATACAGTAGTATCAAAATAGTTGCTCAAAAAGTGGCAATGAAGTCGCAACATTTTGCAACGGATTTAAGACTTCTTAAGTAGTGATAAAACGGTCGTTATATAATGTTAAGTTTTGGGACTGATTAAAGACTCTTGTGGATGTGGTCGCAAACACGTGACTAAATTTAACGACTCATTTGCGACTTCTTTATATATATATATTCATATATTATTTCATAATTTAATATTGACCATAGTCGCAAAAAAGTGTTAAATTTGTGTGACTACTTTGCGACTCCTTTAAAATATGCAGTGGCTAAGTTGTTGCTTAGATTTGATACACATTGGTGACTAATTAGTCGTTTCTAATTCATGAATAGTAAATTGATTTATTAAATAATTAGTTTTAAAGAATGCTAAAACTAAAATTTAGAGACTACTAAACATTTATTAATAATCTTCAAAGAAAAATCATGTTTCCATTCAAAACACAAAACATGTGCACAACAAACATCAATTTACATTCACCAAGTTCTTGTTTCCAATAGAAACAACCAAAACCATGTTTCGATTCTAAACATGTGCACAAGAAACTCATGTTTACACTCGAACCAAAACCTTGAGTTTGACAAAATAAAAGAAGAGAGCAAATCAGGTGGGTTCTCTCGGTCAACGAGTACCTTCCTAAGTCGGAGTTGCCTCCTCTGTCGGAGTTGCTGCATGTGGAGATGCGTGAGAAAGGGTTGCCACATAGTCGGTGAACTTTGGATTCGTTGACTTCAGATAGCTCAAGACCATCTCCAGGTTGCCGATGCGGTCATGTTGCTGAGCTGATTCATCTTGCCGTGCAGCAATAGCCGCTGCCTGCTCTTCAGTTTTGTGTTGAGTAGCTTGCAACTGCTCTTGCATCTCCAAAATAGCACAAACAGTTGAGGTCCCTGGCCCTCCCTTCCTCTTCCCGTTGCCATAATGTCTCCGGAGACTACCAAGACCGAACTCTTGGCCTCTATTATCTGTTACCGTAGACTGCAAAAAAAAAACAAAACCATATCATGACAAAGTAGTAACCACAAACCACAAGTACATTTAACGCATCACATACATAAACAAAACAAAGACTGACCTTGAGAAAGACATTGTCTTTTCCAGCTGTGGTAAGCTCAAAAGAACAATCAGTTTCGTCATCCATGAGCTGAGACATCTCGTCCTCTAAGTTTTTTTCATACACTTCAGCAATATGCTGAGACTTTGGATCAACGAAACTTTCGTCAGGCCGTGTATGTGTCCTTATGAACACTTCTCGGATTGACATCGGTCTTCCAAGCTCTTTTTCCTTCATCACATATAAAAATTTCAGAGAAAGAGATCAAATTTAAAAATAAATGAAACCGTCTCAAATCCTAACAAACTGAAACATTACCAAACTAATGCCTTTTGTCAAACCAAAAATAACAATCCTAAGCAATCCCATGATACTAGGTCGATTCAATCTCACTTCACCATATAGAGACCATAATGAAAACAAATTAAGATATTGTTCAATGTCCCACTTTCTTACTAAACGCACAAGCAAAACATTTCACCACAAGAACCTAAGCCACGAAAATAACAAACAAAAGATGAAAGACAAGCATCAAATGAGGAGAACTTACCATATCTCTCTGAATGCGTGAATAGGACTTTTGTCCTGACCGATGTATGCGCCTTCCAAGTCCATCTTTCGGAAAGTTTATTGCATTTGATGCAGTAGAACTTCTCTCTTTAGCCTCCTAGGCGGACCAGTAAGCGCACATTGTCTCCCACAATGTTTCCCCAATCCAACTTCGTCAAACCCCTTTAGTCTTTGCTTTGGAAATCATGTCTTTCATCCGATTCAAAGCAATGACCTTGAATTCTTCTTCCATGAGTGAATGGATCAAGGGATCCCAATGGTATACTTGCTTCACAAATGAAAGAACATAGAATGAAATTAACAAAAAAAAACTAGTCTGATTAAGACAAAAATGAAAATATTTGGGGAAATGAAAGGGTTTAGTTTCATACCGCAAAGGATATGAAACACCTATCTTGAACATATGTAGGCGTTTTTGTCCAGCAGTAGTATGGACCATCAAACTTGCTTTTCCAAAGCTTCGATATTTTGCGAACCAATTTCCCATCATCCTGATAAAACCTACAATATGATAATAAATCACAAAGCCATTTCAATTTATGAGAAGAACACACAATCAAGCAACAAAATTTAAAAAAGAAAACTTATTAGCGATTACCATATTGTGTTTGCGGTGGGAAGAGGGTCCAAGATGGGTAAATAATCTGCACGACCTGGTGTTCGGAGCAAGTCATGGATACTTATCGGCGGATCTTGATGTGGTGGTGGTTGAGGTTGTTCCGAGAATTGATTCTCCGTGTGGACGGAACGGCTGTGGCTGTGGAGCAGAGCCACGCGGCGACGGCTGTGGAGCAAGAGTCGAGCCACGCGGTGGGATTGTCTCCGGAATAGGGCTCTGACTATGAGCGTATTGAATAGGGAGGGGCCGGCGATTTGAAGTCGGGGTACTAGTGTTTGAGGTGTGAGATGAAGCTCTTCCAGACGATGACCCCATCCCGCCGGTTATGCCGCCACGACCTTTTGAGATTTACCGGAGCCGACCATTGAGGAGAGAATGAGAGATTTGTCGAATTCGGGGGAAAAAACGAGAAATTGGAAAACAGAAAGGTAGAGATTGAGAGGGTGAGATCAATCGAGAGAGGTTTAGAATGAGAGATTTAGAGGCAGAGAGAAAGCGAAGAGATGGAGATACAGAACGGATCGATCGAGAAGTTGAAAATGATGAGGGATTTTTCGAGATGCAACAGATCGATTTCTCTCTCTCGAGAGAAGTGAAGCGGTGAGGGTTTTGTGAGATAGATGAAAAATAAATTTTGGGGTTTCAGGCGGAAAATTGAAAATAATTGGGGAATTTTCAGAAATATGAAGCGCCAACTTTGGCGATGACTTTGCGATGACAGGTTAAACAGGCAGTCGCAAATCAGTCGGAAAGAGCTAAAACTGTGTGACTTATTTGCAACTACTGTGAGTTATTTATTATGAATTTGGTTTTCCACATACCCTAACTAACCCCTAAATGATATATTTGCTATATTTGATTGCACAATATGTGTAATCTATTAATAATTGAGTAAATATAAATTGTTGAAATACTAAAAACAAAATTCCAATAACTTAGAACCAAATCAAATATGATTTGAAGATAAATCATGAAAATTGTGAAATACCATATTCAAAACCCTAAATCTGGAATAATTTCAACAAATTTTTATTTCTGTGTAGTAGTTATACAAGTATTGTAGTATTAGCATATTATTTTCCAAAAACTTAATAACATAAACCTTTTAGAGATTGAAAAAATGAATTGCAGTCGCAAATCAGTCGCAAAGTGCTAAAACTGTGTGACGTATTTGTGACTAGAGACGGTTTTTTTTTAATATATTTTAGTTCGGAGTCGCAAATCAGTCGCACTATTACTACGCATTAGCGACTATGTTGAGCTATTAATTATAAATATGATTTGCGATTGTAGGTAGTTATTATTTATGAAATATTGATCACACAAATAGTAATATAATTCCATAAAAAGCATTATGAGTATGTCTGATCTATATCTTCATCCTCATCATCATATTCATCTTCATCCGAAGATGATATGTTACACTGAAATTCATCTTCTTCTTGGGCATCTCCGACATCAAAATCAATTTCTTCTATTGGATTTTCTCTGTTCACCAGACTATCTATTATGATAGCTTCGATTGTTGTCGACACATCGTCGTCATTTTCTTGTTGAAGAAGAGTTGGTTCTTTATCCTTGTAATTCCCCAAAATATTTTCCCTTGGATTAACTTTAAGAACATTTAGCCACAACTTTTTTGGTTTAGTAACGTATGGATACGGTATGTAACAAACTTGGTCCGCCTGAGAAGCTGCATGTACGCAAATTTTAATGAACGGTTATAAGTAAGTAATTGCAAAGTATAGGTGAAAACAAATTTAAAATCATGCTAAATAAAATTCACAAACCTACCGAGAATGAATGGTTCGTATATAGAATATTTTTCTGAGGAAAGAACATCGGCAACTCCACCCTTGCTCTTTTGAGTGCCTTTTTTGTCAGTAGGATCGTACCACTCACATTTAAAAAATGTGATCTTCAAAGATACCAACCATATATTGAAGCTCTAGAATCTCTGTTAAATTTCCGTAAAAATCAGATTCATCAGAGGCATCTGAGTAATTTACTCCTTTGACATATACCCCGTAGTTGTATGTTCTTTTTCGGTGTCCGTATTTCCGTGTATGAAAAAATAACCTCTTGTAAAGTAAAACGGGCCAGAGTTTTGCTTGTTTATAGGACCTTGCACAAGCTCTTGAACCCATACAGGAAACACTTCGGATTGATTCAATGTTCTTGAACGAACTGCGATCACAATATAGTAGGTATAAGCGTTATATAGATAATTAAGTACATATATATAGTTCTATATGTAGACGTAGGAAATTGGAAATTGTTAGTTTCTTTTTATCAATACATCATTGTCACATAGTTCGGGATATGTTAAACGAATCTGCTCTTTGAACAAGCTGATAATCAACACACGAAAATAAACATATGTTAAAATATAGATATTCATCAATGTGATAGTTGTCACTGAAAATGTCAATTACCTTTCAAGAGATCGAAAATATTCACAGTTTCGCAAGATGTAGTGATGGCGGGTTTAGATTGCCTCAAATTTTCACAATTTATAGATTCTGGGAGGCAATTCTAATTGGTCAATAAAAATATATTGAAATGCTAGTTCTTTTTTTTTTTTTCTTAGATTAACTAATCTATTATGAAAAGGAAAAAGGGGTAAAGTAACTTGATGTTGATTGTTCTCTAAATAGAACGTTTCTTCTTCTACATGTAGAAAAGGAATAAATAAATTAATCAAATTCCGGGAGGCTTCATGAAGTGCTTCTTTAGGAGTTAAACTTCCATTTGTCCATATTTCTAGAAAAAGAATCTCTTGTTTTTCATTCCCATTCCCATAAGAATGAATACTATGATTCGCATTTTGAACGGGCATGAAGACAGCATCTATAGGATAACTTCGGTCTTCAAAATTATTTGACATTTTTAGACTATATCCGCGATTCCTCTCAATTTTTAATCCAATACACAAATCTATTGATTCTGTTAAGGTAGCTATATGCTGTGTATTATCAATGATTTCCACGGAGGGCGGTAAAATTATGTCTTGAGCAGTTATATATCCGGGACCTTGGACACAAATAAGTGCGTTGCGCCTTCCATATAGATTACTTCTTAATACAATCTCGTTCAAATTAAGTAAAATTTCATGTACTGATTCTTGAATACCTACTATGTTAGAATAGTCATGTGGTATGTTCTCAGATTTTGCACGTGTAATACATGTTCCTTCTATTTCGCCAAGTAAAGCTCTTCGCATCGCAATGCCTATTGTGTCGGCTTGACCTTTCAGAAGTGGAGACAGAATAAAGCGTCCATAATAAAGACGTTTACTGTCTCTTCTTGATTCAACACACTTCCACTGTAGTGTCCGAGTAGATACTTTTACTTTCTCTCGAACCATAGTAATTTTATTTGATCAGATCATTGAATCGTTTTTTTCTCTTGAAATTCTTTCAGCCTAGTTCTATACACGTCTTTTTTTAGGGGGTCTACAACCATTATGTGGCATAGGAGTTACATCTCGTACAAAACTTAAAAGTATACCGCTTCTACGAATAGCTCGTAATGCTGCATCTCTTCCCAGCCCAGGGCCTTTTATCCTTACTTCAGCTCGTTGCATACCTTGATCCACTACTGCTCGAATAGCATTTCCTGCTGCGGTTTGCGCAGCAAAAGGTGTTCCTCTTCTTGTACCCCTGAATCCACAAGTACCCGCGGAGGACCAAGAAATCACACGACCCCGTACATCTGTAACGGTCACAATGGTATTGTTGAAACTTGCTTGAACATGAATAACTCCTTTTGGTATTCTACGTACATTTTTACGTGAACCACTACGTGTATTTTTACGTGAACCAATTCTTAATATAGGTTTTGCCATATTTTTTCATTTCACAAGAAATATATGGATATATCCATTTCATGTCAAAACAGGCCTTTTTGTTGCCAGCTCCTTGGCAGTGTCTTTTCCTTTCCTTTAGTTCCTTTTAGTAAGATTATCCTTGTCTTTGTTTATGCCTCGGATTGGAACAAATTACTATAATTCGTCCCCTCCTGCGGATTAGTCGACACTTTTCACAAATTTTACGCACGGAAGCCCTTATTTTCATAGTTGTTATTCCTTAATTTTTTGAATATACTTATTGTTGGACGAAAAAAAGGTTTCTTGATATTTTTGAATCTTGAATTGTATCGTCGTGAAAGGAATGTTGAAATTGAAAAAACCACTTGCTCGTTTGAATCCTTGTTATGGAGTCTAGAAAATGGCTGTCCCTTTATTAACTTATACCTAAGTACCTAAGAACTTACTAAAATTTTTACTATCCTTTTCCTATAGGTATACCTATACAAAAATATGTCGAATCCTTTTAGAAGCATGACCTAAAATCAAAAAAATCTTTAGTATCTAAACAAAACCGAGCATGCCGTTCGGAAGTGATTCAGAAAGAAAACTTTCATTAATTCATTTTTTCTTTAATTTTATTCGAGGTAGAACATTCTAAACTTTTTTTTTTCACAAATGGTAAGTTCCGCATATCCGATTTTTGTATTCGAAGGATTACCATATATAACACAAAATTTCTCCGCCGATTCTTTTTTGTCGAGCTTCTCGGTCTGTCATTATACCTTGAGAAGTCGAAAGGATTACAATTCCTATTCCACCTAAAATCCGTGGAATTCGTTGAGAGTTAGAATAGATTCGTAGACCCGGTCGACTTATTCGCTTTAAATTTAAAAATCTTTTATAGGATTCTTTCTTATTTCGTTTATGTCTTAGGGTTAAAATCAAAAAATATTGGTTGTTTTCGCGATGTTTCCTTACGTTTTCGATAAAACCCTCTCGTAAAAGTATTTGAACAATGCTTTCGGTGATGTTAGTTGATCTTATCCGAACCGTTCCTTTTCTATTCATGTCAGCATTTCGTATAGAGGTTATTATATCAGCAATAGTGTCTTTTCCCATGATAAGTTCAAATTCCTTATTTTTTTGTTCTATAATTTTGATATAATCAACATGTTCTTTTTCTTTTATTTATATATAGATATAGACGAATTATATATATCTGAATTAAATTATTAATATTTTATTATTAAGGGTATATCCGTGATACACAATCTATTAATTAATTTTCTGTTAATACCTACCATTTTTTAATCCTCTCCTATACTAATACTAATTATTGATATTTAGGTCTTATAATACCTCAGGAGCTAATGAAACTATTTTAGTAAAGTTTAATTGTCTCAATTCCCGGGGGATTGCCCCAAAAACTCGAGTTCCTTTTGGATTTCCTTCTTGATCAATGACAACTGCGGCATTGTCATCATATCGTATTATCGTCCCATTG